CTCCCTTTTTTTTTTTTTTTTTTTTTTTGGACGAAGCAGGCTGTTCTGTACGAGAAAGCTGCCTTTTCTCTCTAAAGGATAGAAAGAGCTGCTCAACAAGAGCGCACCCGTCTACAACCACGACGAGCCTTTGCTTCCAGCCCATCAACCCACCTACTTACACATCCGCACCATATCCTCGACACAACTACAAATCACACACACAATGGAAGCTACAGAGCAAATCGTCATCCCACAAATGTCCCCTGCCAAACAGGATCGCATCCTCATCTGGCGCAATGAAGTCGCCACCGCCTCCCTCGACGACGGCACCTCCTCCACCGCCAACGACAACGCCTCCTCCCGACACGTCGGCTCCTCCTCGGCCACGTCCACCACAACTGCCTCCTCATCCTCGTCTTCCCGCCCTGCCCTCATCCTCGCCCGCGGCCGCCAGGCGCTTGCCAAGGTTGCCCGCCGGCTGTCTCGCCGGTCCTGGCGCAGTGGCAAGCAAGCTGGCGAGGACGACGATGGGCCGACCAGGACGGCCATGTACGCCAGGCTCTCTCCTGATTACAGGCCAGACGCCGACGAGGAGGTCGACGGCGACATCCCGCCGTTGAGGCGCCCGGAGTAGCAGACCCGCCACGGATAATAACGCTGAAACGGCTGTGCAGAAGCTACTAACCGACATCACTCTATCACCACCACACCACAACCCAGCATGTTGTCATCGTCGTCATGAACCCGACGAGACAGCGGGCGTCCTCTGAAGGAGTTTTTGCGTGCGTTTTGGAAGCCTTGAATCCTTTCTTTGTCTTTGAATACTTTTCGCAGCTTATTATACCCTATGCTATATTGTTAACCATCCTCAAATCTTACTACCATCTAATACCATTCATTGGACATATGCTTATTGTCTTGCTCTATAACCAACTGTACAGTTGCAACAAATAGTTCTCCTGCAATGTGTCTCAATATACTACGTGCAATCATCGCCATCCATTCATAACCATTCGTAGTAGAAATTGCCTCTCGTCTTACCACTCCTGTGTAATCTGGCAGCTCAAATACCGCATGTCACTCACTGGTCACAAGACACCAACAGGTTCACGCCACACAGCATCACATCACATCCACATCACACGGCATGGTAACATCACATCGCACACACACGCAGACACACACGTATCAGATATTTTGCCATTTTTTATATACTGCGGTTCCATCCCGAGTCCCCTTTAACCTGCTGGGAGATAGAGCCCGGAGCCCTCTCAATGGGGGCCGTGTCGTCCGGGAAAGTTTCTCTCTCCTCCGCAAACAGGTTCCAAATTGTCGACTCTTCTTTTCAACCCTTACAACGACGGCTGGTCAAAAGAGGTACGCCGGAGGCCACTGCAGAAAACTGTGGGAAAAAAAAGACAACAAAATAACAACAAAAAACACTCAAAAGTGTTTGACAAGAGAGCAGCAGAAACAACACTTTCCGTAAGGTAAAAAAAAACGAGATACGATCCATAAAAAATTTCCGGATCAGGGTCAACTAATTTCAGTAATGCAGCCATATTGGGAAAAAAAAGAAACAAGATTACCCTCCACGATGCGCAGAGGCAAGGTTGTCATTTTTTTGCCATGGCTGCCTGCGCAGCCAGGCGGGAGAAACGGCCGTGTTTCTCTCCCAAGCCGAAACCATAATAAATTCTACCCCCCAATTTGCGAAAAAAGCAAACGCACCAGCCAACCCGTTTCTTCGTGAGTCAACTGCACCGCACCAGTCCGTGCCAAGACAAGTGCGGACTTAGGAGGCACCAGCAGTGGCGGCGGCCTCAGTGGTGGCCTCTTCGGCGGGCTTCTCGGCCTCAGCGGGGGCGGCGGCCTCGTCCTTCTTGGGGGCCTCGGCGGCGGGCTCGGCCTCGGCCGTATCAGAAGAGGTCCACAGGGTGAGGTTGTCACGAAGAAGCTGCATTATCAGGGTGCTGTCGCGGTACGACTCCTCAGACAATGAGTCGAGTTCAGCAATAGCATCGTCAAAGGCCTGCTTGGCGAGGTGGCAAGCACGGTCGGGAGAGTTGAGGATCTCGTAGTAGAAGACGGAGAAGTTAAGAGCAAGACCCAGGCGGATGGGATGCGTGGGGGTGAGCTCAGTTTGGGCCACGTCGGTAGCGTTCTGCGGTTGTCAGTTTATATGAGGCGAAAGCGGGCATGAGGGGATTGCTAACCTTGTAGGCATCGTGGGCAGCAGTGGCGGCAACCTTGCGCTTTTCGCCAGAAGCGAACTCGGCAAGGTAGCGGTGGTAGTCACCCTTCCTAAGCGGTTGTCAGTATCTGAGATAAATGTGACACATGGTTCAAGCAAGCTTTTGGGTGCGCACATCTTGTGGTAGAAGACCTTGGACTCGCCAGTAGCGGAGTTGGGAATCAGGCTCTCGTCAAGAACATCGAGGACATCCTGGCAGACCTTCTCGAGCTCGGTCTCAATCTTCTGGCGGTATTCCTTGATGGTAGGTACGTGCTTGTCGGTGCCCTTGGACTCCTCCTTCTGCTCGATGGAGGAGATGATGCGCCACGAGGCACGGCGGGTGCCAACGACGTTCTTGTAGGCGACGCTGAGAAGGTTACGCTCGTCGACGGTGAGCTCGCCGCCGATCTTGGCAACCTCCTTCATGTAGGTAACCATCTCATCGTACCGCTCGGCTTGCTCGCAGAGGCGGGCGAGGAAGGTCTTGCTGTGGACGGCGTCAGTTTTTGCGTTGCGTAGTTGAGGCCGATCATGGTGGCGGCGGGGCCGGGAGGGCAAACCTTTCACGCTGGGAAAACGAGTTAGCACAGCTTCAGAAGCGATGGTGAGGGCATGTTTGGAACGACTACGAACGGCACCTCAAGACGCCGGTCCTTGTTGGCTCCAAGCATTGAACGTAAAGGGGCCTCGGGGCGGTGGAGGAGAGGGACAGGGAAGCGCAAACGGAGCATACCTCAGTGGCCATTTTGAAAGAGCGGGGTGGTGCTTAAGAGAGTTGGGATCGAGTAAAAAACGCAAAAAGCTTGGTGTGGGAACGAGAGAGAAGAGAGAAGAAGACAGAGAAGTCACAAATCGACTGGGGGAGAGAATGGGGGAAAGATGGATGAAAGAGTAAGTGTTGATATTTTGATGTGGATAAGTGGTAGATTTGGACTTGGGTTTTAGGCGCTTTTGGGGGGGGGGGAAGAGCGGAGGGGGGGGGGGGGGGGACCAAGGACCAAGGAGCTTGCTGGCTGGAGCTTTGGTTGTGCTGTGTGAGAGGAAACGTTAAGGAAGTTTTAGGTTGTTCCGGTGGTGTCATGGGCTGGTCGCGAGCAGTTTTCTGTCGGCGGGTGTTGGCAGTTTGGCAGCTGGCCAGGGCGCTCCCGCGGGCCATCAGCAGGCCAGTTGCCCGCTGAAAACGCCCACTGTTGCCCGTCGCCAGCCTGCCTGGCTGCCTTGCCTGGCGGCGGGAGAAGAGGAGAAAGCAACCAGCTGCAGTGGAGATTTTTTCACCTTCCCCCGCTCCAGCTTGAAAAAAAAAAAAAGCTCGATACGCTTCACCTCCCTTCCATCCTCCGAATGTCCAACCAAAAGGTATCTTTTACCAGTGTACTCACCAAGAAAATACCTTGGTGGTGGATGTGGCGGTGATGGCCACCGGACCCCTAGCCGCAGCATCCGTAGCACGTAAGCTGCATGGGTGACTGAAGAAGTTCTTTTCCTTGTCGGTTTGTCTGTTGTTATTGCCTGTATCTGTGTTTCTGGGACTTCCCTTTGTTTATTGTTTATTGCGTTTACATTGTGGGTTGCCGTTGCTGCCAGTATTTCCTTGCTGCCTTGACAAACATGTCAGCGTCGCGGGGTAGCTCTCTAACCCTCACTCTATCTGAACCTTCCTACAAGGTAGTATCTGAACCACGCTACAAAGAGAAGAAAAAAAAAGCTCTTCACTCCATCAGCCGTCCACGAGCACCGCCCAGAAGGTGACGACGCATCACGTCGCACAAGAAGATTGTACATAGCTGCCTGAGCTTCTCGTCTCTTCATTCCCTCGTGGCCTTCGTTTAGTTTCGCCAGCACTGCCACTCCACCAAGGCTAGTGGCCACAGTTGACGTTCTCCGTGCTTCACTTCGAGTCTCTCGCCATGCCCCAGCGCCTAAAACTAGTAGGCTCTTCTGACTGGACCCTCTCTTTGGCCTTGTCGTCTATCGACCTGTCAGCCCTGCCCTCGCATATGATGCCTGCCATCACGACTTTTCCCGACGCTGCGCAGCCCCTCCCAGGCCAAAGAGCACAATCTCGCGGCCATGTGATGTCGTCACAATTCAATCAACCTCCTTGTCGTCAGGCCGGCCTTCTGCGCGCGGTTCCAGCCCGCAAAGAAAGAGATGGAGGTGCATCACCCGTCTTGATTCAGCTTCCCCTCACTTGGGTCCCACCAAGCGCGCCCAATAGTTTGTTGCCTTGGGCGATGTTGACACCTGAATGGCTCCAAGATCATCGCGCGTGGCATGCGGAGCCTACGCCTCGAAATGATTTGCAAGTGAGGCCGTTTTCCTATTAATTAATCTTATCACATTAGGTCTGTTTGTACAATCTAAGTTACAGGCGCATGACCCTCGCCGTCACGGACGCCACAGCCGCAGATGACCATCCGGTACGGATTACAGCTCTTGGTTCTCCACGTCGACAAGGTCCAACTCCGACATCTTGTTGCGACCCCAGTCGAACGGATCGCCTCCGGGAAAACACAGTCCTAGCCTCCAAAAGTAATCCCGATGCGCGAAGAATAGTTGCCACAACTTGAGCCGCGTGGGAAACCCCCGCTTCTGTAACTGGCTGGCGGCAACGCTTTCGTAAAACTCGGTCACTCGCGTCAGACTTTGTGACGTGCTGTCCTGGCCGGCGCTGCACCTTTCATCATCATTGCCCTCACAGAGCTGCAAGTCCTCCTGCGCGGGCGACAGATCCGACTTGGTAATGTGAATCTCGCCAGCATGCGACTTGTATCCCCATTCACCAGGCGGCAGCAGCGGAACAGGGTCGTTGGTGTGCGTCAATCGTCGATATGAGCGCTTTGCCATGTCGGCTTCGTCGTTTAAACCGAATATCTGATTGATAAAATCGACAAGCCCGCCGTTACCCACACGCGGCTCGCCAAATGTCGTGACGACAATGTTGTCCAACCCCACGGTCGTCTTGAGCTCAAGCGCGGCCAGGCAGGCTACTGCCCCCCCAAGGCTATGCCCGACAAGATGGATCGGCTTATCGGGGTGCGTCCTCCGCAGCTGTATGAGTTCGGGAATGACCGACTCCTTGGCGCTCTGCCAGGCCTTGAAGAAGCCCATGTGAACGGTGCAGTTGGTGCATTTGTGCGCCGGCGACCCGTCGCCCGGGTACGGCACGTACTCCTGGGGCACAGTGCTGAGGTCGAGGACGGTATCGGCGACACTGTAGGTGCCGCGGAAGGCGACGATGATGGCGCCGTGCGAGTCAATGTCGACAGCGGTGGCGGCAGGCGTCTCGTCAACGGCGATGTAGCCGCAGCTGTCCGTCATGAACAGGCCGGTGCTCCAGGTCCGGGACAGTGTGACGTTGGGGAACTCGGCACAGCGAGACAGGCAGCTAAATGGCTTGACGATGCCCGTGTTGCCGATGCAGTAGGTTATATCGACGAGCCGCGCCAGGCGCTCGAGCGAGGCAAACAGATCGGGCGACACGCCGGGCAGCGGCGGCGCTATGGCAGCGGCTGCTTGCAGCAAGCAGCCGAGTAGCACGAGCCACATTCTTCGATGCACTGATGGCCTGCTGCTAATACAAGATAGAAGATGATTTTTGAGAGGGTAAAGAGGACTGTAATCGTCGGTTGTTAGAGGTAGATTCAGAGGTGGAAGTGCTTTGATCACGAGGTTTTTGGGCTGCTCAGGTGGGCCAACCCAATCAAAAAGAATCTGGGGTTAGCGTCATCCCAACACAATTAAAAAAAAAAAAAAGGTACCGGAGGGCGCCACTGCATAATGTTGTGTATTTGCAGGTAGTTAATGTTTCAATTTATGAAAACGAGAAAAACAAAATCATGTGTCTATGAATCTTTTTAATCGTACAAGGGTCGTAACTTGTTCATTCAATTTCCATCATTTGATAGGCCATCTTGAAGCTGGTCGGATCTCGGACAGGCGAGAGACTAGCAAATCGGCCAGTGTATTCAGTGGCGTTGGCGACACATCGGCCGGCCTTGCAGGGGGCCTGGATGGTGACGCTGCCGGAGGCTTCGTAGAGGGGTGTTCTATGATGGGTCAGTATTTTCTTTTTTTATTCTTCTTTTTTATTCCCCCCTTTTTTCTGCCATTTTTGTTCTCTTCTCCTTTCGAAGATGGGTGAGGATAAGGGGAGCGAGAAGGAGGGGAAAGTCTCACCCCTGCGGATTGGGACAGGCCCGCTCGACCATGGTCAACTGGCCCGGCTGCCAGATGAACTTGACATCGCGGTTCTCGCAGGCAAAGCGCGGCGTGAGCCCCTCGGGCGTCGTCGACTTGGACGTGGCGTTGAACTGGCACCTCGTCTGCACCTGGGTGGCGGCGTCGGCGTAGGCGAAGGCGATGTAGGTCGGCGAGGAGGCGTCGGCGTCGGCGTTGGTGCCGTTGGTCTGCCCGACAAAGTCGCGGATTGTGTAGTTGGAGGGCAGCGCGCAGCCCTGTTGCTCAACGGCCTTGAGCAGCATCGGGTGCGCCGAGTAGGCGGCGGCGAGGGGCAGCGCGACGGCGGCAAGGCTGAGACGCATTTTGGAGGCAGGTGGGTGATTGATTGACGATAGAGATGAGATGCCAAGGCCGGGAGAATGAGTGAGATTTTTCTCGTGCATCAAACGCAAGGGAAGGAAAGGAAGGACCTCTACGTCGTATATAAACTTGTTGCCTTGCCTTGTGATGAAAGAAGGGCAGACAGGTTCCACATGCTCAGGTCCGACCCCCTGATTAACTTTGGGGACCGGACTTCTCCAGTCCAACCATGACTATCACTGCACTGCCGATCCCTTTGTTTCATCGTTTTTCCAAGGCGGTTGGCGGGATAAGTTGCTGATGCATGCCAGCAGAACATTGGGACCCTGTTCCACCAAGGAAGGGACTGGGCCATTGCTTATTCGTGCTTCAATAATGCGGGCCTGAGCACCAGCAAACAGACAGCACTGCCACTGGAGGAACTGGGCGTTTATTAATAGGACGACGTGTGTATCGTCAACACGGGACGCTGGAAGAGACAGATCAGCTAAACGAATGCGTGTATCATGACACACAAGATGATGTGCAGCAAGCCGAATTGCATATCAATATATCCCCGACCGCGCATGTTGGGCATTTCTCTAGTATAACTTGACCACCTCCACCATGGGATGGGAACCGACCCATTGATACCTGACCTGAAGACACACGGATCCAGCAGTTGGCTAGTTATTTTTAGAGTTGAAAAGTGATGATCGCGCACTATGTGGATGAATAGACCGAGGCCCATCACAAGCAACTATTTGACGTAATACCTGCTGCCCTGTGCGAGTTTTGCCGGTGAGACCGATAAGCAGGGCATAGTGGTGCCGTATTCATGCTATCCGCCCTGAACTACTATATCTCATGTGTCGCTGAATTTTAGATTTAAGTTTGCCTTTCAGATGGATAACGTCGGCTCGACCTATTGAGCTTAACCATACCAGTCGCGGTTCTACGACGAACTAGGCGGATATTGACGAACGAAAGCCGTACAAAGAAAACCCGCAGATAAAATAAAAACAAAAAACAATTCTTCAATTCGAATACAGCTGGCCATGACATGTCATCTTTCAATCCTTCATATATGGACTTAGATCGGCTTCTTCAACTCGGTCGTGATCCTCCGGCAATGAAGCGGGAATAATAGTCCCAGCCACCCGACAGTAAGCCCAAGACAGCGTTGAAGTCTATTTCCTCCCTTACGTCTTCAAAAGACAAGGGTTATATAAACACCACATCTCCGTCTAATTCTCGTCGAAATGTCTTCGAATGATGGGGCAATGGCGACTCCTGCGCCGAGTGCTTTGGCATATCCTGGGACATCCTCGATGTCTATCATCATGTCATTTCTCATTCTCCAGTAAGATTATAGCAACTACCTCGTGAGCAATGAAGAGTTAGGATGACTAGATTGGCGGAAATATTTGCAACGAGTACCGGCTATTTTCAGCATGCAAGTGCAATTGCACGTCGCCATGATTCGCCAGCAGAGTATTACGAGGGCTGGAACGACATTGCCTGCGTCTGACAAGCAAATAATGCGTCCTCTGTGCTACCCTTTCTATCGACTAATTGACTCATACCCTCCTGCAAAGCAGTCCATGCGAGCTTCATGTCACGCCAAGTACGTGTAACAAGACAGCTCCAGCTACCGCTTGGCAACTTCAAACACCGGCTACGAGCATGCGAGTTATGTGAGGCAGCGTGCCATACGCAAAAAAGCAATTGAACGTGTAACTCATGATAGACAGTATCTAGCTTATGGGTGATATGGCTCCGTCTAGTTCGGGTTCTAGGACACAGTGTTGGGCGACGGCCCCTCAGCCACGAAGCCTCGCCAAATGGCTACTTTGAGCTGCTGAGGGTGTGCCGCTCCGATGGAGGTATTTATGCAGTCGATTCATGTTGCAGGCTTTCGAATTTTTATGTTTATGAGTAGACGGCAGATGGACTCTACAATAAGTCGACTAGTTACTACTAGTTACTACAACAACAAGAGTGCTTGCAATTTGCCTGCCACACAGTGCGATCGACAAGATAGTTGTGAGATCTTGACTGCTAAGCTATCGTGCACGATACCTTTGGCCATGAATTTGCTTTGCTTATCCCTGGTGCTACTATCACACCAGCGGAGACTACTTGGGCGACCACAGCATATTTAATAAGGCCATGTACGAACTCGCACGATTCAACGGCGGTCGCACGCTTCACGTTGTCCCACCATGCTGAAAACTCGAAACTGTGCTTCATGCCCAATTTGGTAGCTTTCAATGAGCGCTCAACTCTGTAGTCTCCTCTACCATGAGGCCATAAATTGCCCACCTCGCCCCCGATGAGCGACGATTCCATGGAGTGTGAGTGATCATCCTCACCAGACAAACAAAACCTTACACCGCACCTAGGACTAGGGACAATGTCTCCCGAGTCCACACTCGTCTTCGAGGGCGACTACGCCGTGCGAAAGCGCGGCTTCGCGCACCTGCTGCGGATGGAGGTCGAGGCAATCTACTACATCAAGACGCACGCCGCCGGGCCCATCCCCGTGCCGACCATCATCGGCTTCTGCCTGGACGAGCAGTCCAAGACCATCGAAAAGGTCGAGGAGAACTACATCCGCATGAAGCGCGTCGCCGGCCACCGCCTCGACGCCGCCTGGCCCTCCATGTCGCCCGCCGCCCGCGCCCGCACCTGCCAGCAGCTTCGCGCCTACCTCGAGCTCCTGCACCGCCTGGAGCCGGAGCCCGGCACCGCCCAGGTCCGCGCCATCTCCGGCGGCGCCTGCTACAACCACCGCAAGAGCGAGCCGCCCGCCCTCCGCCGGCCGTTACCACAGCCGCCGAAAGCATCATCAACCTCCTCGATGCCGCAGATGATGACGACGACGTCGGCGGCAGAGTTCCGAAGGCCGTTTTTGTGGCGCGCGTGCGTGGACGTGGCGCGCTTTCACAACGCGCTGCCGAATCACCTGCAGGCGCGGCGCCCCGAAGCGGCGGAGGCGTTCCGGCGGAGGTTCGCGGCGGCGGGCGCGGAGGGGAGCGGGGAGGGGGGCGGCGCGACGGGGCCGCGAAGGGCGCGGCTGACGCACGGGGACCTCTCGTGGGCGAACATCTTCGTGGACGAGGCGACGGGGGACGTGACGGGCATCACGGACTGGGAGACGGCCGGGTTCTGGCCGGAGTGGTGGGAGTACTACATGGCGCTGCTGGGGCCGCGCGGCGAGCAGCAGTGGTGGCGGCAGGTGGTGGCGAGCATCATGACCGAGTATCCGGTCGAGGTGGGCATCATGGCCGAGATGGAGGCCATGGTGGCCGAGTTGGGCCGTGAGGAGCCCGGGTTGATGAGGTCTCGGGTTCTGTATGAAGATGGAGAGTGATATAAACATAAATGAATTGAAGACTGAAGTTTGTCCTCCGTTCCGGCCGCTGCAGCTCGAGAGTAAATAAGGAATTCTATTATGAAGAACATCATCTACTTGTAAATAACATTTGGCCGGCTTTCATTGCGCAACTAACACTCCTCCCCGGAAATCATCATCGCTCAAGACCAACACCCCGACGGTAGCAACTCTAACGACTGGCCGTGTCGTAGATTAAGCACATCGTTTAGACATCAACTACACCATCACGCAGTACGCGGTCACGCAATCACGAGCATGGCAAAGAGAAAGAAGAGTAAAAAAAAAATCCCGACCCGCGGGCAAAAAAAAAAAGCTTCCCGACCAGCAGGAAGACCCCGACCAGCGGGATGGGCCCCGGCCAGCAGGGGCTTGCACCCTGACCAGCAAGGCGCTCCCTGACCAGCAGGGACATCCTGACCAGCAGAATGAGTGGTAGAGTTGTTTGATAAGAATAGTCTAAGAATACACTAATAGTACAGGTGGTGGTACAGGGTAAAAATAGTTGAAAACCTAGAAAAGGCAAATGGGGAGAAGAAGGGCGATACTCAACTTGGAGAAAACCTCGATACAAGCCGGAAATGCTTCGAGGTTTCTTGCGGCGGGAGGTCGACTCGTCCGCGCTGCGAAATCCTTTTCTTCTTTGACAGACACATCGCGAATGATGCCGCCCTTTTCTTCTTCTTGACAGTCACATCACGAATGATACCGCCCTTATGACAGCCGCATCACGATTGATGCCTGCCCTTGTGACAGCCGCATCACGATTGATGCCTGCCCTTGTGAAATCTCCGGGACGAGAGAGCCTTGTCTGTTGCTGGAGGCCAGCGACGGCGCTTGCTCGACAAGAGCCTCTCGCCCCCCTTTTCTGTTCACTTCTTTGGCTGGAGAAAGGCCTCTCGGATCTCGGAAGTGTGTTTGTCGTTTTGCTTTTTTTTGGGGGGGGGGGGGGGGGGCCACGCATCATCACACCACGATGCGTGGTTGCACAAGTTTTATGTAAACAGAGGGGGCAGGCGTGCAACCTCTATAATAACATGTACAACGTTATGTTGGTAGTTAGGCGTGCACAGGAAAGGTTTCATCAAGGTTGTGAGAGGGCAAATTCTCGTATTCGCCAGCCACCCCGTGAGTGTTGTGTTGCTCTGCCGACGGTAGCATCACAAGACATGGACCACCACAGGACGCGCTTGAAGCCGAATGTCGGCAAAGATGCGTATTGCTCTGAGCCGCATGCATGTCTCGTGCTAAAACTCAGTTCCGCAACAGAGGCAGAGATGCGAGCAACCAGCCTCCTCCTTTGTAGCAGCCCATTGGGTCGCCGCGCACATTGTAGGACTGACTATTCAGACAGCAAGCACATGCATACTGCAATACACTGTGCGAATACTTAGAGGATTGCGCTCTTCATCAATTTGATCATCTTCGTCTTCAGCGATCCGGCGATAAAGAAATCTCTAGCAGGCTTGCAATCTTGATTCATGTAAACTTCCTACACTAAAACCTAACAGCTTTCAAAATACCACCTTTCCGTCTCAACTAAGCCCACACCTTGCGGAACTTGACCTCAAACTCTTCCCGAAGCAACTTAAAGGTCTTGATTACCTGTGGCAAATTACCATCCCCGCTGTCCTGCCAAGAATCATCGTCAAGAGACGACGTCGCCTCGCTTCCTGAAGCGCTGTCGTCATCGCTCACGTCGTCCTCCCAGGAAGCCAGCGCGACCGTTTTCTTCTTACTAGCTTTAGCGGCCTTGGGCTGTTTCCGTGCAGCTCCCGCGGCAGGCTGCTTTTCGGGCTCTTCTTCTTCCTCCTCACCCAGTCGCAGTTCTTCCATGGGCTCCTGCATTGCGTCGCCCACATCCTGCACGTCCGCCATGGCCGCGTCGTCGTCCGTGCGACCATCCAGGCGGACAAAGTTTTCCAAGCTGGTGACGATAGTCGCCAAGACGAGCGAAAAGTCTTTAAGGTGGAACCAGACGTCGCCGCGCTTAATCTTGTTGTCACGCACCAGTGCTGTTAGCTCGCCGTGCTTGAAAAAGTCGTAGATGTATGCGTTCCAAGGACGACCGGCCGTGTCAGCAGGATATATGCGAATGTACGGTACGGCCGACTCCTCCAGGAACACGTCGCTGCGGACCGTGGCGCATAGCTCGTGGATGGTATCAAAGGTGTCTGTTAATCCGGACAGCGCCGCAAAGGGCGAGCGGAGCTTCATGGGTGGCAGGTGAGCGATCATGGGCCGGGACTCGTCGTTCTGCTGGATCCCGACTTGATACCCCGTAAAGGGTAGCTTCGTGTCGGGAACGTGTTCCAGGCGCTGCTTGATATAGGTGCTTACGTAGTGCTGGAAGATGTCGAGGGCCTCCTGGTTGTGCCCACGGAGGACACGCTCCGCCGCGTCTGGAAGCGGAGGAAGCGCAATCACGGACGGCGACCGGACAAGGTTGCTCTGAATACCAAGCGGGATTCGACAGAACAGATGCGCCAGCACCAGTACCAGCTCCCGCATCACCGCCTCCGGATTCCTTTCGACCGTCTCACACAGCCTGTGAAAGTAACCCTCTTTAAGCAGTGAGTGGAACGCAAAGACGGCGTTCTCGGTAAAGTACAGGTGGCCTATCAGGCCCGCAAAGTTGAGCGGCGCGCCGTTCGCCGACAGTAGCCGCTGCCTGCGCAGGTACTCGATCGAGAAGCGCAGGTGGTGTCGGATGGCCATCTGGTCCGACGGGCCACCGAGGTACAACCGCGACAGGGAAAGCACGGAGTTGATAGCCCGTGTCGCGTATGCGTTGTTGCCAGTGTGGTGAGCCAGGCCGAGCAGGCGGACGACCAGCGTCGTCGAGAGCGGAAAGTGGCCACCAAGGTCCGGTAGCCGCGACGACATGACCTTGAGGGCTCGCGCGAGCGGCATCCCAGCAAAGACGACATTTCCGAGCAGGTCGAAGCCACGACGACCGGCGCGGCCGGAGGCCTGGTGGTAATTAAGCGGCGTTAGGAAGACGGAGTCGCCAAAGAAGACGACCGTCTTGCAAGGCATGTTGATACCGAGGGCGAGCGTCCCGGTGGCAATGACGACTCGTAGATAGCCTTTACGGAAGAGCATCTCGACACTATTGATGGGCATGTTAACATGTGGATTCCATTGTCACGATACATGCATTGGAGGTTGGCTGGCTGACTTACACTTGTCGGTAGTTTCGATTCATGCCCGCGTGGTGCACCGCAATGCCTCGACTAAGGGCCGCGATAATCTTTGGCTGCACATTGGCCTCGATAAGACGCTTTACCAGAGGCTTGCTCTCTGAGTCTGGCATCTTCTTCGTGTCCGCAAATGAGAAACGCTCCAGTGGCGCGTCCGGTTCGAAACTATCCCATTTGCTCGCCTCCACGCTCATCTCCTCCCGCAGCATGTCCAACTTGGACATCTTGTCGCCATTTTCGTCTTTTCCACGACTATTGGCCAGCCGCTTCTTGCTCTCCGTCTTACCCGGCCTCGCGTGCGATTTCGCCGCCTTCCAGGCCGCATATTCGTCAAGCTTTCTTGCCCATTCAGGGCTGGACTCTTTCCAGGTTTTCTCAGCGCGCGCAAGCTGGGCGGCGAGGTAGACGACAGTGGCCTCGCAAGAGTCTCGATCGTAGTTGAACAGGATGGCGGGCAGAGCTCCGCGAGTGTGCAAGTCGGTGAGCAGGGGCAACGCCATGGTGAAGACGTGTGCTTTGCTGTCCTGGACTGAAAATACTACCTTGAAATCATCCATTGCGGCTTCGTCAAGCGGGACCTCGGCGTCCGCATGGAACAGAGGGAAAGCCAGTTCACTTTGAACAGCAGAGAAAGGCGACTTGGTGTCTTGCATCCATGACTGTAAGACTTTTTTCAACAGGCTCCCCCATTCTAGGACATCAGACCGTTTGACAACGGCTGGAAAGAAGGTTTGAGGACACAGCGCATCATCGATAGGGTACTCTGGGCTTTTGTGCTTTGACATGCTCCGCCACAGGGATAGGCAGTCTCTTGGCTCAAGAGCAATGTCGTCCATGGTCCCTCGGTTTCTAGAGAGCTCTGTTAGTCCGTGTGAAATGACGCATAGAAAATAGAATCCAACAACTTACCGATTTGTGAGGCTGACTATGGGATGGATGAAATTGAACGACGGCACTTCAGCCTGTCCCTCATCAAGTCCAGGCGTTGCAAGACCTTCAACAGGACGCAGCCCTCTAAATGCAAACATCTTTCCGGGGGGGCGATACAAGAACTTGCGCAGATCTGAATACCGCGAAGAGTGTACGATCATCTCTACCTCTCGCCCCTTGACCTTTTCTGACGCCTCCAACCACTGCATAAACTCGAGCGGGTTGCCGACCGTGGCCGACAGCGCGATGAACGGGCATGGCGCAAGCAGCAGCAGCTGCTCCCAGATGATTCCGTCGTCGGCCTGCCCGATGCAGTGAATCTCGTCAAAGATGATTCTCTTGACGCGCGAGGACCACGGCCGTGCACCCTCGGCGTTGGACGGCGCCAGAAGCATGATCTGCAGAATGTGCGGCACCGTGACGAGCACCTGGCAGCCCGTCGGGTTATTGATGCGGTGATCGCGGGTATGTATTGCCCAGACTGACCGGCCACCGTCGCTATGGCCGTTGTCGTATGACTTGGAGAAGCGCGCCTGCACCTCCGCGGCGATCTGGTTGACAAGGGCCTTGGTGGGCGCGACGTAGACGAGCACACCGTCATCGCTGGACCGCAGGACCTGCTTCATCGCGTAAAAGGAGATGAAAGTCTTGCCGGCCGACGTCGGCGCGACAACGAAAAGGCTCCGCTCGGCGTCGATGACATCGAGGACGCGACGCTGCCACGCATCGGGCTCGAAGTTGGACACGCGAGGGTCCGGCGCGGGGTCAAAGCTGCGCTCCAGGAAAGGGCCGCAGTGCTCGAGCTGGAAGGCGAGGGCCTCGGTTGGCGGGACAAGGCTGGCCGTGAGGGTCTTGGGGAATGGCAGTTGGCGGTTGATGAGGAGGTGGTTGTCGCTGACTGTCACGGTGATGGGCATCTCGAGAAGACGTGAGAGCTTCTCGAGGAGACACAAGCTCTCGCGAGACTGTGGAAGCTTTTCGGCCTCCATAATGGTGGACCACATCTTGGCAAACAAGACCATTCTGATCTTATCATCCTTGCTCCGTCCCCCCAGTATAATCATCGAGGTGATTATGTGGCAAATGTACAGAAGTATCTCGGCGCCGATAAGACTCCGAGCATCGCTGGATAGAGCTGCGAGATAGGCAGTGACTTTGCCCAGGCGGCGTGTAATGTCTTTTTCGCCTTGAAATTGTCGGCAACGTTCATCCCAGGCCGCCATCATATCCCGGGCTTTGCTGTCAAGTTTCCCTCTCTGCATCTTCCAAGCCTCTTCAAGCGCCTTGTCTCGGCCGGCTTTTCCAGAGCTCTTTTTAATCTTCGGTTGAGAATTTTGGACTGGCAGCTTGGAATTTTGCAGGATAGAGGTCTCGCCTTTCCTATTGCCCCTCGTGGAGTTCGCGCTCGCTCCGGGGGCCGTTATTATGGTCTCTGGGTTGATAATCTTGCCTGCAGAGTTGGTCAGGCTCGCCGAGTAGGCAATCGTGTCGGCCATCATCTTCTGGTTCTTGAGACGGCGGTGGTAGCCCGCAGGAGGAGGTATTGTTCTTGGATCAACAGCCTTTTTGGCATTGTGCCAGTGTGACAGCTCACGAAAGACCTTGGAGCTGTCCGCCGACGCTGTCTCTTCCTTGGCGACAACATGAACTGGCTCCAAGTAATTGTCCAAAGTAGGGTGTCTGAAGGGCATGACAGGATTTACTGCATCGTTTGCTTGGTCCACTGCTGTTGCAGGCTCTGGAGCCTCGCCGCCAGCGATCTGCGGAAGAAACTCTGAGATGTCGACGTTTGTTAAAAGGTCGAGTCGTTCCGCAAAGTTTCTGGCCTCGACTATGACTTCTGCCGCCGGCATCAAATTCGAAAGATTCTCTAAGATCTTTCGAATTATTCGGGAGTCGAAAATATCAAAAAGGTCCCAGTTCTGGGCTCGGACATAATTGACACTGCTGGCGCAGATTTCTGTGAAGTAGGTAAAGAAGGTGTCGATACTCTCTTGCAGCGCTGGGCTCAGACACACCACAACGCATGGTCTCTCCGAAAGATTACACCGCTTCACCTCGGAAAGGTGAAGAATGTAGGCTGCAGCGCACCTCTTCATACAGTCGCTGGAGTCAAATAGAAGCGTATTGCAGAGACCGGTGAAGGAAACCATATCCTTGGCCGACAGTGGCGCTCGGTCAGACCAGGGGGACCAGTCATACTCAATGCCCACCCTTGCCTCTAAATCTTGTAATGTAGCTATTTCTCTTCGAGGCAGAGGCGATGGCTCCTCAATGTCGAATTTCGCTGTGCCTTGCGACGGAGGGAGCATCGAGGCGAAGGCCTGAATCAAGGCTTTAATTAGTACACTGAGCGCGACTTTTCAATACGAAATCTTGATAAGTTTTCATGGAATTAGTAATCGTAACGCACCTTTGAGCTTTTGAACTCGAAATTGTTGATCAAGGCTACACTGTAGCCTCTGGTGCCAATGTCATGAATGAAGGCGAGATGCCACTTGGCGAACGGTGTCGCATCGCTATCAAAACTGAGACCATCGAGACACAAGAAAAAGCGGAGAGCATTCTCGGTAGTATAATTTTGAAATTCAGCACTTTCAGCGCTCGGAAACTCGAACGTGATGTCCATGCTAGCCGAATGATGGCAGAGGTGTTTGATCAGGATAGTTCGCGTCAAGCGATGGAAGCCCGACGCAGCGGTGGACGATCCGGACGGTATGCAAAGACACTCATGGCTACTAAACCAAATGATATGAAATTGGCATCCACGGCGCTTCAGATTGCTGAGAAACGTCTCAACTGCGTGGATGGCATGTAATATCTGGAATCCGTCTGATCGCTGTTAGTCCGAGACCATATCATCTCAACACACTTTCAATGGGAGCGCGAAATTGGAAGGCTCCAGGGATGTTTGGTGCTGCATACCTCGATATTCGACCTTTGCTTCGGATATACAGTGCGTCAAGAGTGCCTCGCCGTGGATAGCAAATAGCTCTTTGCCGGCAAAGTCACCGATGAGGTCGACGCGAAGTGGCCTCAGCGCCTGATACCAGGCGACGAGTGCCGCTTCATCGTCAAGAGGCCCCATTTCTGTAGTGGAAGATGACGCGTTGGATGAAGAAGAAGAAGCTGAAGTGTATGGTACTAAAGCTGCGGCCGGCTCTGGAGGTTGTGGTGAGCGATGTCTTTGTCGTTGCGGGTGGTGGGTTTATGTGTTATTCGCCGTCATGAGTATTGCGAAAGTCTCCTGAAATATATACCAGGAACAGGAAGCCTGACAGATGGAATAAATATCCACCTTCAGGTAATGTCTGGTGTGCCCTGTGAAAAAAAAAAGGTAGGTGCAGTAGGTAGGGCAAACGGCTCACGGTGCATATATTCACTTGCTCTGATCACATTATCAAGCCAGCTCTGCGCCCTCCGCCGTATATGATGGTGACAGATGGAAAATCCTTTCGCTCGAGTGACAGTTACTTTGTTGGGTGAGAAGAGGTAACTGCCCGTAGGTGACGTACCGCCATTGGGCACCAAGGGAGGAGTAGTGGCTCGTCAAGCATTGAATCAGGCGACAATCGGACGCATAGCAAACCACCATCAAGTACGTATTCAACAGGTAAAGGTGACATTCGTTCGCCCGAGACAGTACAGGCTGGTGGTAGAGCCGTCATGCAGGCAATCGGTCAAGCAGCGGTTCCACACACGAAAGCCTGCCTGGCTGCAAGCCATCAGCAGCCTCGTCAATTTCACGGTTGAAGTATCTCACTTCAACGGGCTGATGGTACACTCGTTTGCTTTCATTGGAACTGCCTTGACTGAAGGGCGATCGGCTCAAGGGTTGAGAGGGAAAAGCTGTCGTCGGACTGCTGAGGTACGTAAAGACAGTTCTCGAGGAGGTGCTGATCCTCGATATGGTTGTCGCAAACGGTCTTAGCATTTTCTTGTTCATCCCTCTCTGCTTTCTGATGATTCTTGATGTCGAATGGTGAATCTCGTCGTGGACATATGTGCTCTCCTACTGATGATCTCCGAGTCAATTTTCGGCCGCCGTTTGCCTGGCAGAGGAGGTGCAAGTAAGAACGCTTCTAACCAGCACCTAGGACATGGCATGCCCTTCAACTCGACATGTATATGCTTACAAGTGAAGATGTTAGATGGTTGGAGTAGGCGCTGGATCTGATATCCGAGGGGCTGTCGTGGAACTGATGATGTAGGAGAGAAAGTGCAGGTGACAGGTAGGTATCTACCGCCAACTATGCCCACTCGGACTGGCAACCATCACAGGCAAGGAAACACAAGCGCAAGCAAACACTAATAGTGTCAATAGTGAGTATTTCGATAATTACGATAATCACAGTGATAGCGGTAATAGTAGCAATATAGTAAAATTTGGTGGCCCGACTGCGGCTACTGCATGTGCATTCGAGTTAAAACACATACACTTCACCTTCACTTCACTCTCACCAACTTCCCAGCACTGGTTTCGTTTCCTCTTCCTTTAGAGTTTTTTCTTGTTTTTGTATTTTTTATCCATCTCTTCCACTTGGTCCCCGCACATTTTCCCTTCGTTCTCCTACTTCTCCTACTTCTCCTACTTCTCCTCCTTCTTCTCCTTCTTCTCCTTCTCCTCCTTCTTCTCCTTCTTCTCCTTCTTCTCCTTCTTCTCCTTCTTCTCCTTCTCCTCCTTCCCCTCCCTCCTCCTTCATCACACTTTCCCCCTTGAACCCTTCCACTTCGCTGCTCAATCTCAGATATCTCGTTCTTTTTTCTAACATCTATTCGGTCTTTAATCTTTTAATCCTCAGCGATACAATATTGAAGCGGAGTTCGTCACCGACTCGTATCGAGTCATCACTTCGCAACACCAACTCTGTCTAGTTTGTTGCCTCAGTCATCTACACTCGTCAACTTCTGCTAATTCTAATGCAAAGATATTTAATCCAAAAGAGATAGTTTGAGACATAGCATCTGTTTCGTCATGGTCAACGAGGTCTATTACGATGAACTTGGCCAACGCGCAAGGCAAGTCATCCGGGACAGGTTTCTCCCGCGCTGCAACGAAGAAGAGAAGCAAAAAGTTGAAACTTTTCTACTGTCTAAGGTTAAGTTTGCGCCGTCCACTGTGGTACCTCGGAATCACTGTCTCGTCAGATCCATCCTGCCTGACGCATGCCCGGAGCTCCTTCGCCGTGCCCTGTCCTGCTTTGTCTTTGGACTAAAGCTGATCAAGGAATCAACCGCGGTTTCCGACAAGATCAAGCCAGATGAAGTATCACTAAACCGGTTTCAACTGGTGTCCGACCCTTGCATTACACTGCCGAAGTTCATTCACGCGCCCCGTGCTGTGAAACGGAAGGCGCTTGAGGCGCAGGCTGGCGCGCCTGATGGCAATGATAACGGAGATGAGAAGCGTGCCCGAAAGAAGAGGTGTGCAGCCCAGCCAAGGGATGCTAATTGCAAGGCTTCACCGACCAGCGAGGCTAGCGGAAGCAGTCGCGAGACCACTCTAGCCAGCGAAGTCGACCAAGGCCTTCGCGATCCTGCTCTACGTGGCGGCGAGACTCGTCACAGCAGTATTGAGATTGATGATCTCAACAGGCTCCGAGTTGCTCTCAAGCAAAGCGTTGATATTACCCAAGGTGTGGAGTGCCTTCCAGAAATTGTTGTTGCTCTAGAGAATAAAGTCGAGGGCGGCCTTGGACATCGCAACGACAGCTCTAAAGACGTCCAGGACAAACTTGAGGATTTCACCAAAATCCCGGAAGATCGTGAGAAGGCGCTTGAAAATGGCAAATGTCAACTTGACGATCTCGAGAAGACGCCTCAAGATGGCAACGGTCGAGTCGACGATCGTAGAAGCGAGCTTGAAGATCGTGAGAGGAGACTTCAAGATCGTGAGAGGAGACTTCAAGATCGTGAGAGAAGACTTCAAGATCGTGAGGCTCAATTACACAACCTCGAAAAAACTGTCAAAAGCTGCGAAGCAGAGCTCAAAACCTACGAGAAAGCGCTCGAAATCAGCGAGGCTACATTGAGCCGTCGGGAGAATGAGCTTGACTGCCGCAAAGAAGAGCTACAAAGCATCGAGACAGTCTTGAACGCCAAGCAGGAGGAGCTAAATACCCGCAGTAAAATGCTAAAGAGCAGCGAGGCAGCCTTGGAAGGCCAAGAAGCTGCTCTTCTCTGCCGAGAGAAGGAGCTTGAATGCCATAGGAAAAACCTCGAAAGCACCGAGACCGACTTGAAGACGCGAGGGGGTGAGCTAAACACCCTCATTGAAACACTCAATACCAGCGAGGAAGACTTAAAATGCCGGGGAGCTGCTCTTCTCCGTTGTGAGATCAACCTCGGGCAGCGCGAGCAGGCAGCCCAAGCCGGAGAGGCGCATCTGAAGAGCAAGCACAAGAAGGAGAACGACGAGGAGGACTACACCGGCACGCTGACCCAAGCCGGTCGTTGTCTTCACGACAAGTACATTCGAGAGTACCAGGAATACTACGACCGATCCATCCTGGACATCAATCAACTCCGTATGCTGATCCATGTCACCGCGGCGGGCCACGCCCAAGATGCCGAGCGTGGCGACGCTACGAGACTCCTCGAGAGGCTCACTCTTGCCATCAACCACTCCGCAGTCATGTTTCGAGGAATGGCTCAGATACCGGATTCTGAGAAGGGCGCACACTAAAGATGGGGGCAGGAGTTAGGCTGGGTTTGGATGGCGGCGATTTGGGATCAGGATTTCCGAATGGCGTTGGGTTGGGGCCTAGCTTGCGGTGAGATGACTAGCATTTTGATCCATCGTTTTCTTTTCTTGCTATATGTTGTTGCTATACAAGAATATAGGGATTGTTCAAGATGGTGCTTTCAACAGGGAGAGGACGGTGTTGGTGGTAAGTTCCTGGGCATGGCGGGCGGAATGAGCCTTTAACAAAGAATCAAGAAAGGGCTGCTAAAGCAAACATTGAATTAAGAAAATTAAATACAATATATTAACGATTATTGCTATTATTAATGGATCACTATAACTGCTATTTTTGCCATCAACTGCAACGAAGCGACTAGAAAGTGCCTTGACTACCGCACAGCCTCAATCGTATCTCTGAGCACAATTGATATATAAATATTTTGTTTCTTAGAGACTAAAAGCCACTAGGTAATATTCCACATGACCAATTAGAATTCGAGCGGTATTCAGCTTGACAGGAGGTAGGCATTCGTACAACTTCCCGTTCAATCAGCGTTCCGTGCGCAACGGGAAGCTTCACGTTGCGCAGCTCTACATCGCCATCACCAAGATCAGTCGTAAAATTGCTTAACCGAGAACCCAGCCATGCTCACGCCCGCATCAGCATCCGTCGGCGACCGCGACCAGTTGTTCCTGATCCGCGCTCGTGTCCACTCCAACGCCGGCACCTCGCCCTCGCCTCCCCCCTTGCCCTCCTCCTCGCAGTACCCCAAACGCCGGAGCAGCGGACTGTCCCAGCGCCGCAGCGGCAGCCGGTCGCTGGGCCGCACAAAGTACAGCAGCCCGAGCTGGTCCCGTGCCCGCTGGTCCTCCGGCGGCACCACGACGCGGTGCACGCCGCTCCGCAGGTACCCGCCGGACAGCATGGACAGCACGTCGGCGACGTTGACCGACACGACGCCCTCCGGCACGCGGATCCACTCCCACGGCGACTCCTCGCGGCCGCCCTTGCGCACCTGCAGCGCGGCGACCGGCTGCTGGAAGAGCAGCGTGGTGGTGCCGTTGTCCGTGTGGCCGCGCGAGTACAGGTCCTGGAAGCGCTCGTTGGCCTCGGCGGAGCGCGCGCGGTAGTTTATGTAGCGGAGGCCGCTGTCACAGTTGGACTCGTAGAGGTGGCCGTCGGATATGTGCTGCTCCGGGAGCTCCAGAACGAGGGGCGATGAGGCGCAGCAGCTTGATGGCAATGTTCTCGTGGACGTAGCGGTGGAAGCGCTCAATCTCGGCCCAGTGCTGCCGGAAGATGTCGGGATGCTCCCGCTCATTTTGATGCAGGAACTTTAGTATGTTGTAGAACTCAATGTTATCGTACAGGCCCGGCAGGACTTCGATGGATCCGAGTGGCTGGTAGCCGTTGTAGATGCCTTCCTCAAGGGGTGCTCGGTACGACCTTCGCACGTCCTCAGGGAGAGCAAAGAATTCACGACCAATAGCGTATTGACGGTTAATCTCATCCGGATTGAGACCAAAGTTTGTAACATAGAAAAAGCCTGTGATGGTGCAAGTAGACGCACCAAGCAGGTAGTTGCGGTTCACGTACCAACATTATGCACCGCGACGGTCAACTGGGCTGCCAACCTTTCCTTGCCTCCGGGCTTGTCAAATTCGCCAAGATCAATCGTGGTCAAGTTCGCATACTGCACTTTTATTAATGAGTCTATGATGCTATTGCCATGTTCACCAGGATAGGGATTTACAGCGTTCTTTTGTCTCTGGTGGGTGGTGATAAGGTAGGAGATTCTGGGACTGAGTCTGGGTTGGTTCGGCCATCTTCTAGAATAGGATAGTAGAAAGATGCGTAGTCGGGGCACTGGGGAACTGGACAAATCGAGATCGATGCTGGCATTATAGGAGGAGCGAAACACGGGCACAGTGCAAGACCCCTTGTGACAGCGGGACCTCGCATTCATGCTTGATATATATACATGCTGGAGAAAATATATGCAGCAGTAGTCATGAGGTACTTTCTTTTCCGAAGGGACTTTGCTCGAGGATGCATTTCAAAGAACTTTGGTACAGGGCACATTTCAAAGGACCCTTAATTGACGATGTCATAGTAACTTAGCATGCAGAGGATGGCCACAGCTAGAGCCAATATATGCAAGCATCTGCACCGGATGAGCAACCTTATATGCTGATCCCTGCATGAGTAGCTTGCCTGTATTCGCGTTACGCATGCGGGGACCTTTGGGGGAGAACGACACGAACTGGAGAAGACAACAATTCAGGTTCACCCGCGGCTTCCTATAGTACTGGCCTTGTGTCAGCACAGTCCTTGTTCGCAGTAGGCTGGAGGGGGCCCGAATGATGCACGGTAGCTAAATGAACACTGTTGACATCCAGTCATCCCCAGATACACCAGCCGCGCCGAATGTGCAGCTCCTTCTTCACCAAAGAAATTTTCCAAAGGCTACTACACTCGATCGCCGTACTCAGAACTCGGTCATCATGGGCCGGACCCGAGTCCAACCAACCAACGTGCGGTTCGTCTGCGGACTCTCCGGATACTTCCACAAGGACCTCGCCGCCGTCAAGTCAAGCCCGCACTTTGACCCCCTCGCCGTCGACGGCGCCCCCGTAACGCCCGGCTTCACCAGCGTCGTACCGGCGCGGTCGCAGTCGGCGACTGCGTCGACGTCATCTTCTCTGGGGCCGCCTCGCGGGACCCCCTGTTCCTCCCTGCACAGCACCTCCCGTTTCTGCGCGCCGTCGCCGGGCCGTGGCTGCTCCGCCGCGACGTCTCAGTTTTTCGTGCGAACGCGATCGCCGTAGACGCCCTGGGCGGCAGCGGCGGGTGTGGGAGGCGGCTGCACACGGCGGTGCGCTACGGTCTCACGCAGGCGCTGCTGTCGGCGACGGCTCTGGTCTGGCGCTGCACCGCCGCCGAGGTAATCGCGCGCGAGTGGGCGGTCGAGATGAGCGCGCGGCCGGTGGACATCCTAGCGTCGTGTCACTGCAACGACTGGCTGCAGCTGGACAGGATGATCATGAAGCGAGTGGCCCTCTTGCCTCACGCGTCGTTTGTCCACGTACGCGACATCGGGCCGGAGGGAGATTACCTGCTCGAGTACGTGCGCTCGGTTTCGAGACGAATCCAAGAACGAGGAGCTTCAGACTACCACCCGCGGCTGCACTTTGACGTCTACGGCAGGCTCGGCGAAGCCTTCGCCGACGCGGAGATCCCGAGCTTCATGGAGCTCGTCGCGCGCGCTGCGCATCCCTACGGCCCCGTGCTCATCGAGTCGCCCATCGTAGCGTCCTCCCGGGAAGCGCAGATCCAGCGTCCGCGGCAGCTCAAGCAGCCTGCATGCCCGTCGCATCGCCGTCCAGATCGTCGCCGACGAGTGGTGCAACACTCTTGAGGATATTCGCGCGTTCACCGCAGCTGGAGCGGCTGACTTCTTGCAGGTCAAGCTGCCCGACCTCGGCGGCCTGCACGACGCGATCGACGCGGTGCTGCACTGCCGGGCGCGGGGGATGGGGTGCTGCCTGGGCGGCTCGGCTAACGAGACGGACGTGTCGGCGCGCGTCACGGCGCAGGTGGCGCTGGCGACGCAGCCGGACTTTTTGCTCTCGAAGCCGGGGATCGGGGTAGATGAGGGGGTGATGATTCTGACGAATGAGATGCTGCGGACTTTGGCGCTGGTGGACGGGTTTGATGGGGTTGTAAAGAGAAATGGCGATGGGGTTAATGGTGCTGCGGATCACCAGACGAAATCAAGCCAACGCCCATGTATTCAGAGTTCTTTGCGCCGATTTTCTCTGATAATATTTTCCTAAAATATACCCTTTGTATTTCCTTATGTATTTTTCTTCTTTTCTTTTTCTAGGTTTCTTTATTTTCTATGTTCCTCTGTTTGCCTCCTGGCCCAGCTATATACTCGAGTCGACGTCGTATCAAGAAGTATCAAGTAAACAGGCAATGTAGTTACCTATCAACTACATGATGGATCAATTCAGATATTATAATTGAGTATAAGAACCTTTCGGGTCATTTGTACAATTTATCATATTCTAACTTGAATTTTTACGGGCTACTTCTGCTAGAGCGCAAAAAAGTGACCACGCTATAGGGTAGTCGGTATTTCATACAAGACCGAACGTACCAGTAAGCACCGAACATTGGACTTGTTATCGTCTATGCTATTCCAAAGAATGCATCGACTTACAAGATCTAGAAAGCTAATTAGTATTTTCCATATAAATATGGATTTTATTGATTTGCATGGTGACTGTCGTAACAGAATAATGCACCTTGTAGCTGCACTTGGGGCCAACGATGGCGCCAAGCTTAAGCTGGGGTGGAGCTTGGTGTCGTCTCGAACTTGAAGATGCCCCTCTCAACTTACGCAACAAACGCGCACATGCAAATGGCCGCGGCCAACGACCTTGAACGACCATCATGACGGTCCAACAGCATGTCCTCAACTGGCTTTACAGTGTTCTGACCAGCGTAAGCCACCCAAAGTTGCATCGCTTGCGTTGCGCGGCCTCTAACCTGCGTCTAGGAATACCACGACGTCAACCGCAGTTACGACGGCATCGCTCGCGTGCTCAGCCGCTACCCGACCCTCTCACCGCGCACCGACGTGTATAGTATGTCGATTTATCCTCATCTTCAATGCGCGAGCAAGCATATCTAACCTGACAAGCTTCACCCGATGGCGCCAGCGCGCTGCTGGTGCACCTCTCTGGCACGCTGCCCGTCAACTTTCGCGGCAGCACGTACCGATTCCCGCTGTCGATATGGATACCACACAGATACCCGAGGGAACCGCCAATAATATACGTTACGCCTACCGAGTCCATGCTGATACGGCCAGGGCAGCATGTCGACCAGCAAGGCCAGGTCTACCACCCTTACCTTGTTGGGTGGCAGCAGTTTTGGGATGTATGTGCCGTTCCGTGCCGTGCCACCAAGACGGGATGACGATGACTAAATGTTGAGACAGAAATCGACCTTGCAAGACTTTCTCGCGATACTTGCCGACGTATTCGCAAAAGAACCACCGGTGGTGGCGCGACAGCCGAGACCGGCGGCGCAGCCACAACCGCAACCCGAGACCCCTCCGCCTGTCCCTCCATTGCCCGTCGAGATGGCAGCGAGACCAGTGCAATCACCAGCTTCAGAACAGGCACGACCCCCAATCCCGCCGAAATCTCCACAAGACTCTAGATCAACTTCTGGCCCTCCACTACCGCCTTTGCCCCCGACGTCTCCCTTGGCGCAGCAGCGACAACCCTCAAGATATGACTCGGCGCCTCCGTTGCCACCGCAAGCGCATCAACACGAGCTGGGAACTACCCAAGGAGTCGCAAGTTTTGGAGCCACCGTCGCCAGCCCTCCTGTGTATCCTCCGCATCAGTCACAACACCAAGCGAACCCAAGCACCGGATCCGCGTTACCAACATATAGCCAAGGCAACTGGCAACAGCAACCACCACAGCCCGGATCATGGGGCCAAATGCATCATAATCAAACACGAAATTACCCCCCTGAGCAAAGCACAGCTCATGCGCAGCCACCACCACCGCAGGATCTACTTCTGGACGACCCACTGACGATTGACATCCCCCCGCCGTCAACGGTCAAGGCGCCCCCCATCCCCCCCAACCCGGAAAAGGACCAGCTGCTGCGACAGTTGGCCCAAACACTGGCATACATGAGAAAGCAGAGCCGCCAGCAGAACGAGCAGTCGATGACAGGCCTGCAGGCCCAGCGCGCGGCGATGGTGCAGGCGATGGCGGGCCTCCAGTCGGAGCTGGGACAGCTCACGCAGCTGTCGAGTCTGCTGGCGTCCAACACTAACATCCTGCATGAGGCGCTGCGGCGAGCAGACGGGGTGATTGAGGGCTCGGCCGGACACGCCAAGCCGGATATTGATGAGCTGCTGGTGGCACCGACGGTGGTATCGAACCAGCTGTATAGCCTGGTGGCGGAGGAGCGCGCTCTGGGCGACGCGATCTTCATGCTGGGAAGGGCTGTGGAACGGGGAAAGATCCCGGCGGCCGTGTTTGCCAAGACGACGAGATCGCTGGCGCGCGAGTGGTACCTGAAGAAGGCGCTGGCGCGCAAGATAGCTGAGGGCATGGGAATGGGCGGCGTTGGCCAGGCTGCGGGACGAGGACAATCCTAAGGCCTGCAGCGTGCTGTGGGGAGAGGCTGCCGAGAAGTGAGAGGGAGGGGATCAACCATGTTCATGTACGTATAACGAGGAATGCATGCCTGCAATCGAAAGCAATGGATCCTGGCAAAGTGGAAACTGCATGGCCGTGAAGATATCCCAAGACAACGCCGAGAGCGACAACCCGCGGAGGATCAATAAATCTGGTTTATGGTATGGGATGAGGAGACTAGCGAAATCGAATGCTATACTGTAGCGGCGAATTCATCTCAGAGCGACATGGCAAGAACATTGCTGCTTCTCAGGCTCGGTTGGACATGATAGTGCCTAGCAGTGTCAGTTCCATCAAACGGCATTCGACAGAACCTCACACATCACCATCTCAACAACCAATCACGCCATCGTCCCAGCGGACCTTGATCCTATTGCAGCGGTAGCTCCGGCAAAAAGAGGAGCTGCCGCGCCGGGCCGGCATATCTCACGGCCACATCGCACGGCACGGCCCCCAAAAGCAGCCACTGAGTCTTCTTCAACCAAGAACAGACGAATCACGGCTTTTTTTGCCCCCCTGATCTTTCCCCTTTTCTGCACTTTATCACCTTTACCGTAGAGTCAGTTTGGCAACCCGGGCCAAGCTGATGTTGGTTGATTCAGATGGAAAACCCACAGGAACAATACCAAGGCTGGTATCCGTCCCGCAGCCCCCACAGGAACAATATCAAGCGGCTCACTCGGAGTCTCACCCGGGAAACTCCACTCCTCCACCATCAATCACCACCACCCTGGACAGCGACGACGACGACGACAACTCAACTCAGTTATACGGCTTCTCTTCTTCACTTTCAGCAATAATACGGGAGCATGCGTTGACCCTTGGCCACAATATGCATCAGGTCCCTGCTTGGTCTTGACTGCGGCCAACGCCTCACCTTTCTCACCACCCTATTGTTCCTCCTTTGGCGAGAGTCGTTGCCGTTTGTCTCGGCAGTTGTGCATTTGTGCTTGCCCTCGCTTGCCCGTGCTCTATCTCTCCCGGTTGTTCAATGCCGGAGTATATAGCAAAATGGATGGCCCAAACGAAGCAGAGAAAGGCCCCGTGCAGCCGCTTTTCTTTGTGTCTGGTTGAAGGGTCCTCGCCGCTCTCTGCTGCCACAACAACCCTGCTGAGACGGCTTCATTCCCCGGAATGTTGTGCAACTTGATCTCTCGAGCGTCTCTTTTAACTTTATACAAGGCTTGCATACACAACTCTTACATCGACAACGTTCCATCTCGTACCACCTCGTCCACGAACCCACCATGGAGAGCCCTCCCCAAGAGGTCGTCGACCCATCCTTTGACCGGTTCGCCGGCAACGTCACCTTCTTCCTCGCCGACCACAAAACGACCGCCTCGGTGCCCATGCACACGCTCAACGCCTACTACGACGAGTCCATCAGCATCGTCATGAACTACGGCGCCCAGCTCGGCGCCTGCCTCATCATGCTCCTCGTCGTCCTCGCCCTGACGCCCACAGCCAAGCTCTTCCGCCCCGCCTCCGTCCTGCACCTCCTCGGCCTCCTCATCTCCGTCATCCGCTGCGGCCTGCTCTTCTCCTACTACGTCGCGCCCTTTAGCCACTTCTACCAGATCTGGGCCGGCGACTTCTCCGCCGTGCCGCGTCGCTACTGGGACGCGAGCCTCGCCGCCAACACGCTCGCGCTGCCGCTCGTCGTCGTCATGCAGGCCGCGCTGGTCAACCAGGCCTGGACCATGGTCGCCTTCTGGCCGCAGAGGTACAAGTACGCCGCGTGCGCGCTCTCGGGCGTCATCGTCCTGCTGACGGTCGGCTTCCGCCTGGCGTACACCATCGTGCAGAACCACGCCATCATCACGGCCGACCCGGCCGTCTGGTTCTTCTGGGGCGTGCAGTGGACCGTCGCCATGGGCGCCGTGTCCATCTTTTGGTTCTGCGCCGTCTTCAACGTCAAGCTCGTCTCCCACCTCATCAAGAACCGCGGCATCCTCCCGTCCACGACCCTGATCAACCCGATGGAGATTCTCATCATGACCAACGGGACCCTGATGGTCATTCCTTGTACGTGAACATGACGAAAACACACACAAACAACACTAGGTTACCACCACTAACACCATACACAGCCGTCTTCGCGGGCCTGGAGTGGGCCAAGTTCACCAACTTCGAGGCCGGCTCCCTCACCCTCACCGCCGTCATCATCATCCTGCCCCTCGGCACCCTCGCCGCCCAGCGCATCTCCGCCAAGGGCTCCCAGAGCTACCTCGCCGGCAACAACCACAACCACAACCACCGCAAGCACCAGACCCAGACACGCAGCGACTTCCGCAGCGCCGGCACCGCCTCCACCCTCCACACCAAACCCTCCTCCACCGTGACCTTTTCCACCACCAGAGGCGGAAACGGCGCGCCAGTCACGCCGCAAATGTCGGCGGGGTCCAGGACCGACGACGTGTCGCTGCTCATCGACCGCCGCCCGGAGCGCATGGACCCGATCGACCTGGAGCTCGGCAGGATCGACGCCGCCTTTGAGGGGCACCATGAGGAGGACGGGGACGAGGTGACGTCGTCGTGCGCGCGGTCGGCCGATCAGCGGGGGAGAATGCAAAGGGACGACTTTGTGTTGTGAAGAACAAAGAGTCAAATCAAGACCTGCTGCCTTCACGGAAACCAGGGCTTGTCGCCTTCAGAGAAATCAATTTGTTGCCTTCTTCTTTTATACGTTGCGATATAGTTGCTGGATTGTATAAGATCGATCTCGTGGTTTGTATTGCGCTTGGGCAACCCATGTTCGCGCACACAAAGCTTGCCCACAAGAGAATAAGTTGGCGTTGCACCATTAGGACAATAATGAGACGAAATATTCAGCTTGTATTTCGTTACCAGAATTCTACAGGAAAGTAATGTCAAAGCACAAATCCCTAGCCGACCTTGTCCACCGAAATAATTGTGTTCGTTCTATCGTAGACTGTGGGTTGACCATCCCTCTGCGACAAGGCTACTCGGTATGCCCGCGTCTCTTGAGAGTTCCTTGAATCTTGCATAGACTAATAAGTCTCTTCATCTCAACACCGTGCATAGGTCGGGGCTGCTCCAACCGACAGTGCGCTTGCGAAACCAGAGTCCCCGAGCTGCGCGAGAACCAGCGCCGGGATGGGTGTCGTGGTTTCAAGGTCCTCGGAGAATCACCAGCAGGCGAGCGTGAGCAGTCTGTGGCGACATTATTCGTACCGTAGTCTGATTCGCTCGCAACACACACGTTGTTGTGCAAAGAAGATTCCTGCAAGAGAATGTCCATGTGACCATGTACATGCTCCCCATCACGATACACCTTTGCATGGCTGGATAAGTAGGGATCAAAGAGGCTAAGCTCACCAGCTTTGGAAGCTCTCAACGGCTGTCTGTGATCTGCTGACACTTCACACCACTCTGTGTGCAGTCTTTTGCGTGGTGCAGCTTCGACAGAGCCAAGCTTCCACATGGCGGGGTACTCTGTAAGTTTTCCCGACTCTCCCGTATTTCGTGTTCTTTTGAATCTCCAGGACGAGGAGATCTTCTTCAGAGACCCTTTGAGCTTTTCTCGCTTGCTAGTCGGATTTTCTGCCTGCGATGGTCTTTTGGCTGACTCGACGGGAGTGCCCGAGTGTGCTGAGTCCTTATGGCCCATGGCCTCAAAGAAGCCGAGAGCGTCTCGAAAAGTCTCAGGCTTTTTAGGTTTCACAAAAGTGCCATACCCTGCTGCCTCCCGAATGGGAGCTGTCTTTTGCGGCGTCCTTGGCTTCTGTGGCGTTACAATGCGCTGTGGTGACCATTTTTGCGCGAGTTGCGGGACGGATCGACCCCTCTTGGCGATTATTACAGAATCGACTGACTCTACCGATGGGGTTGGTGTAATGCTGTTTGCCGAGTGCCGCTTCATCTCTGAAGATGCAGAATGTCGCGGGCTTGACGGAAGCAGATGTGCCTTGTCGGGGGAAGAAATAGGCCACGAATCTCTGGACGCCAGACGGACAGTCTTTATTCCCAGCTTTGACGGTGATTTCAAAGGTGACCCGGTTGAAGAAACGAGGGAAACTCGTGGAGTTGATTGCTTAGACCCATCGACTTTAGATGACCGCCAGAGCTCGTCATCCCTCAAATAATCGTACGACTCAGTGTCGCGGCGTACCCTCAATACAAGACTCAAAGCCGGTACAGAGTGCATGGAAGAGTTTTGTAGTCTCTCATGGTGATACGGGTGAGAACTCTGCAAGGAGACACCGAGGTTCGGTTTTATAGGACTGCTGGGAGCTTCATCGCGGGTCAGGATTGCTTTTTGTTCAAGGCATGAATCGGTACGCACCTGTTTTCGGTGTTGAGTAGATGTGTCCACAGGATTGTGACAGAGGGAGCTTCTTGTCTAAGCTCTCTAATAGCGGGAAATTAGTTGAAGCCTTGGGTGTCTTTGTGTTTGGGACATCTGCATCTGCGATGCAACTGTTAGCTTCTCGGTATCAGATCTTGGATGAGGTGGCGTACCTAGGTTAGCCTTCGGCGCGGGCTCCTCAGACTCAAAAATCTTTCTCGTCTCTGCCACAGTTGAAAGGCGATCCCTGTGATGGGCATTTTTGGGCGGAGCGACATGTGGTTTCCAGGGTGAGATGTTGGTCCGTCCTGGTTCAGCCGCCGCGGGTAGTAATTCAAGCCTTTCATCCTTTCTATACGGGGCATTTTCGAGATAACGTCGGTTGTCTTGGAGCGAGTTCAGTGACGACATGGTTTTGCTGGCCGTCAAACCCGCCCCCTGCTGTCGGGGATTGCTAAGCTTCCTGCGAGGCGCACCACCGTTGTTGGCCTTGTCGAGCGTCTCAAACTTGTCGACGAGGTGCGCCAGGCCTCGCCTGGGCAGCGTGTTGGCGCCATCACTGTTGGCCATGTAAGAGCCAGGGGGCCGGGCATTGGTGCTTGTTGCCACTGCAGCCATGACCTGAAACGCACATGTAAATTTTGCGTGATACAGTTAAGATGATGCTGTGAGACTTGCAGACTGCGAGTCTTGGGCGGGAGAAAACAAAATGCAATAGGAAAATGGACCGACTGAAGAAAAACAAAAGGACGATTCAATGCAAGCCAGGACAAATCGTAGGTAGCTAAGGTGTCTTGATGCAGTGGCCGCGTCTTGGGAAGTGTTTTGACGTGAGGCAAGGGATGGCAGGAGCTGCAGGAGGGTAGCGAGTGCCCCTGCATCAGATTGCGATGATGACTTGTGGCCACTAATGCACACCATTTAGCCCGACCTGTACCTCTTTTAGTAGTTGCGTGTATTATGCACTCGTTTCAGGGTCTGTATGCACGTAGAGAGAGAGAGAGAGTGCGTGTGTGTATGGAGAGTATATGTGTCTATTCACATGTGTAGGTTCCTTCCTATGCGCATGAAGCCCAAGAGGCGCATTTGCTGTCGAGGCGGGACTCTGGCGAAAAAAAAGCCCGCCCTCAGCGAAAAATATTGTACAAGATTCATCCTTTTTTCTTTCTGATCGTACAGTGCTTGATTGTAAGCAAGCAGCAGGGATGGGCTGGTTAGTTCTGCGGCAACGACCATCCGTCTGTTTCATCGTTTTGGGGTTCATTCGGCAGCCCTACGCGGGCTGGGTTTCTTTCCGTAGACGTAGTGACGTGTAAATTTTTTTACTGCCTGTAATGCGACGCTTGTTAGTCACAGCGCGAAAGAGGGAAAGAGGGACGCGAGGGAGGCGGCCTACGGAGGCAGAAGGAATTCGCTGAACGGGCTCGAGAGGAAAGCGACAGCAGCCTGCACGTTTGGTTAGCCAGGTCAAACAAGCGGGCAATGGAAGAAAGAAGCGCGCAATAGAATTCATCTAGAGATATCAGCGCCATCGTTAGAGAGACAACTTACGCCAAAGACGGCAATGCTGCGCACGACTGAGGCGTTCTCCGGCGACGTCAGGGTGTCGTAGGTCGCGGCAATGTAGCCCTTGGGGGCGGCGGCGTGGCGGCCATGCTTCTCGACAAGAACTCGCTTGGGGGCCATGGTGATGGATAGCTTGCGATTGTGCGACTTGGAGTGGACGGTGGTGAATGCGACAAGACGATGGATTGAGATTGATGAAATGGTCGTCAAAAATTCGATGCGATCAAGTTTGGCTCGCCATCGCAGCTCCACATATAAAAGGGTGATTTGTGGCGCTTGATTGGAGGCGCTGGGCCTACTCACCTCACTGAGACTCACAGGTATGTATGTATGTACTGTATGTACCTGCCAGAGCCTACCACATCACTAACACTAGGTACTTGCTTCTGAGATTCGACTTTCCTTCGCCATCTATCAATCATAGCTTCGTCTTATCTTTGAAAAATCTCAGATTCATTCAGGCATTTTTCCTAGATGCAAGATCAATCTTCCCCCCAACCCGGGGGCTTTGTCCAACCCGCCGCCGGCCTACTCTCCCCGGCACCCTCAACCGCCGTCGTCTCATCGCCCGCCGCGGCCTCACTACCCCAGCCCCGGCGGAAACCGCTGAACCCCGGCGGCAGCAAGGAAGACCAGGTCCGGCGCGACCTCGAAGAGGCGCTCCTCAGCATCTCGCGCCGCTACGTGAAAAAGTTTAGCGGCCCGGACCCCTCCGACGCCGTCGTTGGCTTCGAGACCTTTGGTGAGGTGGCGGCCGCGCTTGACGGCGTCATCGACACCCTGTGGCGCTCCGGAACTCGTGAGTCCCCCCCCCCCACCGAGAAGCCGAGAAGAAAGTGTTGGAAACTGATGGGCTGACTGCTCCTCTAGCCTCCTTGCAAGTACCGTTCCTGCTCAAGGTCTGCGGCGACTTTACACAATACGTGCGGTCGTTCCCGCCTGCGCCCGCGGCCACGTTCCGGCTACTGGGCAAGATGGACCACTGCTTCGCCAGCCTGCTCTGCGGCAAGGACATTGTCACGCAGGAGACCCTGCCAGGCTTCGAGAACGGGCTGCGCGAGGGCATGACGACGACGGACATGGTCCGCTGCCGCAGTCTGGTCGAGCAGACGCGGGTTCTGATAGTGGAGATTATGAGCAATGAAAGCAGTGAGGATTCTGATGAGGACGATGAAGACGAGTATGATGATGATGACGACGATAACGATGATGATAATGACGATGACAACGAAGATGACAATAATAATGACGATGGTGATGGCGAAGGTGACGAAGAAGACCTTGCCTCTGTCCACCTTGGCGCCGCTCGCGTTTTTGAAAACACCATTATCCAGTTGAACAATAGAATGGGAGACGGCGGACTGGCCTCTACATAGCTGCGAAGCGGACGGCCCGCCAGGTAGTCAAATATATACACATATTGGAACATGGCAAGCAACACAAGTCATTTTCAGTAGTCTAGAAAAACTAATAAATCACAATATCTCAGCTTCATTTTTTGTCAAACGAGACGAGCGTGCTCCACCAGAAAGAAAAAAAAAATCCAGTTGTCCGTTGTCAAAACTGCAACAATACAAAATACTGACAGAGTTTGATATGAAAGAAGACAAAAACGCAGTTCAGAGAGTAACAAAGCCATAGAAGAAGTAAAGGGGGGAAAGGATGAGGGGGAGAAAAAAAAGTACAAGAGGGACCATAAACCGATAAATACCAACAAACTCTTGTACCAGCTTGAGAGTCTTCGTTACGCGGAAAATTGCACACGGAATCCCGCCAGACCCAATCGCCACATGACCATGATTTAGATCCGTACAAACGCCGTTATGAAACATGATGCCCTATTAAAGTCTGACCCAAACGTAAATGGAAGCAGGCAGACACCGAGACAGATGAAAGAGAAGATCAGGGAGGAACAAACAAAGAAAATATGAAAACGATGGGAGGATTGATGACCGAGAGCCCAGCTACCGGGCGCACCACCACCGGTCCGGATCATCTCGCCTCATCAATCTGCACCAATCTCGTTACCTTCCATCCCCGAGAATGTGCCGTTAAAGTCAAACGCTTCGGCATTGCCGTCGTTATCATGCAGAAACGAGTCGAAGTCAAAGTCGTTGAGGACATCGCCCGTGTTAAGAGGATTGGCGAACTCCATGCCAGGGAAGTCCACCTGCAGTCTGTTAGTAGGTACATCGGCGCCAAGTATCTTAAGTGTCCGTACCATGCCATAATTATCTGTAGCCAGGCCATTCTGCCCGAGATCGCCTTGAGGCTGTGCGGGTGCAGCCACAGGGGGCGCGCTGGCCGCTGGTGCTGTTGTCGCAGGAGCGGTGTTGCCTTGCGCGTTTGATACCGCCTTGTTAAAAGAGGGTGTCATTGGCGTGGCTGGAGCGGCGGCATCACCATCACCGGGGCCATCTGCTGCAGGCGTGGCACCCGTAGCGTTGGCAGCAGCTGCCTTGCTCTTTTGAGCGGCGGTGCGCTGTATAATGTTAGCTTGATACAAAACATGACCGTTTGCGAAGAGCCCTACTTTGTCTTTAGCAGCCTTGGTCTCCTTCTTCTTAGGAGCAGCCTTGGTGCCCTGGTTCGGCGTCGGCGGTGCGGCTGCTGATTGCTGAGGAGAGGCCGTTGTCCTGTTGGCGTTGGGACCAGCCCCAGCGGGAGCGGATGGCGGTGGCATGGCGCGCTGTTGAGGGGTGCCCTGAGCCTGAGGATTCTGCGGCATACCCTGGCCAACCATCGGTCCGTTAGGCCCTTGCTGCCACTGCTGCGCTGGATTGCCTTGGCCTTGTTGTTGTTGTTGTTGTTGTGCCCTTGCTGCCATCATCTGCTGCTGGGCAAATGTTTGACCGGGGTGCGAGCTAGGCGGGCGCATGCCGTTCATCTGAGCTTGCGCGCCAGCCATGTTGGGGTCAATGCCCTTGAAGAAATGCGGTGCCATGGTGGGGTCGACTTGGTTGTTCATGAAGTTCATAGGGTTGGGCGAGTCTCTTGACTGGCCGCCCTCCGGAATCGGGGATGGAATTCCAGAGCTGTTCATCTGAGGAGTACCACGCTTCATCTGGTCACCAGGGTTTGGCGAGGCACCACTCCGCATCGCCTGTGGTGACGTGTCGGGGAACTGTCCGTTAGGGCCAGGACCAGGAGGGCCGTCCCGCGGTATGGCGCCACCCATGTTATCCTGCTCTTGGCGAGCCATCATCAGCCTTTTCTTATTCTGCTGTTCTAGGAGCATCAGCTGCATCTGGTAGTCCTGGAGAGCATGGTTACTACCCGTGCCCTGAGCGGCTGCGGCACCAGGGGGGCCAGGACGCATGGCACCACCAATTTCGGGGGCGTTGTAGAAATTGTTGAGCGTAGTTCCATCTGGCCCATGGGGTACCATCGGAGAGCCTTGGTTCGGAGGGTTGGGGACGTTGGGCATGCCAGGCTGAGTTCCAAGCTGTTTTCCGTGATGCGATTGCATGTTCGCCATATAGGTTGCAATCGATTTTTGCTGAGCATGGGGAGGCGTGCTCGCAAGCGAAGCTAGCTGCTGGGGGGTAAGAGAGTTAGGGTTAATTCCGCTGGCTGCGAGCAGTTGGTGCGCCGTTTGAGCTCCATTCACATTGATCATTTGCTGCGGCATGCCCGGACCTGAATAAATGTAAGCGCTGTCTTTGACATCGAAATTCTGAAGCCACGAACCACCGTCAGTGCGTTGACGCTTAGCGGAAGGCGACGGTGCGTTATCCCCGCCAGCAGCAGGAGACGACGGTCGGTCCTGGTTCGCGTTCATGTGAGATGGATCTCGCTGCATGGGGTTTTGCTTGGCAAGCATAATTTGCGGGCTATAGATAGTCAGTAAAATACTTGTTTTGAATCTGCTACGTCAACTTACTTCTGGTTGTTAGCCATAGCAGTGCGTGCCAGGTTGCCCGGCTTCATGCCAGCCATGCCGCCTTGCATGCCACGAGCCATCTGGGCTTGATAGGCCTGTTGCATATCGGGTCGCATACGAAGCATTTCCTTTTGAGCAGTTAGCATTGAAATCTCGCCGATAGACCTCTGCAAATGGCATACCTGAGTGTGCATGACATATTGGTTGATTGTCCCGTTGTTGCCCTTTACGCGCTGCGCGTTGTATATATCCCAGAAGAGACAAAACCACTCATACAGAAAGGATGTATCGGATGCAGGCATGGGAAGTTTGGGGGCGGGCAAGTCGTCGGGAGTTTTGGAATCAATGTCATCCTTGGAGTCGGTATCCATGGCGTCGTCACCAGTACCGTTGACTGAGTTGACGTTCTTCCCCTCCTTCACATTAACCTGTTGCTGGCTGGAAAGGAGGGCACGGGCGCAGTCGAACATGCCGTACCGTAGGAAATACTCGTAAATATAGGTGTTGAGGACGCTGCGTTGGTTGTCGTTCAGCTGCTGCTGTCTCGCGGCAGCGGCGGCGGCTTGGGGATTGACAGCGCCGTTGTTCATCATGGGCATTGGCGCGCTCCCGACCGGGCCACCCATCGGATTCATATTGGCCATGGCGGCGTTTGGATTCATGGCCATGATGTGAGGTAAAGAAGCAAGATCTAAATCGCCGGCGAGGGTATCGAGAAAGAAAGGAAGTGTAGCCGAATCAGCCGCCGGGACTTGCCACTACGGTACAGCGCTTAAGAGGCTGGCCGAACGTGGGCTTTCCGGGGATGGACGGAAGGGTGGTCGAGATGTACCAACCCGCGAGAGGAAGACAGCTGTGCTGCGGCGACTCGTGGAGGCGAAAAGCTGGTTGATTCTAGACGCGCGAAGCAAAGCGTTGAAACCGTTGGAAGCCTGACTAAAGCCAAGCAACAGGGAAAGCAAGGAAGCAACGGTAGGGGCGATGGCAACGGCACGCGAAAAGATAGGATTCGATGGTAGTTCGATGCGGACCGGAAACGTCTTTGTTGGTGAGGGACGAGTTGCGATGAGGTTGCAAAAGTCGACGAGCTGGCTGGGGGCTGGGCAACGGCAGTACAGTGTGGCTGAGTTTGCTTGAGGACACGGGCGCGAGGTCGACTACCCGGCTGCGAATCGAGGATGGCAGGCTTGACGATCAGATGCGACAGTTGGTTTCCACGCGAAGTGGCGGTTGAAGCTGGGCGATTTTGCCTTATTGCTGGCGAGCAGCGGAGATGGGGTACCAGGCGTTTCTTGGGACCGTGGAGACTTGATTTCGTGGATATGGGCCGGGCTTAGATTGCCTTTGGTGGCGGAGAGGCAGGACGCGGTTGGTGCGGACTGCAAGGATTCGCACTGTGCGAGGTTTTCCCGCTGCTCAGATTGGGGGATTAGGGGAAAGGAGATTGATTGTGGCACGTTTTTTTCAGCGAGACGCACTGTACCATCAGTCGCATCAGGCCACACAAGCGCATCTTCCAGCGCCTCGCAGAAAACGGCGCGACCACAGTGTGGAACAGTGTGAGCCCGTGTTAGCCCCGAGCAAGGTATTTGTGGGGCCGCACGCGTACTTCTGAGCCTAGACTGCGTATTTCCTGGGCCGCTTGCCGCTAGTCTCTGCCTAAGGCAGCTAGAAAGGGCTCATCGAAGATTGGCAGCTCGCAATAACTGGGCGCAATAAGTTTCGAAGCAAGCCGCTGATGACAAAGAAACGCCATTTTTACGATTCTTAAGAAATTTCCGAGTAAACAGTTCATGCCTAGTGTATTCAGACTTATTGATTGGCCTTGAAACCATCTGACTATAAAAAAATTTATCCCTCTCCGATCAACCGCATACATAGTCGCACACCATTATAGTATTACGTTGTACATGGCGCGAAACTGCACGTTGAACTGGCAAAGCGCATGTACTAATTATTAGCCGTCATGTACTTTGATCAAATTGAACATGAAAGTCTATTTATTCTTTGTCGAGATCGACGCGCGTAGAATAAGACAAAGAACTAGACTAATATTGAAATCGATCAGGCATCATTATCCCCAATGTGATAGAGACTCGGTAGCTGACCGACCCGCCCGTGCTCTGCTCGGTTACTCGACGTATACCTGACTCCGACGCATCTCAGCCGAGGGATTCGCCGGACAGCCATCTTCCCAGGATCGGATCCCGCCGCATCTTGCCGTGAAACGGCATTTCAACCCGGCACATCTTGTACACAGGTGGCTGCCTTCCGCGGGCCGCTTGCGTTTGAAACAAATGGCTGGTCTCTGTCGTTCGCCAACTGGGTAACGCCAACACGGCCAGCTGAAAACATCGATTATATACCTAATCCATTTCAACCTCCACTAATCGTCCTCCGGGGGTAGTTCATCGTCAATGTATCGTATTAGCGATACCCTCATTTCAGTTGTGTCATTGCCTCGTAGCACATCACTGATGAAGTGCGCCTCGACTTGCATCTGCACCATCTCAAGAGCTCCCCTCAAAACACCACAAAGAATGTTGGAATACCAAAGCTCATCTTGTGCGCGGCCATCATCGGGTAATTCCACAAAATCTGCAAACGGGTTCTCGTCGAAAACCAACGAAAACTGGTTGTTGTCTGCTGTCCAATTTGTTACCTGAGGAGTGATATTCAGGAAGATTTTAAATCCGACCTGAAGCAAGTCAGTAAGGTTCCCCTTCAAATAGTGCCGCTCTGAATCATACTCGAGAAATCATGTCCGCTGTCTCCCGGAAGTTCGCACAACGCTTCATAGTGTTGGATTTGGCGAGATAATCCTCGATCAAGCGCAACCCAATATTATATCCCATTTTATCCAGTTGCTTATTTACTTCCGTATAGTCGCCATCAAAGTCCTTGCATAATTGCGCAACCACGGTGCCGTAGGTTAGGGTCACGAGCTCGGCGTTGACCTTATCGATTCTCGTCCTGCGGGCCGGTCAGTCACGGTACGGTTCATTATTGTCGCACCTCGTACTTCCAGATCCTACAAAGCTGTCAGAAAAGAGTCATGAATTGCACCTCGTGATGTAGACTTACTCCTCGCCGATGCGAGAGGCCTTGCTGGAGGCCATGGTTGTCCTCGCCCCTTTGCGGTCAAGGTTGACTTGTAGCTATCGCGTCGCAGACAAAGGAGAACAAATCGCAAGCAATAGAAAAGTACCAGCGTGCAAATCTGTCAGATCTTGTCGCAGTTATTGCCTGTTAGGCTTGTTGTCGCAAGTAAGGTCGTGTGCGGGACAGCTTGTAGGTGGATGAATGTACGTGGTGGGAGGGACCGAGCTTGGGAAGAACCAGCGGGCCGAGAACCAATGAGCGCCCCAGCTTTCAGGTAGCTTCGCGCCGCGATCGATAATTTTCAATCTCAAACCATCGCGCTACAGCAATTGACGCCGAGGCAGCTCGCAACCTCGCTTTTGCGCAATCAAACCCCTAGCCCATTGCTCAGAAAATGTCGGCCGAGAAGCGACCCGCGGACGGCGAACCAGGCACCTCCCAAGTGCTGGTGAAGCGCCAGAATGTCAATAATTCAGAGGGTGCGCTGGCCCGCCTCAACGCCTCCAGCAATGCGCTGGTGCAGACTGTTAGTATGGATGCCCTTTATGGTGAGAAAAAAAAGGCTTACCTTTCCTCAGGCCCCGAGAACGAGCGCGCTGCAGTCGCCGGTGATGCAGCTTACGGGCCACTCTGGCGAAGTATTCACAGCCAAGTTTGACCCTACAGGAAATCTCATTGCCTCTGGCTCAATGGACCGCAGTATACGTACGTGCGGCCCTGCGCACTTCCATCTTGACGTTGAGGCTAATCCTTTGATAGTGCTGTGGCGAACATACGGCGACTGCGAAAACTACGGTATACTAAACGGACACAAGAGTGCGATTCTCGATCTGCAGTGGTCTCGCGACTCCGAGATCCTATACTCTGCATCTGCCGACATGCACCTGGCGAGCTGGGACCTAACCTCGGGCACGAGAATCCGACGATACATTGGGCACGAGGAGGTCGTCAACGCGCTGGACATTACGCGGCGCGGCGAGGAGATGCTCATCAGCGGCAGCGACGACGGCTCGATTGGCATCTGGGACCCGCGCACGAAGCACGCCGCCGACCATATCCAGACCGACTTCCCTGTCACCGCGGCCGCCATCTCGCCCGCCGGAAACGAAATCTACACGGGAGGTATCGACAACGACATCCGTGTCTGGGATCTGCGAAAGAAGTCTGTCGTGTACAGCATGGCCGGTCACTTGGACACCATCACATCATTACGAGTCTCGCCTGATTCCCAATCACTGCTATCCTATGCCATGGACTCTACAGTCAGGACCTGGGACATTCGGCCGTTCGCGCCGACGGAACGGCGGATCCGCACATTCGACGGCACGACGTCGGGATTGGAAAAGAACCTGCTGGGGTGCAGCTGGGACGCCGACGGCAAGAAGATTGCGGCCGCCTCAGGAGATGGGACCGTTCTTGTCTGGTCTAGCGAGAACGGCAAGCTTTTGTATAAACTGCCTGGCCACCGCGGCACCGTCAACAGCGCCGAGTTCTCACCAGGCAAGGAGCCAGTCCGTAAGTGAATGCCTGCCGTATCTAGCGGGGATAATTGCTAATGTTGGCTTAGTTCTCTCCGCATCATCCGACCGTACTATGCTACTCGGCGAGCTGAAATGATCTCGTCCAGAGACGGTACTGTGAGTTGATTTTGACGCCCATGTATGCGTGCATGGAGGGTGAAGCGGTTCCGCAGTGGCGCTTCGCAGCATAAGGATCAGCCGCATCGGTCGATCCCATCTAGGTCGATATAACGGATATCTAGATTCATGGCAATGTAACGTCTGTAAGAAAAGACTCGTTCTGGAGGCATATGTAATGCGTCTGGCACAACGGGGCCGCGATCTCATAGCCACACTGAACTCCGTATTACGCACTGCGATCTTGGCGCAGGTGCAAATGAATCTTGCGAGACGTCCCCGCAGGATAAGCAAATCTTGTGTATATATCAATTACTATTAACAATAATGAAACGGTAATGCCATATATCAGATGTGGTGGCTACGATACCTGATGCTGCAGGGGGCTCACTCCCAACCTGCTTTGAGAGGCTTATGCGTGTGACCAGGGCGCCCAAGAATACGCGCCTGACATTTTTGCCTTTCTTTTGCGTTCCCGCATCTGCCCTCTTACTACCAATCTTCTCATCGCACGTACGACTGGCTATATAGCTGTCCACTCCAGGGATGACAAGATAATTTCACCAAGTCATCCTCTTGTACCTGAAATCAAGACACAGGTCCTTTGGCGGGATATTAGTTCTGGGCCTTTATTTTTTCTTTTCGATGATGCTTTTCGATGGCTTTCATTGTTTCGTGACCGTTGCTGTTTCCTCGCCACGCTGCTGCCGCCCAACGGCACGGCGGTTGCAGAATCTGAAACACAGCCGCATTCACTTCGAGCACCGCCGTCCAACCAATTCAGTAAGCTTGTTGCAGCATCAAAACCGAAAAGAGAGTCGCCTGGCCAGAGTAGCACCATCTTGGAGTTTCAGTCACACTGAAAATTGTAAATCCAGATTACTGGTAACGGGAGCCCTGGTTGATACCCCCGGTCGGAATCGTCTCCGACCAAAGAGTTGACACACGCTACCAGAGATTCGTAACAAGGAGATGCGCCACATTGAGGCACTGCAGCCAGCGCATGAAATGTAGACACCAGTACAGCCGGCAGTTTATTATTAACATCGTATTGATTGCTCGCAGCAGACTTGGCCTAAATTGACTCGCTGTCGCGCGTCGCGCTTTGGAGCATGTGGGAGGCAGCTTGTTTCGTCGCCGTCTTGGAAGGGCTTACCTGACCCTTGACATGTTCCTCGACTACTACTCTATGGTTCTTTCCGAATCCCTTCTTCTTTGCTTCCCGACCCTTGAATGACTCCCTTTTTGCAATTATTACTCTCCCTGTCCGACCCATTCCTTGCCCTTCTTGCCGCTGGCTTCCACCACAAGTCCTAGTCGACCCACCAATCCCAACATTGTTATCGAAGCCCGACGGAGGTTGTCAAGAGCTGGTGGCATAAGGTCCAGATTACTGGCGCATAGCCTGGATATTTTCTTATGCCATTAGTCACCGAATAGTATTCTTAGCCTGGAATACCACGCCCGAGAATCTACTAGAACGGTTCTGCCTTGGCCGGCTACTCCTTCGCCGTGTAGCTTGCAGCTTGCACGACGGACAACAGTAACGGAACAAGGACAGGAAATCCAGGAGAGATTTTGCCGAAAGACAAAGGCCATGTTTTCCGCAGGGATGGAGAGGATCAGGCGAGATCTTATACAACGAGCTCATGCGCGGAGGGGGGACGCCATGGAGCGCGGCGCGGCCAGCCACGAGCTCTCACAGACTTCGACTGTGGGAGATACGATACCGCCAGACGATACACATACTCCGCGATCGGCCAGGGTGCTCCCACGGCCATTGGAAGTCCTTCGACAAACTGGCTCCGAGGTTAGGGACGACAGCGGTGCCCCAGAGACTCCCAAATCACCAGAAGCAACCACATCGGGAGACAGGCTGCATCAAAGGCTAGGATCTGCCAGCATAACCAGCATTGTCGAGCCGCCGGTATCCGAAGTCATAGAGCCATCCCCGGCGGTTGTGGCGGGAACTATCAACCTCGCACAAGACATTGAGGCACAGCCAAGGCCGCAGGACAGCCGTAGGTCGCGGCGGAGAGGAATCGTTGAAAAGATGCAGTGCGACAGAAAGAAGCAGTTTCTGTTTTGCCTACCCTGGGTCAAATCTGCTCGAGTGCGCGTAGCGCTGATGCACGCCTTGACTTCAGGATTGTTTGTGCTAATGCTGCTAGCAGTTTGTAAGTCGCGGCCATGGCTGGTCCAATTCAGGCGTCAAGACTCGACTAACCATAAGGCTGGCACAGATCTGGGGCTATCACTGACACAGCACATCCAAACAAGCGAGCTGACGATTCTTCTTTTGCTCATCATTGTTGTCTCTACGGTGTTCTTCTGCTACAACATGATCCGACTCTGTGTGGCGGTGCGACGGGGCGACCGGCCGGCCGCTGCAAACCGCGGGCGGCAGGCGATGAACCCGGCGGATCTGCTCAGGACAGGCTATGCGATGCCACGACGGCCGATCCGGGTGGTGCTGGCACAGGACGAGGAGATGGCTGGGAGAGAGGCCGTTACGAATAGTGTGACGCCGCCAGCGTACGGATTCTGGCGTGAGAGCGTGGTACGTATTTTACGCTTTCCTCGGTTTGGCAGTTGCTTTATGCTGACGATTAGAAGCGACTGGACCCAGACAGGCTGTACTGGCAACGGAACGAGGCGGCGACGAGAGAAGAACCCATACCGGAGGCGGAACCTGAACAAGCGCAGGCAAGCGGTGGAAGACGGCCACCCTCTTATGTGTCCGAGGATGGTGTATCCTATGTGGTTGATGCCATGACTGCTTCGTCGACGTCGACTGTTATGACAATGCCAACGGCAGGTCGCGGGCAAACGGCGTAGTAGCTGGGACGGGTGTTCAGAAATTGGGCGTCTAGGTCTGGTCGAGTTGCATTTCGTTGTGTAGAAGCAGCTGTAATACCGCCAATTGATTCAACAACTTTATTTCGGTCAGCCGCAAGCCACTTTGTTTCGGTTGCTCATAGCTAGTCGATGGCTGCTCTGAAGCCGGGGTCGCCGAGGGGAGGGTAATGATGGCTGCGCCAGGTGGACGGGTGGTAATGTTTACTTCGACGCTGTCGACAGGTATCGACGCCGAAATTCCAAAGTACTGGCAGGCTACTAATTGGTGATCAGAATGGTAGAGCAGTCGGTCTACTCTGTACTGGAGATCGAGAGACGCCAAGTAGATGCAGGTGCTTGGGCTAGTTATATCAGGAGCCCCGGCCAGTACCTGTTAGCGGATGACCGAGCGGTATCCGGCCAGTGACCGACCAGGCTTGGGGATCGACTTGGAAATCCTGGTACAGACAATCTTGCAATTCAGGAGCTGCGATTGGATGAGGAGAAAATACTAGCGCTTAATCCGTACCTCCTGCTCCTGTGACTTCTGCAAGTCTGCGACACAGTGCTAGCAGCTGGGGAACACTAAACCGCCTTGGTCGCTAATAATAATGCTACTCCGTCCCAGCACCCAAAATTGCAAAGCGCCTCCACATGGGCAAAAGGGCAAGGCAGGTAAGGAAAAATTTTTCCCAGTGAAAGCGCGCGACGCTCACTCCGTCGTCCCCGTAGCCTACCTGGAGGTACCTTTGCCCTTGCTCTGTTTGGCTAAAGTCTATCCCTGCTCTTTCCTTTCCTGCTTTTTCCCTTTCCCATATCCTTCCAGTTTCTATCCGATTGTAGGTGGACAGTTGTTTATCGCAGTCGAATTATTTGCTGTCGACATCTCTTGTCACCTTTACATAACTTCCCGGAAAATTTCTCATCCAAACAAGGTACGTTGCTTCTTCTTACACGCACCGCGCACGCTCCCTGGCGTTGTGCTGCTGTCGCCACTTGCGCCGCCGTTGCGCTGCTGCCCGCACCCGACTCTCTCGTCAAAATCCGTCACCACCACACGGCTGCGCAAGTCAATACCATAGACAAAAGAGGCAGGGACAAGATGCGGGGAGAATATTCCTTTACAAATTCCCGCCTGCTCGCCATACGAAATTCGTCCCGCGATCCTTGATCCCTTCGACCTTCTTTTGCGCCGCCGGTTCAGTTTCCGCTTCGAATTTTTTGTGCGACCCAGTCCACGGCACCATCCGTCGCAAACTCAGAAAAATGGCGAAAATCCGTACATCAGATAACGCGTTCGAATACTTTTGTACCTTCACAATATACCTACTCTCGATTCCTTGCGACAACACCCCGCCACGCTCCCCGCCATAACCTCGGTCATGTCCCGCGCGCCACTACTACAATATGCCGCGTCGCGTCCACCGGTACCCCCCCCTGGCGGCTCGATATTACCTGCCATGCCGAGATTACTTCTTCATGCGGGCGCCTATAATCTACTTTGAGGCCATCACTCCCCTTCATATCTCGCGCAATCTCCCAGAGGGTCGGGGACAGTCTTCTGGCGGCGACGCGGCATGTGATGGCAGTTGCAAGTGGTGCGAAGCAAAACCGGGAGTCGACAGTCACCTTCCACGGGGACAGCAGCGCAACCTCATATACACCACCAACGCTCTTGAAGCTTACTAACCCTCGTTGGCAGTACATCACCATGTCTTCTCTCTCTCGTCGTGCTTGCTACAAGTGTGGCAACGTCGGCCACTATGCCGAGGTCTGCTCCTCTTCTGAGCGCCTTTGCTACAACTGCAAGCAGCCTGGCCACGAGTCCAACGGCTGCCCTCTTCCTCGTACTACCGAGGCCAAGCAGTGCTACCACTGCCAGGGGCTTGGTCACGTCCAGGCCGACTGCCCTACCCTGCGCCTGAGCGGTAATGCCACCTCTGGCCGCTGCTACAGCTGTGGTCAGCCTGGCCATCTGGCTGTATGTGCTCTTCTACCTGCAGCTGGTTCAATTCCATCTTGCTAACTCTTACTAGCGCGCTTGCCCTAACCCCGTCGGTCCCGCCGCCATGGGCCGTGGTGCCCCTATGGGCGGCCGCGGCGGCTTTGCCGGCAACTTCGGCCGTGGCGGCTTCGCCGGTGGTCCTCGCCCTGCTACCTGCTACAAGTGCGGCGGCCCCAACCACTTCGCTCGCGACTGCCAGGCTCAGGCTATGAAATGCTACGCGTGCGGCAAGCTCGGCCACATTTCCCGCGACTGCACGGCCCCGAACGGCGGCCCCCTCAACACGGCTGGCAAGACCTGTTACCAGTGTGGCGAGGCCGGTCACATTTCCCGCGATTGCCCTCAGAAAGCCGCCGTCGCCCCTGAGATCAACAATGAGGTTGACATGACCAACGTCGCTGCCGCTCCCGTTGCTCCTATCCCTCCCGTGGCGTAGAAAGCCACCATTCAGTCCGCCTCTCGCGATGCCTTGCCTTTTATCAGGCGCAGGAAAGGTTCTGTCCAAACAAGATCTTCGCGGAGGCATCACTCTATAGCCATCGACATCAGACGATGGTTGGCTGAGTAGCAAGGCAGGCATTTTCTTTGTGTTTTTATTGCTGTTTTTTCCAAGTTCGCTTTATCTAGTCCATGGATGAGCTGACGCATTGACGCGTCCCTCGACAACGTCTTTCTTTGAGTGTTTTTTACTATTTTCTCTCTTCAGTGTTGGGAATTTGCATTGCTGGGGATTGGCTGGCTGTCTTCACGAAAGGCACGCCTACCTCTACTTGGTTTTGCATGGCGTCTATGGCTCGCCTGGGTACATGCGTTGCACTTCCTTTCTCTTCAGTATGCCAGCACGGTTCGTTTGCCACTCTGCGGACTGTGTGGCATATCCATATTTTACATCTCCCTTATTATCACCAGGCCCTCCCTCGGCAAGACACGACCGGTTGACGAAATGATGACGAACGCAGGGAAATTTGGAGCGTGCCTGGTCAGACAACCACTTCATTCTTCATACATATTTTTCTCAGCAAGAGGGCGCCCTGGCACTTGAGAAACATCCATCCTACCGATATTGATGGGTTCTTGATGGCGCTCTCTGCATATGACCAAATCCTTTTTCATCTGAATGACTTTTGGATCAAGACACCCGTGAGCATCTCACTCCGCGCATTGAACGAAGTGGCGGATGTGTGTGTGGCTCACGTGGCTCTTCTTAACGACTACGTATTTAAAGACACCGGCGATGGATATACCCCGCGAAAGGCTGTGTGTGCCAAGTTGTGTTGAGCAAGGAACCGACGCGTACTTCTCTACTCGTTGAAGCTTTGACTAAGAGACTTCGTTCGACCATCAATAGCGACAACGAGAGCAAGGGAGAAGAGAGATAAGAACCGCGTGGTTGGTGGTTGAGTGCAAAGGAAATGAAGCAAGAAGGGAGCATCCTTTCTAGCCGATGAGGAAAGGCAACAACATTTTTGTATACTGCTAAGGATGAGACAAGTAGTGGTGGGAAGATAACAAGCGCTGCGAGCACATTTTGGGAGAATGTGGCATGAATTGGCAAAGCGAAGAGGAAATGAAGCGAGTTTGGAATGTTGGCGACTGTAATAAGCCTTGAACAGCGTTGCGCATGAAGTTCGTTGAAATGGTGGCCGGACAGTAATCTACGTAATTTACTTCACAGGATGGCGGACACGGGAGCCCAGGGAACCGTGAACGCAAAAAATTATCGAGCAACCCCAAAAACTACTCGTCGGATTCGTACATATAATTAGTAACTTCCAACGGTGTTGAACTGCTGGTAGTCAAAAACCAAAGGAATAATAAGTGTTGCTTGGAACCTCTGGCTTGGGAGCTCCAGGGTTACATAATCACAGTGCCAGGTAACCTTGGGCTTGTTAGCTACAAAGCTTCAGATTACAAACTTCGACCATAACCATAACTTCCGGCCGCAATTCATTATACAACGATACCGTTCCGAGACGGCAATCGACATTTTCATCAGCGGATTCCTTGATATAGACACTACGCATCGCCTTCTCGACGAACGGAATGAACGGCATGAATGGCATGAACGGCCCCAACATGGGGGGTGGCGTGCCCATGCCCACGCCCGCAGGCCACCAGGCCGAGCTCAATTACATATACAGCATGGTGGAGGAACTCAGCAGGCAACTGGCCGAGAACAGAAGAGTCACAGAAGATATTGTCGGCGGTCTGGGACGCGTGCGCAACCGCGCGCGGACGCAAGGGCTCAACAACGACGAAGTCATTGACGCAGCGGCCGAGGAAATCAAACGTACAGTTCCCCAAGCCCCCATAGCCAGACCAACCATATCGAGAAAATAAAACGCAAACAGGATTTGAGAACCAGGGTCTAACGTTTTCTTTTTTTTCCGACTCCTCACAGGTCAAGACCAAAACATGGATGCGCTCCTGTCCATCCTCTCCGAGTCGCTCGAAAAGGCCAAACACTCACGCGACGCCAACGCGGCGCTTCTGACTCAGTTCGCCAACGCGCTGGCCGGCATGCTTAAGCAGTTCCACGAGTACAAGGCGCGGCACGTGGCGGACATGGCGTCGTGGCACCGGTCGTACCGGGCGCAGCTCGACGAGGCGCGGCGCGAGAACAGCCGGCTGCGCGAGCAGATGGCGGCGATGCAGGCGCACGCGTCGACAGCCAACGAGACGCTGCGGCGCTTCCGGCGCGCCTACGACGACGAGGGCAACCCGGCGCGCCGCGAGGCCCGCGTACGCGAGATCGCGCTCCGCCAGGAGGTCCGCTTCTGGAAGCGCCTCGCCATGCCGGCGCTCGACGACGACGACCCCTACTGGAGCGCCGACGACGACGTGGTGGACGTCGCGGAAAAGGAGCGCCTGGTGCAGCTGCAACGGCACGCGGCGCAGGAGCAGCACCTGGCGATGCGGCGCGGCGTCGACGGCGTCGGCGAGGAGGAGGAGGTGGACGACGACGGGCTGCCGCCGCCGATCATGATGCACGCGCCGCCCCCGCCGCAGTTCATGGCGTCGGGCTCGGGCGCCATGGGGGGCATCGCGATGCAGAGAGCGGGCGGCGGCGGCGATGAGGCGGGCGTGCCGGTGCCGCCGCCGAGGCCCCTAAGCGCCGCGTCCAGTACAGGATCGACGGGCTCGTAGGACGACGGTCTCGGGCTGTACGAGGAGATGCAGGCGACGAGGGGACGCTGGATCATGGATTGAAATTATTTGGGTTGGCGGGAGTTTGGGAGAGGCAAAACCCTGGCATTTGCATCTAGCGGGAATGGACTTGTAATTATGTGTGTATATATATCTTGACCTCCCAGACGGACTATTATGGGAACTCGCAGTTTAATGGCATCACGAATGAACATGTCTCTATTTGCTCTCTTTTCAGGTGATACATGCAAATGGTCATAGATTGTGTCCTGTTCTGATACCCGATTTCAAATTGTGATTACTGCCCCGACTTCGTCTCTACTCAACAACCGACTCCACCCCCCCGACGCTTTGTGTTATACAAACAATTAATACACAGCTGCCTCCTTGGCAGCGTTTACTGGCTAGAGATTCCCTGTCAAATGAGTCCCCTCCCCCGTTCAATACCCTCCCTGCTCGCGGCGTGCATCACCGCCACCTCCGTCCTGCCCGGACCCGGACCCGGACCCCGACGCCGCGGCGGCGCCCTCGCTCGCGTCCCGGATGGCCTGCTCGTCGCCGCGCAGCTTGGCAAAGTACGCCTTGATGTCCTCCGCGCCCACGGCCTGGCCGCTCTCGGCGAACTGCTGGAAGAAGGGCTTGAGGCGCTCCTTGAGGTGGTTGTATGCCATAACTCCTTCAATGGCGCGCACGCGGTCCACGTTGCGCAGCGCGCTCTCGCCGCGCTCCAGCAGGCTGCCGCTGCCCGCCGTGGAGCCTCCGCCGTTGCGCGAGGCGGCGTCCCCGCCGCCGTCGGACATGGGCGGCTCATATACTTCCTCCTCCTCGAGGAGCTGCGGGAACGCGTGCAGCTTGCCGAAGCAGTCCGTGCAGCGGCAGAACTGCTTGCGGAAGTCTTCCTTGAAGAAGAGGGAAAAGCGGCCGGTGGGCGCGGCAGCAAAGTTTGGAAGCTTGCACCCACTGGGAGAGGTGGCCGTCGTTAGCTCGCTGCTAGTGATGGGCGCGGGTGCTGGTGCGGATGCTGATTCGGCCTCAGTCTTGACGCGTTTAGCATCGTCGTGTTCCTCGTCGTCCCCAGCCTTGCGTTTGTTGCCGGTGCACGCTTGGGGTGCTTCTGCCGCTGCGGGGTCGAGGTGAAGGGCGGGAAGAAACCCAGAGGTGCCTGCATACTTCTTGATCCAGGGATTTGACTCGACGCACTTGTAGCACAAGAAACCATCGAAATCCTCCTCCTCGGGGAAGCCAGGAGGCATTGGTGGATCTTCATCATCTTCCACCGCGTTCTCATCCTCTTCCACTGTGTTTCTCTCGATCATTTCCTTGCCCTCATTCTCCGGCTGCCTCTCATCCTCATTGACTTCCGAAATGACTGCCAGGCCACTGCCGTCCTCTCGCGTCTCATGGCTCTTCTTCCCCTTCGGTGTCATGGTCTCGTACCACTTGGGACCCATGCCAACCAAGCAACCGGGATGGTACCAGTCCTCGCCGCAGCCGCCGCTCTCCTCAGTGCCGAGCCCGAGGCACTGGAACATGGTGCCCTTCTGCTCAAAGGGGTCATAGTCGCAGGCGCAGGCGCAGAAGCGATTGCGAAAGTTCTTATTGTACTTGTTATTGACGTCGGGCTCCTGTGAGTGGACGTTGCCGCGCGTGTTTGTCTCGTCGTTCGTCTGCAATTCGCATGGGCTAGTGCTTGGCAGTCGCGTAGTACCGCAGTCGCAGGTGAAGTTGCGCTTCTGGAAGATCTCGACAAGGGTGTGCTCGCCGTGGCACTGGACCGAGCAGGAGTAGCACACGCCAGCAGGGGTCCACGAATCAGCCTCGGTCGCAGGCGCGGGATTGCACGTTAGACACGCAAAGATGCTCTGCTTTAGAGGGCCGAGGATTCTGGTGCAGTTGTCGATGCTCTGTTGTAGTCAGCGATGGGAGGGTCACGCGCGCGCGAATGGGTGAACAAGTGGACTTACGAATGGCAGTGCTTCGCGCGCATCGGCCTCGAGGAGTTCTTGGTTGCGAATAAACCTAGCAAGTCTTAGCTACTGGTATCGAGTTGAGCATGGGCGATATCGGCGTACTCAGCAGCAGTCTGCGAAGTATCCGACTGATTGGAGAAGCTGTTGCTACGCTTCGACGTTTGCGCGGCTATGACATCCGTTTCGGCGCCATTAGACGACATATTGTAGCGCCTCTAGACGGGTGTAACTCTGAATTTCTGGGATGAAACGGCTCAAAAAGGCACCTCCGCGGTTGCTTCGGGACAAAATTGATGTGAGGGTGAAGGGACGCAGCTCCAACGCCTCGTATGAACCACTTTACGCGAGCAAAGCACGCTGTTAGGTAAGCTACCAAACGCAGCTGGTTCCTCGCGTAGAAAATACCAATGCTGAGAAGTCAACTTATTTTTTTCCTCCCAGTGGCAGTCCGAAATTTGGAAAACCTAAGGTATTTTTATCGATAGATCACCTCCTGTCTTCTCTTCCTGGAGGCTCGCCCCTAAGCATAGCAACGCGTCGTATCTTATTAGGACTAGTGCCACTTTACGCGTGCGACGCGTTTTGAGACGACGCGAATGTGAGCAGCTTGTGGCTCCCTTCCAATCTGAGACTTCTTCAGGCATCAAACATCTTCGTTGAAATACCTCCCACCGCCTTCTGGCAACTCCATTCTTGCAACTGTTCTGGGCGCAACCAAATTGAAGTTGCCGTTGTAATAATATACACAATGAGGTTTGTCCCGTCGTCCCGTTTCCTTGTGAGTACTATTATTAACCTCACATAGTTCCCCTCTCAGAGATAACCCGACCTCGGGCAACAGAGGGGCTGCCTCTCGCAACGGTCGCAAGCGCTCGCGCACTGGTGGCGATGATGGCTCTTCTCCAGCTGGCCTTGGTTCTAGCCCGATGCCATCGTCTCCTCCTGCGCCGTTTAGCATCGCTCACGGTGTCGACGACGACGACGAGATTGAGGAGGAGCGCGAGATCCAAGATGATATTGACGACCTTGACGAGATGGCCGACGACGATGTCGATCTTTTCCGCGACGGATACGAGGCTGATTACAGAGACAGGGAAGGTGATGAGTACGAAGCTGTTGATCTCGATGATGAAGGCGACTACGACACCATGGACCTCGGGGCGCGACGCCGCCTCGAGCAACAGCTGAGCAGACGTGACCGTGAGGTTGCTCGCAGGCAGCGAATCCCTGCCGCTTTTCTACCTGGCGACGATGAAGATGGCGATATCGATCTCACGGCTCAGCCTCGCCGCAGGCGCCATCACTACGATGATGACCCCGACGAGGCCATGGACGGCGACATTATGGAAGAGGAGCTGTCCCTCGAGGCTCTCGGTGACGTTAAGGCAGCAAATCTTACAGAGTGGGTATCACAACCTCACGTTCAACGCACCGTGCGTCGAGAGTTCAAAGCTTTTCTTACCTCTTACACGGATGCCTCCGGCTCCTCCGTCTACGGCAACCGCATCCGCACTCTCGGTGAGATCAACGCCGAGTCGCTGGAGGTCTCCTATGAGCACCTTTCTGAAAGCAAGGCTATCCTAGCATACTTCTTGGCGAACGCTCCTTCCGAGATGCTGAAGCTCTTTGATGAGATTGCTATGGACGTCGTTCTCCTGCACTACCCCGACTACACACGCATTCACTCGGAGATTCACGTGCGCATCTTTGACCTTCCCGTTCACTACACTCTGCGCCAGCTCCGCCAGTCTCACCTGAACTGTCTCGTCCGCGTCAGCGGTGTCGTTACCCGCCGCTCTGGTGTCTTTCCGCAGCTGAAATATGTCAAGTTTGACTGCTCCAAGTGTGGCACGACACTGGGACCATTCCAGCAGGAATCCAACGTCGAGGTTAAGATTTCGTTTTGCCAGAACTGCACGTCGCGAGGACCGTTTACGCTCAACTCTGAGAAGACGGTCTACCGTAATTACCAGAAGCTGACTCTACAAGAATCACCGGGTACAGTTCCCGCTGGTCGCTTGCCACGTCAGCGAGAAGTCATTCTGTTGTGGGATCTCATCGACAAGGCGAAGCCTGGCGAGGAGATTGAGGTCACAGGCATCTACCGCAACAGTTACGACGCTCAGCTCAACAACAGAAATGGCTTCCCCGTGTTCGCCACAATCCTGGAAGCCAACAACGTCGTCAAATCGCATGATCAGCTCGCCGGTTTCCGTCTAACTGAGGAAGACGAGCAAAAAATTCGCAAGCTCGCCCGCGAGCCCAACATTGTGGAAAGGATTATCGACTCTATGGCACCCAGCATCTACGGTCACAACGATGTCAAAACAGCTGTTGCGCTGTCTCTTTTTGGCGGCGTTGCTAAGACTACCAAGGGCGCGCATCATATCCGAGGTGACATCAACGTCCTTCTTCTCGGAGATCCCGGTACGGCAAAGTCTCAGGTCCTCAAGTACGCCGAGAAAACGGCCCAGCGAGCTGTGTTTGCCACGGGTCAAGGCGCCAGTGCTGTCGGTTTGACGGCCAGTGTGCGCCGCGACCCTCTGACAAGCGAATGGACCCTGGAAGGCGGCGCTCTTGTGCTCGCCGACCGTGGTACATGTCTCATTGATGAGTTTGACAAGATGAACGACCAGGATCGCACGTCCATTCACGAAGCCATGGAGCAGCAGACCATCTCTATCTCCAAGGCCGGCATTGTCACAACCCTCCAGGCTCGCTGTGGCATCATTGCCGCCGCCAACCCTATCGGCGGCCGCTACAACTCGACAATTCCGTTTTCCTCCAACGTGCAGCTCACGGAGCCCATTCTCTCCCGTTTCGACGTCCTCTGCGTCGTGCGCGACACCGTAGAGCCCGCTGAAGACGAGCGTCTCGCCCGCTTCATTGTGGGCTCGCATAGCCGTAGCCACCCCCTCGCTGAAGAGCAGACTCAGGCCGCGGCCGAGGAGGAGCAGGATGAGGCGGCGCGCCTGCGTAAGGAGAACGAGATTCCGCAGGAGTTGCTGCGCAAGTACATCCTCTACGCCCGCGAGCGCGTCAGCCCGAAGCTGTACCACATGGACGAAGACAAGGTGGCTCGCCTCTTTGCCGACATGCGTCGCGAGTCGCTGGCGACGGGCGCGTACCCCATCACGGTCCGCCACCTGGAGGCAATCATCCGCATCAGCGAGGCGTTTTGCCGGATGCGTCTCTCCGAATACTGCTCCGCGCAGGACATTGATCGTGCGATTGCCGTCACCGTGGAGAGCTTTGTCGGCAGCCAAAAGGTCAGCTGCAAGAAGGCTTTGGCACGCGCGTTTGCCAAGTACACCTTGGCGCGTCCAAACTCGCAGAAGAGGGGTGGCAACTCGCAGCGCCGACCTGCTGCCGTCATGGCATAAAGGTTGCCGTTTCTGTCTCTCTGCATTGCATGTCTTATACTGTAGCTATGGTATGTACTTTTGTACAGATTCACGTGGAAATATGTTGGGTGTTATCATGTGCTTGCTTGCGGGCGTCAAATGGGTTACGTTATGTTATGTTTTGTTCCCCGATCTTTTTGTGTCTACTTTGTGCATCTCAGAGCCAGGGGTCTGGGATTATGTCATTTAATGTTTACGAAAAAAATGAAGTGAAAGTCTATCATGCTCTCGGCTCTGCCGCTTCCTGCGTCCTTCATCTATATTGTGGCAAGTTTTGTCCCGTGCGGTGGTTTGTGTCTCTAATCTGCGGGAACAGATCCAATAATAAGTCCCTTTTCGCAAGGGTCAGCGTTTCTATATTCAAACCTCCGGCTCTTGGTATGTGCGCCGTGGCGACAGAAACACAGCTTGGCAGCGCATTGGTAATCTTGGGTCGATGCCGCACCTATCCGGCGGCTGGCAATCAATCACCAAGGTAGGCGAAACCGGGTGCTCCTACCGCGTTCGGCGGGCTCACGGGGCTGCTGTCAGAAGATAATTTTAGAAGCCCTTGGGACTTCAGCCGGGTGGTCCAGCCCTCAGCCTCGTAAACGCTGGTTGTCCGAAGGCGCTGGAACATGCAGCTGCAACATCTGCAGCCGAGCTTGGTTTGCTGAGCCAACAAACCAATAACAGGCACCTCCAACCACATGGTATATGCAGCCATTATCAGCTCCGCTGCATCTCTGGCAGCCCTCCCGAGCGGATATGGGACTCAAGAATATAGGTCTCTTTGACTCTTCCCCCACCATCTCAGCACTCCCGTCAGGCTGTTGTCGTTGGGCTGGAGCTTGCATGATGACTGCAGCGCCGGTCTGCGGATTGCTAACCGAGCATGTTTCTTGCTATCTGCATGTCTCTCTTCCTCTCTTCTGAGCCGACTCCTGTTCCAGATGATTTTGGTAACATCCAGACTAGCAACCCCCCCTTTTTTCTCCCAACACCTGTTCCCAGCCTCTTATAGTTCGCAAATACTTCCTTGGCTACCTTTACATTTTGGTACTTTGGTACTTCAGAGGATGCATTGCCCACGTCTTTTTTCTTATCTGCTCTCCTGGCCCCCCACACGGCCATAAGGCTTCTCGGTTCGCAAAAAGAACTTCAAACAATCTCCCTCTGCGCGTGTTGCTTTGACTCAAACAAATCATACCTTTACTGCACAACAACCTCGCCGGGAAGCAACAATGGCACATAGCCAGCCTCCACGCAGCGTCTCTCCGGACAATGAGGAGCGGACGTGGCTTCCCGAAATGACGCCAATGAACTTTGACGGCGTTGGCGACGGTCCGCACCGTATGCCCTCAGTATCGTTCAGTCTGGGTCGCTCGAGGTCCATTCGTGAGAGCGATACTTACAACTGGCAGAATGAAGCCACAGACCTCCTATTGACCAGTGCGACCGGCGAAGCCAGCGCACCCAACGACTCTACCGCCAACCAGAACAACTTGAGCCGCCACAGCTCCCATCACGGCAACCCGCTCCGTTTATCTCATCAAGACGCCGAATTCGAAATGGTCGCTGCGCCAGTAATGGCAAGGACAGGCTCCATCAGAAGCAGGTCGTCGGTACGAGCCTCACCGGGCGGGATGCCTTCCCCAGACGATACACTCGTGGAGGGGAGTTCTCCCCCACGAGCCTCCCGATGGGGACTGCTGTGGAAATTCAGATCCAAGGGCCTACACCACAGGGTAGGCAGCAAAGAGGCTCTGACGACGAACATGTCACCAATAGCGGGAGCCGGAGGTCTCGCTGTGGCCGAGGATGATGACGGGGATAGCGACGCCGCCGCAGCAAGCAATCGAAATGGCGGTAAGATGTCTGTGCCTAACTCAAGTTGATAGATGCTAATTGTTACTCCAGGCCATGTGTCGGAAGCATGTTCTTCAAGAAAACCGATTCAATCGCCAAAAGCAGATCTCTTCACCAAATTCCTCATCGGCATGTCGCTGTACTCGACTACCATGAGTGGGGTGTTTATAGGCATTGCCTTTGAACATCGACGCTGGGGTCGGCTTATATCCTCGCATTCGATACTTTCCCCGTCGAAAGCGACATCGCTGACTGCATTCCTCTCCAAGACGATCGAAATGACTTTTGCCACGGCATTCATGACAGTTCTTGGCCAAGCACTCACGCGAAGAGCTATCGCAAATGGACCCCGAGGCACAACCCTTGCAGAAATCTCAATGCGAAGCTGGGTGATTCAGCCTGGCGCGCTTTTTTGGCAGTCCGGGAGACGACAGGCGTTATTCAGTATCCTCGGCATTCTTTCTGTTGTGGCGGCAGTGGTTACCACATTCTACACAACGGCATCCGAGGCTACGGTGGCTCCAAAGCTCAAGTTTGGCAGCTGGGAAGATGTGGTCTTATCAGGCTACGTCCGCGCTTCCTATGCCAACCCTCAATATGTCCACTCGTCCTGTCAGACCATGTTGAGGAGCGAGGAAGCGAACCAGGAGCATGCGACGATGTCGTGCACGGACGTGATGATATCCGGCGAATCGTACCGAAACCTACAGGCCTTCATGAATGTCTGGGCCGACATCAACACAAACGGGAGCTCGAACGCGCGGGATGTAAAAGACAGACCGGCTGGCACGGCAACTCTGAACGGCACCACGACCCTATACGGCACTTGGATCGAGACGGAGAACAGCAACGTGACGGCGCATTTCGAGAAGACGAAGCGCATTATCAACAACGTCACCCTAGCCATGCCGCATCCCGGCGTGGCGTATGCAGCCATGTCATCGCTGAACGATATCATGCAGCCGCGTGATCTCGATGGCGTGGGAGAGTATGCCGTCAAGGCGGGCGTCGTGTCTCCAGCGGTCAACGTCTTGTGTATCAACATGAAACGTGATGAGCTCGCGCCGCTCGTCTACACCGAGTGGCCATTTGCAAATAACACCCGGACCGGCCTGGGAGAGCAGCAGGTTGGGTGGGAGAACTGGACGTCGGGTGTGCCCCCTGCCAAAAACAGCCATGGGGATGCAGACTATTTGAATAGAACCGTCGTGGATGATCTTTTTCGCTGGGGGCCCAAGTATATGCGAAGACCACCGGTCTTTCGACTTGTGAGTGGGAAGTCCTGAAAGCCAAACGAAACGTTTTCACTACTAACTAGAGGGCTGTAGTTTCCAGCCGATTACAACACGGTGGTTAATCCCATACCTTTACTGTCAGAATCTGATGCTATATACATCATGGGCAAAAGTCCCAGTCCCGACCTTAAAGAATACTACGCGATGTGTGAGCTTCGATCGTGGGTGTCCCCCCGATGCTCAACGCAGTTCAATATCTCCGGCATCACGGGCAGCAAATTGGTAGCTCACTGCGAAGACCCCAAGGACCTGAACAGCTACCGGCATTCCTTCGATGTTCCGCCCAAATGGGAAGAGCCATCGCCAGACTGGAAGGTGAGTAGAAACCAGCCGCCCTTCGCTGCCTTTGCCAGCAAACGTATGCTAACATAGAGGCAAACCCAACCGCAGAACTTGGCCGATCAGTGGCGCACTGCGTCTGACTTGAACGGGGGCGAGCGCAACAGTAACCCTGCCAACTCGCGGATTCTCACCCAGCTCATACTTCCGAGGGCGGAACTGCAGCCGCACCTACCGTCGCTGGCGGAGGCGCTGGCCGTGTTCGCCAGCTCGACGCTCGTTCTCGGGTCCGTGGACTCGCCGTTTGAGCACTACTGGAGGTGGCCGGCGAAGGGCAACATCCTAGGTGCCCCGGGGATGGCAGTCCCGTTCAACGCGTCGATGGCGACGCAGCAGTACACGTCCAGCTCCATGTACGGCTGGCAGTCAATGTTCTACGCCATCCTGGTAATAATGTTCATCCTCAACTGTCTGTGCTTGGTGTACATCATTATTTACCGGAAACCCGTGACGGACTTCACTGACGCGCACAACCTCTTCGTGCTGGCACTCAACAGTGCGCCCAGCGACGAAATCAAGGGCAGTTGCGGCGGCGGACCGGAGGGTATTGACTGGGTAGTTCCGTGGCGTGTGGGCCTTAATAAGGCGAATCATTATTTTATCGAGACGAACCGCAAGAATTGGAGCGACATTTGTGACCAGAGAGCCAAGAAGGACCGCTCTCCGGCAGCCAACTTTGACAGGCTAAGCAAGAGCAACCCTTTGCTCTAAGTCGAGGTCGAAGTCAATGATAATCTCTATATACAGGGTCGCGGGCAGCAGGAGATACAATTGTATACGGGCGAGATATATACCACAGTCTAATATGAGTTCCTTAGGGTTAAATGCATCATCCTTATCGTCATTATTATTCTCCCACGACCGAATAAATGCCTACAATCCTAAAGTGGTAAGCGGAGCGCCCGTCACCGTTTTGTGTGAAGTCTAATAAATAACTTGTAAATACAGCAACTAGCCGTCACACACTATAGTAGCAAGTACTTCCGTTGCAGGTAGAGCTTCGGTCGTCATTTTTCCCTCGTTTCCATCGCGCTTCTCTCTCCCTCCTGAGCAAAGAAGCTTATTCCATTGGCCCAGTCAAGCAATATTCCTAGCACCACTTAGCCACTTGGGAGAAATCACCTTCCATTGCCATTGCCATGGAGATATATTAACATTATTGCTGCTAACGGACGTAGCGTCCGCACATGTATCCCCCTTCTCTCACACACCACCGAAGACTGGTTCCTCTGTCGCCCGTTTGCTCGGCGTGCCACCGAACTTGTGCATATAACTCAATTCATGCTACTTTCAAGTACATACGGCCATAGGCAGTAGAAAATATCGCGTCCCGTTTGCTCCGCTGAAATCAAGCTATTGACCGGCAGATTAGTAGTTGGGTCGGTGACGACCAGCGAACACCGGCTGCTGTATGTTTTTTTTTCTTCAAGAAGTCTTTTTTCTTTTTATCTTGCATAACTATTTCTCTATCTTTCCCCAAACTGTGTTGCGTACAGTCAGGTGTGGTGGTGTTGGACGAGGTTGGTGAGGTTGGTGAGGTTGGTGAGGTTCTATGTATGTATCTAGTATTATTAGGGGCAGCCACCTACTACCCAAGCCACCCAAGCCACCAATGAGATCGGCGCCTGCCCAGTGGCGAGATGGAGAAGTGCAGCCCCAAGCACATTCTATCTATAAATCGCTATCTCCAGCCTATCGACATTATCAGTATAACACGGGCGACAAGCATGAGGTCCAAACAAGCTGTGGAGAAGACGAGTCTAGTTTGGCGGGTTCGTGGGGTTAGTCCACAATGAGGCCGAGACTGAATTGCTGGGCAAGGGTACATACAATCTGCGCTGGTGCAATCACCACGTCGGTCCGACTTATGATTTGCGTCATTGTTGCTGGAGGATGATGACGCCGAAGGATGATGATAGGGTGAGATGAGGCTGCTATGTTCAAGGTAGTGTCTGTTTGTCGGCATTTGGAGTCGCTTATGACACTGTGGTAAGTCATCGGCTTTCTGGATTGGACCATTTAACCATCGGCCAGTACGCCGCGCGCGCTTGATCGACCTCGAGGGCGCAGTTGACCGGTCGAACTGTTGTCGCAAACTTAGGTAGTATTCCACCGTCAACGGCGCCGAGTCGAGCAAATCGCGGCGACAGACAGACAATTTAACGTCGACGTTGACCAAAATTCTCCGGCAAATGACATTTTTTCCCTAGCTCGAAAGCCTTTGTTGGTGAGGATGCCCAGGATCAATTAACTAGTTACCAGGCTCGGCTTGGCTGACGGCCTTTAGATGGGAGGCGCTGTTCGTTGCAGATTAGCGCAAGCCACCAACTCTAGTTTTAGTGAACTACAAGATGAAATGTGCTTTGGCAACGGTACCTGTGGATCTACAAAGTATGTATATACATGCAGAGGAGAGCGACTTTGGGGTTATGCCAACGATCATGGGAAATGGGCCGATTGCTGGCAGCCGGCAAGCAGCAAACGCGTTAACAAGTTCAAATCAATGCTGCCCAACGCGTCAGCCTTTCCCACATCGATTCTGCCAAGTGCAGGCATCTCACTTTTTTCTTCCAAGAACAACACAAATGCCCCCTCTTCTCTCTCTCCTAACAGCGCCCACCGAGTCTATCGAGTCCCAGCTCAACCTTTGTGCGACGTCTTGATTATCGTACTCAGAGAATCAAGCCATGATGCAAAGACTTGCCGACGCCGCAAACGTCTACGCGCGCTTTCGGCTAATGCATCTCCTCTTGAACAGCTGCGAAGACCTGTACGCCACGGGCGACTAGTGACAAAATGCCTCTATGCACACTCGATCGACTCCCGCATTCCCAGATGGGGGTGTGGAGAGGACTATCAACGCAAAGGTTCATTGTCAACGCTCCACGCCAACTGCTCCAGGCTAAAATCCCATCACAGCTTCATTTAGCGTCTTAGCGAAGTTGGGTTAAAGGCTGCTCCGTGCCCGGCCAGGTATTCTACTAAGATTCGACCTCGAGTTCCCCAGTTGAGCCTTCCCCCGTCTCTCGTCCGTCTCCCCATGTACCTAGGTACATGCGTACATATACAAGACCCTCGCCACCTCCACACTACACGTTCATTCATCTGTCAAAGCTCCTCGTCCTTCGAATCCGACACTTTCCTGTCTATGAATACTCTGTCTCACTCATAGCATCCCCTGCCCTACAGCCTACACGTGCCCCTACCAGCTCTACTCATCCCGCCTCGGCCACAGCCATGGGGTTCCTACGCAAGGCCTCCCTCTCCAAGCCGGAGAATGAGGCCGGCAAGGTCTGGCCGGCCATCGCCATGGGCTTCTTCGTTGCCTTTGGTGGTGTTCTTTTTGGGTATGGATTGTCTTCAGCCCGTCACGACCTTGGCCAAAGCTAATACTCAAGGTAGTTACGATACAGGTACAATCAGCGGTATCATTGTTATGCCATACTGGAAGAGTCAGTTCAGCACAGGCTTCACCGATGACAAGGGGCCCAACATCACTACCTCTCAAGAGTCTGCCATCGTCTCCATCCTGTCCGCTGGTACCTTCTTCGGCGCGCTCGCCTCACCCTTCCTCGCCGATTCTCTTGGACGTCGTCCTGGCCTCATAATTTCTACCTGGGTCTTCAACTTGGGTGTCGCTCTCCAGACTGCTGCCACGGCTATTCCCTTATTCCTTGCTGGCCGTTTCTTTGCTGGCTTTGGAGTTGGCTTGATCTCTGCTCTGAGTACGTGCTGTTCCCTGGTATCACCGATCGCTTTCTTCCTTTCCTAACTCCTAGATTCAGTCCCTCTGTACCAATCCGAGACGGCTCCCAAATGGATCCGCGGTGCCATTGTCGGCGCCTACCAGCTTGCCATCACGATTGGTCTATTGCTTGCCGCTGTTGTCGACAACGCAACGGCCAACCGCAACGACAGCGGAAGCTACCGTATCCCGATTGCCGTACAATTCGCATGGTCCCTGATCTTGCTCATCGGAATGATCACCCTCCCCGAGACACCCCGTTACCTCATTCGTGCCAACAAGCTCGAGAAGGCCGCCAAAGCTCTGGGCAGAATACGCCGGCTTCCCGCCGATCACCCCGCTGTCGCCGAGGAGCTGCATGAGATCAAAGCGAACCACGACCACGAAATGAGTCTTGGTGCGGGGACTTCATATCTCGATTGCTTCCGCCACCCCGTGTTGAAACGCCAGCTCACAGGCTCTGCTTTGCAGGCGTTGCAGCAGATGTCAGGCGTCAACTTTGTATTTTATTACGGCACAAAATACTTCGAGAAATCGGGGATTACCAATCCATTCACCATCCAAATGATTACTTCAGCAATAAACGTGGTATCTACAGTTCCAGGTCTCTATGCAACCGACAAATGGGGTCGGCGGCCTCTGTTGCTGTTTGGTGCCATTGGCATGTGTATTTCACAATTTATTGTGGGCATGTCTGGTACGTTCTCGTCGGGTCAAAACCCCGAGAATGGGGCCGTTTATTCAACCAACGATGCAGGCCAAAAGGCAGCAGTGGCCTTTGTGTGCATCTATATCTTCTTCTTCGCGTCGACTTGGGGCCCACTGGCGTGGGTTGTAACCGGCGAGATATTTCCTCTTAAAACACGTGCCAAGTCTATCAGCATCACAACGGCGAGCAATTGGCTGCTCAACTGGGCGATTGCATTCTCGACACCGTATCTGGTCAACTGGGGCGAGGGATCTGCTAATCTGCAGTCCAAGATCTTTTTTGTTTGGTTCGGCGCTTGCTTTATCTGCATTGCGTTTGTTTACCTGTTTATCTACGAGACGAAGAACCTTACTCTCGAGGAAGTGGACCAGCTTTACGAAGATGTCAAGTTTGCACCCAAGTCGACTTCGTGGCGCCCGACGGAAAGCTGGCAGCAACGAGCCAGCATTGCCGCTCAAGGCGCGGAGAAGGCGCGGGGAGAGAACATTGAGAACGCTGAGAAGCCGACTGAGATTGCTTGAGAGCACGACAAGACAGCAGGACAAGATAAATGAGGGGCTAGCATGACTTGGTATATCTGGTAGTTTGGTATTGTTTGTTTCCACAGCCTTGACCAATGACAACTCAAACTCTGTCTATTTTGACGATGGTGTTTATGAAGTCTCCGATCCATATTGAATATCCAACCGCATTTATTTGCGTCTAGCTGTACTATTTTTATACTCTCCCGGTGAGTAACATTGCTTTTGTGGCCATGTTTCGCCGTCATCATGTCGTATCTATCTACATATTTTCATTCGACGGCTACGTTTTGCTATAGCGCTACCCTAGAGCTGATCCTCTAATAAAACCAGGCACGAACCAGGCACAGCCTTGCCTACTAATAATAAGTCGACAAGCATGTCGGGCCGACGAACCTAGTTTTTAGCTCCACCAGCTTGCAGATCGAAAGACGCCAAGCCCCAGCCAGGGCGGGCAGCTTTTCTTTCTCCAGCAACAGCACGGCAATAAGAAGAGGCGGAGAACGAGTTTGACAGCGTGCATGATATCACATCTGCCGCCACTTGTGGGCTTTTTTCCCCTCCATCATATGCAAAGTTCCGCCGAAGCAAGACCGAACAGAATAGATCGCTCCCAGACGGTGAAAGCTAGGGGGGAACTCGCCGATTGGGATGAATTGGGTGAGGCGAGCTCTTTGGTACAAGATTAGGCAGGTTTCGCAGTCCTGTCCCTTCCTCCTCCCGCCCCCGGCGAGCCGGGTCTCTAGAGCGAGCCGAGTTCGATGTTATTCGGCCCTTTACGAAGGGCGCACGCGAGCGGCAGATGAGCTGCCTCCTCGTCGCGGTCTGGTTTTAGTGCAAGCGAGAAGAATCCCTGGCAAGAAATTTATGTGGGCTGGAGCCAGTGGTTGGAGCTGACGGGAAGGAAACGAGGAACATCGATGATCGGTTGAAAAATGCGACGCCGTCAAGTGACTTTGCAATTGGACCAAGAAAAGAGCCGCTTTCTCGAAATTGCATGGGCAACAATGCCACAATCCTATAGCCGTGCGGGGAACTGCAAGGCATTCATCCCGGGAGCCATTGCATGGCCAATTACGCTCGATCCTCGCTGTCAACTGCTCTTTTCCTGGCAAGGGACTGGCACAAACTAATCCCCTACGGGAAGAGCAAAGCAGCCCAAAATTCATCCGTTCGGTGAACATCGAGAAGACTTGCCGCAGCCTCCCTCGGATTATACTGAAGGCCCGAGTCATGGACTGCGGGCAAGCCACACCTTGCTAATGATAAAGCCTGGGGTAATAAGCCTCGTAAAACAGTACGGATACAAATCGGGCAAATTTGTCAAGCTTCTTCGGCGCTCGACCTTATCGATTGGCAGTGAGACTTGCATCTACAAAACGCCATGTCTTACTCAAGTTACATCGTCAACCAAGGCCACAGAGTGAATCTTCGATTCCAAATTGAACTTGAACCTCCACTATTTTTCAGCCTGAGTATCGTCATGCAAGCCTTTGTTTGCCCTCGCGATAAAATGATCCGTCCGGGGCGGCTCCAACACTAATAAACCCCGCCACTTGTTAGCTGCACGACGGCGTCTCCGCCCTTCCCGGGACTTGCTGCATTCCCTTTTGCTAGCAATGGCTAGTTTCTTCTCAGGTTGCATGTACATGCGGGATGGGGTCCCCGGAGCTTCTGTATGTATCGACAGGGGACCGGTTGGGTAACTATTTTTCCGGGGGAAGTTCAACGAGGTATAAGACATTGCCCCTCCACAGGCATCTCATGACCTTCCCCAGCCTCAGCTACACGCATTTTCACGTCCAACCTTCGCAATGAGACTCTGGGGAAGCTTGTCACTCCCGGCGCTGGTCTCTGCAGCCGGCATCATCGCCCGTGAGGACACCAGCAACAACGCGCTCGAAAAGTGTCCCGGCTACACTGCCTCCAATGTTCAGACAACAGACTCGGGCCTGACGGCTGAGCTGACCCTCGCTGGCACAGCCTGCAACGTCTACGGCGAGGATCTCAAGGATCTCATTCTCCAAGTGACCTATGAGACTGGTAAGCGTATTCGAAATAGATTATTCATTCTACCTTGTGCATTGCTGACTCAATCGCTCCAGACAACCGTCTCCACGTCAAGATTCAGGACGCCGGCAACCAAGTCTACCAGGTCCCCGAGTCCGTCTTTGCGCGATCCTCGGCCAAGACGACTGCGTCAGCGAGTCACCTGCAATTCGCACACACAGCGTCGCCCTTTTCCTTCAAAGTCACCCGGCGCGATACGGGTGAGGTACTCTTCGACACCTCAGCCGCCTCGCTCGTCTTTGAAAGCCAGTACCTGCGTCTGCGCACCGCCTTGCCCAGTGATCCTTACCTGTACGGCCTCGGCGAGCACTCGGATCCGTTCCGCCTCAACACCACGGCCTACATCCGCACGCTCTGGAACCAGGACAGCTTCGGCATCCCCAACGGTGCCAACCTCTACGGCGCACATCCGTTTTACCTTGAGCAGCGGGCTACCGGCGCGCACGGCGTGCTATTCCTTAACTCCAACGGCATGGACATCATGATCGACCAGGACACCGCCAATTCGGGCCGGCAATACCTCGAATACAACACCCTCGGCGGCGTCTTGGACTTTTACTTCTTCGCTGGCCCGAGCCCGGTCGAGGTCTCGCGCCAGTACGGCGCGCTGGCCGGCACGCCCGCGATGCAGCCGTACTGGGGCCTCGGCTTCCACAACTGCCGCTACGGGTACCAGGATGCTTTTGACGTGGCCGAGGTGGTGTACAACTACAGCGCCGCCGGCATACCGCTCGAGACCATGTGGACCGACATTGACTACATGGACCGGCGCCGCGTCTTCTCCCTCGATCCGGAGCGGTACCCGCTCGAGACCATGCGGGCGTTCGTCTCACACCTGCACGAGCGCGATCAGCACTACGTCGTCATGGTCGACCCGGCCGTCGCCTACCAGGACTACCCACCGCTGCACCGCGGCATTGAGCAAAACGCCTTCCTGCTGCGCGCCAACGGGTCCGCTTGGGTCGGCGTCGTCTGGCCCGGCGTGACCGTCTTCCCAGACTGGTTCGCCGAGACAGCCGACACGTACTGGACCAACGAGTTCAAGCTCTTCTTCGACCGTGACGCCGGCCTCGACATTGATGCCCTCTGGATCGACATGAACGAGCCGAGCAACTTCCCTTGCAACTTCCCCTGCGACGACCCCTACGCCGCTGCCAAGGGCTACCCGCCCCCTGCGCCACCCGTCCGCGCGCCGCCGCGCTCGCTCCCCGGCTGGCCATGCCAGTTCCAGGCCGGCGGCTGCACCGGCAAGCGCAGCATCGATGCCGCAACCGCCGCCATCCCCGTCGAAGCCACCAACCCGAATGTACCACCCGCCGTCGATACCGGCTCCCTCATCCTTCCAGCCCGCGCCGCCGCTGCCGCTGGTGACCAAAAGGGCCTCCCGGACCGGGACCTACTGTACCCCAAGTACGCCATCCACAACAAGGCGGCGTACCAGGACGACTGGAACGCTGCGCACGGCGGCATCTCCAACCACACCATCAACACGGACGTGATGCACCAGAACGGGCTCGCCATGTACGACACACACAACATGTACGGCTCCCTTATGTCCATCGCCTCGCGCGAGGCCATGCTCGCGCGCCGCCCGGGCCTGCGCCCGCTCATCATCACCCGCAGCACCTTTGCCGGCGCCGGCGCCAAGGTTGGCCACTGGCTCGGCGACAACCTGTCGACGTGGCAAAAATACCGCGAGTCGATCCGCGGCCTGCTCGCCTTCTCCGCGCTCTTCCAGTTCGGCATGGTCGGCTCCGACGTCTGCGGCTTCGCCGGCAACACCACCGAGGAGCTCTGCGCGCGCTGGGCTGCGCTCGGCGCCTTCTCGAGCTTCTACCGCAACCACAACGAGTACGGTGCCGCCGGGCAGGAATTCTACCGCTGGCCGAGCGTGGCCACCGCGGCCCGCAAGGCCATCGACATCCGCTACCGCCTGATGGACTACTTCTACACCGCCATGCGCCGCGCCAGCGTCGACGGCACGCCGAGCATCGCGCCCGTCTTCTTCCACTACCCGGACGACCGTGCCGCCTGGCCGCTCGACCTGCAGTACTTTTACGGCCCGGGCGTCATGGTCGCGCCCGTCGTCGACGAGGGCGCCACCGCCGTCTCCGTGCACCTCCCGCGCGACCGCTTCTACGACTGGTACACCCACAAGCTCGTCCGCGGCGACGGCCGCACCCCGCACACCTTCTCCGCCGTCGACGTCACCACCATTCCGCTGCTCATCCGTGCCGGCGTGGTCATCCCGCTGCGCGCGCGCTCCGCAAACACCACGACGGAGCTGCGCCGCCAGGACTTTGAGCTGCTGGTGCCGCTCGACGAGCGCGGCGCCGCCGCGGGGGAGCTGTACATGGACGACGGCGTGTCGGTGGAGCAGGCGGCGGGGGCCGTCACGGACGTCACGTTCGCGTACGAGGGGGGCGTGCTGCGCGTGAACGGCACGTTCGCGACGGTCGGGGAGCAGCTGCCGCGCATCACAAAGGTGACGGTGCTCGGGGAGGACTGCAAAACGAGGAGGGCGGCGGCGGCGAGGGGGTCTTCTTCGGAGGAGGGCAAGGGGAGCCGCTCGACCAAGGTGGACATTTCGCTCACCGAGGCCAGCAGCACCAAGATTTGATGAGAATCCGGTCACGATTAAAGAAACACGAGTAATAACTGCCTATCTAATGCAATACATTCAAGTATATAAGCAGAGTGGACATGTAATATTTCTTATGGCAATGAGCAGAGCATCATAAATAGACGGGCAATGCGCCTGGACATGACAATCTAAAAGAGAAAAAGGCATGCATGAAAAATGGGTGTCTAGTTTGTTCCATGGTAAACTTGGGTGCGTTCTGCACTCAAGTCCATATGTACATGATTGTGAAAACGAGGTAAACTAATAGTCAATACGGCAACACCAGGTCGCTCGAGTATGTATGTAGTCGAAGAAGACGGTATCCAAAAGTCAAACAACAAGAAAATCAAACAAAAATCAGGTCTTTCCCAACCACTCCGATGTAAATGCGCAATATTGGTAAAAACGATTGGACAAACGTTCCGGCCATGCTAAGCGTACAATAAACGACATGTGCAATGAAAAATACCAAGAAAAGATCATTTTTGCGTAAGAGGTTATGGAGCAAGATTGGACTTGCTCAATGCGGCTTGGGAAAATTTGGTGCTGCGTGAGTTGTGAATTCATTCTGGCCTCGGGTTCGGATCTCGGTCGTGTGGTGCATGTAGCAAATGAGGAGGAAGCGGCGGCAGCGACCGGGCACCCCACGGCTGCGAATCATCTGGTGGCGGTGGTGCTGAGCTTTGCGTCGACATCGCTTGCGACTCGTGTGTTTCTGACATGGCCTGACTGGGCGGCAGGCTTGGCGTGCCGCTGCTGCCCATAACCTGACAGAGCTTGTATCCTTTATCGCCAACCCGCTCGATGATGCCTTCATCGAGAGCATATCGTAGAAGCAAGTCGTCGACTCCAAGATTGTCGCCTTCGCCCTTTTCCATGTGTCGACCAACATGCTCTGTCCATTCGTCCCATGCACTCGAACCTTCGAAGGTGTTTCCACAGCCGGGTTTCGGGCAGCTAGACCGCTGTGGTGGATGCCTTCGCTGAATAAGGCAGGTAGTCTGCATATCTCTGACGTAGCTTTCCCATTCTGACTGGTGCTGGCCACTATCACCTTTGGCGAGGGCTCTCTTGACCTCAAGAGGCGCATGCATGCGGCGTAGGTGCTGAGTAAATAGATCCTTGCGGTTGAACTCGTTACCCTTTCCATCCACCGTGTTGTGTGAGCAGAGTGAGCAGCGATAATACTGCAAGCAAAGGTGTTGCGATGCAATGTGACGCTTCCACTCGTTCTTGGACCCAAACGTGCTGGTACAGCCAGCGAAGTAAAACGCGCAGGGAAACGGGCGCGTGTGCGCCGCGGCGATATGTTTTCTTAGGGAAGATGAGTCCTTGAACGGCGCATGGCTGCAATGAGCGCATCGAATGTCAGGCTTGCCGAGCATGCGTCTCATCCTCGCGCCGGCGGATCCGGTGCCACTGTCCAGCACAGGCATCGACTCTGAACGGGTTAAATTACGGAAGCCAGGGTGTAGCGTTGGCATAGATGCCGGTAGAGCAGCGCGCTGGGGAGACGTGGTATTAGCAGAAGTGTCACCACTTCGGTGGCGGACGTGACTGAGAGCCTTGAGCTGCTCAGCAGCTTCTTGCATCTCTACCGATTCGGTTCCGGGAGGCTTTGGTGGTTTGATTCCTAGTCCACCGGCAGCGAGCGACTGATACAGCCTGGCCGTTGGGCTCGTTTGTCCGTCTGGTTGCTCGTCTTTCACCGCATATCCAGGCAATGGCCACTGGGCACCCGACGCTGGACGTGAATGCGCGCTCGTGGGAGTGGACTCTGGGGCAGCCGTTGCTGCTGTGTTCGTTTCGATGGCCGAAGCGGGAGCGGCGGAGGCTCCTACCATTTTTTCGTATAGGGAAACCATATTGCGCGAGGTTATGGTGCCAAGGTAGTACCAAATCTTGTCATGCTGGACGCTAGCCCAGAGAGCTGTGGGCATAGAGATGAGTAGGACTGTCGGAGGACCCAAAAACATGCCCTCGACAGTTATCTGAGCGGCTAGAGGCGGCGTGTTCCGTAGCCAGCTGTGGAAAGCCGACATATCTGGACTGACATCACCGACAAACGTAGTGCAAACCAGAACGCGAGCTTCGTCGAAGTTCAGTTTCGGGCTTGACTTTGGGCTGAGCGGAGCATCTCGAGCGCGGCTGGTTTCTGGCGTGGCGGCATCGGACGAAGAATCTATCAGTGGCGCAAGCTGTATACTTTTGCCTTGATCAGGCGTCAAGGTGAAAAATTGCGGCTCAAAAGCGGGAGACGGAAATCGCGGCGAGGAGTTTGCTTGGGAAGCAATCTTAATCTCCTGGCAAAGCTGCTGAGTGGAGAACGAGGTAGTACGACTTAATTGGTGTAAGGCTGCGGTTAGACAAGGAGAGAAGTAAGCACGGGAAGTGGCTGAAGGCTGTCGGGTTGTCTCTGCAGAGCAGGCGGCAATGACCTGCTTAACGCCGTTGCCAGAAGCGATAGAGTCGGGAGCGGCACAAGTGTCCAGGAGGAGGAGGATATCGGACTGGGCGTCTTCGAAGAGGCAGCGAACCCCGTCCCATTTCAGCTTGGCAGAATGGTCGTGGGGGGAGCTGTGACATGGTCAGAGCTGTGAGGTTTAATGAAAGGTGAATCTGCATCTCGCTGTGAGGATTACGTACCAGGCCCAGTAAAGTTGTCCGTCTGCACTGACGTAGCCGTGGCCAGAATAGTAGATGATGAGAAGATGATTAGGTTGGGCGTGCTCGAGAAATGAGGCTATTTGCATGCTGAGCTTAATACTGGGGTTTGCGACACTGGGGATCTGCCATGTTTGCGTGTGATAGCGGTAGTCGGAGACTAGGACCTGCTGCAGAGCGCGAATGTTGTCAAGGGCAGCAGCATCATCTTGCCAGCCCAGCAGGAGTACCGAGACGTTCGCGTAAAAGGCATTTGGGCGCGCTGCTTGTCGGTTGATGAGCATGGCAGCATCGTGCAGATGACGGGCGAAGGCCTCAAATTCGTGGCGTTGGCTGTGGTGAGGCGCATCTGGAACTATGTGAGAGGGACGAGGCTTGGGAATGTCAGCTGGGCTTGGCAAGCGAAGTAACTGCCACGGCGTAGAGCAAAGCGTAAAAAACGGATGGGGAGGTTTTCCGAGACGTACAGGATTATGATGATGTGAGGGCGCAGAGCGAGGATCGGGAGGAGAGGACGCAGAGGCACTGAGCTTTGGGGCAAGCTTGCGCCTCTTGCCAGCAGGTTCCATGTGGTGTCAGACCAGCCGTGATGGGCAGGCGGGCGGCACGGGAGGTAGATTAGAAGGCGAGCTGAGGAGAGACCGTCAGCAAGCGGCCTCGGGCCTGAAAGCCGGAGGCTGGGCGGCCGGAGAGCCGAGCTGAGAAGAAGGTGCGGTTTTCGGTTTGCGATTTGCGGAAAAGCGGTTGGCTGCAAGAGGAAGTTTTTGGTGGTGTGTTGTGGGCGGGATTAGGTGAGGTACGAGGCCGCGGGTCCGGCGGTAGAGTTCATTGCAAAACGAAGGGCGGATCGAAGCTCCAGAGTTCGAGAAAAGGCTGCGATGAAGATGCAGAGGCCAAGCGGGCGAGACGGAAGCAACGGCGACGACCGAGTGAAGTAGGGACGGGAGAGCCAAGAGCAAGAGTTGCTGTTTGAAGAAATACTAGCAGACAAAGGGAAAAAAGAGGACCGTGATGACGGGCGTGGGTGAGCGAGGAAAGCAGCGGCCGTCCCAAGGGTACAAGATACAAGGATACAAACGGAGACGAGGGAAAGAGGGACGAGGCGGGACGAGGCAGCCAAATAAAGGTGACAATAATTGGGAGAGGTGGAGGGTGGTGAGTTTGTGCGTTGTGTGGTTTCTGTGCGTGGTGCTGGCGTCTTAGCTGGTCTGTTGTAAGGCTGCAACACACACAGTGAGGAGGAAGACGAGGAAAAGAAGCCACAGCGAGAAGGAGTGGGGTGAGGGGAGAGGAGAGGGGGCGTGTGGCGTGTGGTGGCGGCAGGGCAGCCGCGGTTGGTACAAGGCAGCGAGGGAGGCGAGAGGGTAACGAAGAACCGAAAAGGAGTACAGGAAAAAATTGGAGATTAAGTTAAAGAGGCAAAAGAAGAAGAAAAGACCAAGTTGAGAAAAAAAAAAATCAAAAGGGGGGAGAAGAATGGGAGACGTGGAAGCACGACGTGTACAACTACACAGACAGAAGAGGACTGTCTGTTGTAGTGACAAGCCGTAGCAGTGTGACTGCTGGGTTGTACTGCTTGTGCTCGTAGGACCGTAGGACTGGTATCTTGGTGTAAAACTAGCCAAGGCAGGAAAAGACAAGGGCAGTGCGTAATCCGGAGGCGATGAAGAGTGTTGGGGGAAAAAAAGGAAAAAAATTAAGAAGAAGACGAAGAAGAAGGAGAAGAACATGGGTGTCTCGCGGCCAAGGCTACCATTCGTTGCAGGCTGTGTCAGGACAATTACACAGCAGGCACGTCCTGCACCCAAGATACCTGGCCACTGAGTAGGTAACCTTGTATCTTCAATAATAAGGCACCGCTTATTCGTATTAGGACTCGTTGAACCAAGGCGGCGCAGAGAAGCCCTGAAGAGTCTTACCATTTACATTGAGCGGGGCGTGGCCTGGCTCGGGGGGGTGTGCAGCAACAGCTACCAGAAACAGCCTCTAACTACCAGGTAATGCCTGCCGACCTTAGTACTTGGGGGTAACCTACCCATTACTGGAGGTACACTGCAGTACCAGTGCAGCGGCCAAGGATTTGCAGACAGGGCCCAGGGCAGCCTGTAAATTTACCTCGTACCCAGGTAGCATGTATGTAGGTACCTGACGCCGCCTGATGGACGCAGGTCGCAGATTCAAGATTGTGAGCAAATATATCAAAGACTTTCTTAATTTAGGTACATACGTAGGTAGCTTGCCAGCCTCCTCGGAACTGTACCTTGGTGCCGCGTGGCATATGTGGCAGCATCTGCATGCGAGGCGCAAAGCCGCAGGCACTGGCCAAGGCAGGCAGGTAGCCTACATATGCCGACAGCATGCAAAAGCCATCGGGAAGCACCTCAGGCACGAGGCTGAACATGGAACTGCATGCTACGACAGATGGCATGTACTCACCACTCCTGGTTACTATTTTAGCCCTTTGTTGGCAAGAGAAAAAAAGGGATAGGGAGACACAGACGAAAATCAAGGAAACAGACACTGTTGATACCTGACACGCCCCAGCCCAGCCCAGCCCAGCCCAGTCCGGCCCAGCTCTCCCGGTACAGCCTGCAGGGAGAAAAAGAGAGAGAACGGTACAGACCGACCCCAGCTCGGTACCAACCTGAATGGTATTGCCATCGGGGTCCGGAAAGCCCATATTGCTGGATCCGCCATGCTGCCAGTGCGCCGCCGCCGTGGCTCAGCTCACTTGGTCGACCTCTTGACCAACTAACACCAAGAGGTACGGATACCTGTCGACACTAAAAGTTAGTTCGGCCGTTGCTGGTTATGACGACAGAGAAAAAAAAAAGAAGTTGTTGGACCAGGCTGAACAATACCCCTGCACGTCTGAAATACCTACAGGTGGCACGGGGGATACTCCGTAACTAGTTGGTCAACGTTCGGTCAAGGCTATTCAAATTCCCCATGCCAGCTGAGTTGGTCGTCTTCCTTCACTTGCCGTTGGCCTCAACCATTCCTCATAGCCTTTGGACGGCATCTTCCGCCAACAAGCCTCCATGCCTATTCTGCCCAGTAATGTGCGGATATCTGGATGCCGCGAATGCAGTAACTATGCCCCAATTGTACTCCGTTGTACATGCACCCGGCACCGAGAAAAAAAAAAGAGACCTGCCAATGCTACTGTATCTCAGTCTTAATCCAGGTGGGGAAAGGGCACGCGGCATCGGCACTGCTTACAGTATTTTGTAGTTATCTAGTTATTTTTATTTTTATTTTAGTCGTCCAGTTATTGACGATGAACGTCCCGTTTTGCGCAAAGTAATATGATCACTTGCTGACTGGCCCGGCCTTGAGGCACCTGGCGTCTCATCTTTAGCACCGCCCATATTACCCAGTATTAGCACCAGTAGGCAGTGACCAGTGAATCCCCCTCGCCTCCCCTCCCCCCAAAACCCGACACGCCCGTAGCCCGACACACGACACGAGATGTGACCTTTCCCCCTCTCTGTACCGAAATAGATTTTCCCTCTTTTCTGTTTTCTCTATTCGTCCGTCCCTCCCCGGCAGCCCTCCGCCGCCCTCGTTTACAGAAAACCCGCTGACACACTGAACTTCTCTCTCTCTCTCTGCTCCGTCCTGGCGGCGGCCGGCTGCGGCGGGTCGCACCAGGTTCAGCACCAGAGAGACGGCTTGTCAGCCTTGCCGACTTTGTTCCATGTACCTGTACCAGTGCCAGATACGGAGAAAGTGCCAATGCTTCTTCCTTACCCCCAAGGAACTGGTAAATTGGTAAATTACACTGGCACGCGGCTTCGCTGCATTCGCTCTAGCCTCCTTCCAGGAATTGCTTCTAGCGGTCCTGGTGGCGCTGGGCTGCTCTTCAGCCTGACACTGACCACCCCGACTTTTCCGCCTCCGAGAAGAATACCAGGCAGGACAGACATTAAAATCAAGCCTCGCCTGTCGAACAGCATCCGGATTGGTAACTACCTTGCGAGTACATATCCGTATGTAGGTAGGCGCGGATTCTCTCCATACAGGGCTCTGTAGTAGAAAATCCAGCTAAGCTTTCTAGTAGCCACTGGCCCGACCAACCAGCTCATCCGCCTCCCACCAAAGCCAGCTCCCCTCAAACTTTCATCTCGCAACTAGTTGGTCGTCGTTGTGACCTGTAACAACCATGTAGACGCTCGGGTCATGAGCCATCACTTGTCTTCTCGTTTCCTTCTTCTTCTTCTCCTTTTTTTTTTTTTTTTTTTTTTTTTTTTTTTTTTTTTTTTTTTGCTTTTTACCCATGTTTGAACTCGCCTCTCGCCTCCCTCAAACTTAGCCACCCCCAAGCCTTCCCCAATAGATTTCCATAACCACTCCTTGCATTACTCGCCACCATGAGGCCACCGCACAATCAACGTGTTCCCCTGCCCGACTTGGCGACGAATCACTCTCCCCAAGTCCTCAAGTGGCAATTCTTAGCCCCGATCCCTGCTCTAGTCGGTACCGTGTATAGGTATAACGACTGGGCCGATGGGTCATGACAAGGCCTCTTGCGAATGGCATCGTGTCAGAGACGAGATCACGCCAATCAAGTTTTTCAACGCGCATGTACCTGCAGGATCTTCCGTGATGCTGTCCGCCCTTTTTATGCTTGGATATTAGCTGGCATGTATGCTATTCCCCCCCTGACCTGCTGAAGGCTGCCATCTGCACTAAAGGGAAATCATATCCGCGAATCGAGCAAGGGTCCCTCTGCCTCGTGCGAGCCAACCTCATTGCATGACCTATGAAGAGGACGCATCGCCAAAAGCCATGGCCTTGCTTAACGCAATGGCACGACGTTAGTATGGTGCGCTGTCTCATGAGGACCAATCGTTCTGTCATGACAAACCAACTTATGACAAAGCAGTTACAGAATCAGTTCGAGTCCATGACAGACCTACTTCATAGTGGCGTACCCATACCAGCAACTTGCCTTCACTTCACCATCTGCCGAGTCGCTCGCGCGTGGCTCATCAATCCGACCAGACCGCCAAGGTCGTTGACCGAGACAGAAATTCAATGCAGGAGCATGCGCGCATCATGTACCAGTACCCGTGCCGCTGTCACCGAATCGATCCCGCCAAGGCTTGTGTTTTGAAACTCTCTCCATTGATGAGCGACACAGCCGCTCCGAGACCGATTGGAAGGTTGATCATGTTTCGAACAAGCATAGCAACATTTTACACTCATCGTCTACTTGAAACAAGAAGCGAGATTTTTCGTCGCTCAAATCATCCTGCAGGGATGCCCATGCCACCCGTACTTGGCTTGCTTAATCTGTGACGCATAGGTTACGGCCATGACACTGACGACAGACACACCACTGGGGCTATTATTGTCGCATGAGGGAGATGACCGTATTGACAGGCTCATCATAATGATGGCATTAGATTTTCGTGAAATATCGAAGCAATTATCACACGGATAGCGCAAGCCTACTAGTTAACATGGACATGGCAGACGGCAGTGTTCGGGTGTCTGATCTCGGGAATAAGCCATCTACGTCAAATCCGCTGATGAAGTGCCAATCCCGGGCTTTCAAAGCAACGTTCCACGTATATTGGCGGCCCCGGCGATACCGAGAGGCCAGAAAAATCGGGAAATCAAACGTGCATAGATTCATTTGATGCTGCTGATTACAAGTACAGACAGCAATGGCCCAGTCAACACCTCATTCACCGGTAACGCTCTATGATAACACCAACACTCTTTGGCTCCACCACGGATGTATGTACAGAAGGGAGTCTATCGAGATTAATACGCTCTCTGGGGCGAATCAGCCTTGTCCGTGTTCTTTTCTCCCCCTTTTCTTGTATCTTCTCTTCTTTTCGATTTTCTCCCTCGCATACATCAATACACCGACACCCCAAACACCTTGCATCGAGCCCAATTGGTTCCCACCGGCGTCCAGTCAGAATGCTCACCGCCACGACGCTGAACGATGAATTTTGAGCGAGACACGCAACGATCCGCAATGCCGAAGCAGGATACAGGCCGCACGTTTTGCCACGCCGCCGGCCGGGTCTGGCGAATGAATAGGACGCCTCTGCATGCGCGGTTCCGGCGGTGGCGACGTGCACCCCGTCCGGTTCAGCTGGCGATGGATGTTGGCCAGCGCGGTAAGACGGAGAGGCAAGGAGGCAACTTGTTCACGCGCTTCGCTGACAAAGGAGGCCGCCGCCGTCGCCGCCGCCGCCCGGGATAAACATACATAAGCGTCGTCTGGTGGTACGTTTCGCCACTGGACCTCGGCAGGTTCCGCAACCCTGTTGCCTGCAACTTTCTGCAGTGACACCAAAGGGAGAAAAAGATAGCGACGACAGAGCATAGGTTGTCTTGCCCTTTTTAGCACGATTCTATTTTAGGAAAGGCTGACGTACTTCCACTGCGACAGCACACCAGGCTGCGTAAACTCTATTTTCGACAGCTTGTAGTTCCAGAGTAGGGCTTTGACAGACCGCTTACTCTGCAAAACGACATCGAACCAGGTCAAGACAAGACACACCAAAAGCAAGGAAGCTGGGTGGGATAGAATGTAGGAAGGGGGACAGAACAAGTGCCGGCGGCTAGCAGCATCGTGCGCAATCTTGATCTTCGACCCCCAAACCCCCCCTCCCCCCTCTCTGAACTCGGTCAAGTCGGGCGATGATGCACGAGTATCAGCTCAGCCGGGCCGGGGCAAGGCAGCGGATATGTCCGAAGCCCACTCGTGCCGTGCGATTGAGGAGGCAGGAGGAAGGCGGCAGGATGAACTTGCGTCGAGAGAAGGCTGAGAGGGTCCTCAGGAACAGGAGCCTCGTATGACACTAAGAAAGCGAGCGACAAGGCGCTGTGTGGGCAGGCTGCAGGATGCTGATACGAGGTAGGTTACTACTATTACTTGGGCTCCCACGATGCTCAAGAGGGGGCGTTTTGGCTTCTCGTAGCCGCGCCAATTGAAGAGGTCGTGTCCCGCTCAGAAAACAAAAATAAGAAGTATTAAAGCAGACGTTTTTTTCCCATTGTTCTGCAGCTTGGCAGCGAGGCCAAGCCACGCCATTGGGGCCCAAGGCCGCGCACCGGACAAGACCATAAGGCCGCCGCGGCCACCGCCGTCATCTTTGTCCCCCGCCGCCCCTATGACAACACAGTAAACGCTGATACTGCGCCGGTAACGGTGTGCATGAGTTATCTACTAGTGTTGGGCTGCTGTTGCTGCGGATGAGTCGGGAAGGGCAGTACACAAGAAATTAAGAGACAGGTGCCCAGCAGAACAGCAACGCCATGCATGCATTTGGCATGATATAATACGCAAGTACGGCTGGGAGGGGTGGCGGATGTCACGGCCTTGCAGCAGCTACACGGCACAAGATGGTGGGCTTTAAACAATAGCAGCGAATGTAACTAATGAAAGGCCTAAAAGTAGAGCGATGCCAGTACGTTGAATCCTTGTCGGTATATTGCGTAGCAGATATCAAAAACGAGCAGCAGACTCGTTTTTTGCCTACGTCATGCGCCAGGCTGACGACCTAAGCTGCACAGCCTTCAAGTGCGACGTGACATGGGAGGGGAATCCCGGTGACTCGACCTACCAGTACTTTGACTTGGCGAAGGAGAGTCTTGTTGTGGCAAAAATGAGGAAGAGGACGAGGTAGAGAGCTTTTTTGTTTCCTGAATGGCAAGCCCGGCTTCTTTTTTCCCCGTTCATCTCTTCAAGGGTCTGGATTCACATGTCAAAACGGGACTTGGTGATACGCGCCACCAAATGAAACGCTGTATCAACTGTGTGGCTCAGGCTACCAATGTACAGAGTGGCGGTGGTGGCTGAGGATGTTGCCAAGCAATCACAGGTAGCTAGGCTAGGTGGCTAGGTAGGGAGTGGTGAATGGGTGTAGACGATCACAAGGCCAGAGAAGAAACGAAGAAAAAGAAAAAGAGTGCACGGTAGCATCGGCGAACAAGGAATCATTTTAGAATCTTAGGTAATAATAGTAGACATCCCAAATTGCCCGCCGTTATCCGCCGAATGCCTGTCTGCTGGCCAAAATACCTTGCCCTAGTAATTTAACGAAAGAAAAAGTTTCGGTGCGGATAGCGCTTCGGGCCTGGGTTTTGCGGGGCGTTAGTGCCCTGTTTGGCAGGGCTTCTACAGGTACCTCGGGGCCCTTCCAAGCTTGCTGTGACCCTCAAGTACCTCTGAGCGAATCATCCATACAATCATCATCCGTTGCTTGCTTGGAAGTACTTCCAGGCGGTACACAATAGTGGACGCCGGGTGGGGTAATGCTGCTGCTGCTGCTGCTGTTGTTGCTGCTGCTGGTCATCAAGCCGTTCGCAAAAGGCAACCATTCAAACGCTCGTCCTCACAGCCACAAGGCTGGCATTTCAAACTCATCAGCTTCATCCAAACCGACCCTAGGCTGGCGCGTACGCCCCCATCCGCTATCCGAGATACCCCAACCCAAACCCTCATCACGGAGCCCTGAAGACCATCGTCATAAGCCTCTCGTTGTCTCTCCACGGCCCTTGTCGCCCAACGGCGCAGTCCTCTCGCCTGCCTTGCTGCCCACACAGCCCGATCACGACCTGCGACCGAACGAGCGACGAACGTCTTCTAATCCGTGCCGCCGCCCGCCCAAGGAATCCGCCGCGCGCAATTCCTCGACCGTATCTCGGCCATACAGACGCCCGCCGAAGCCACCGCTAGCTACAGCTTAATTTTGTAACCTTTTTTCTCTGTTTCACTGGCCTGCTAGCAACCGTTCTCTTTTGCATCGCGCCCTGCAAGGTTTGACAAGGAGCTGCGAGACATTTAATAGGTCGTACCGACTTCCTGCGCCCACGCGCCATGGACGCTTATGGCGTCCGACGCAAGGACACCACCAAGGGTCCGCCTCTGCGGATTCTGTCTCTCGGTATGTCCGCCGAACAACCAAATTACACGTCGAAATGAGGACCCTCGCTAACAAACAAGCGCAGACGGTGGTGGTGTCCGCGGCTACTCCATGCTCATCATCATCCAGGAGCTCATGCACCGGACCTTCGTCGAGATCCATGGTCGCGCCCCGCGCCGCAACGAGATCCCCAAGCCATGCGACCATTTTGACCTGATCATCGGCACCGGCACCGGCGGCCTCATCGCCATCATGCTTGGCCGCCTTCGACTCGATCTCGAGACCTGCAAGATTCTCTACGTCCGCATGACCCGCGTGGTCTTTGAGACCGACAAGACTATCGCCGGTATCCCCTACCGATCCACCCTCTTTAAGGCCAGCAAACTCGAGGAGGCCATCCGCAAGGCCGTCCGCGACCACACCGTTAACGACGACGAAGGTAACGACGGCGGGGATGAGCGCTCCTCCACCCGCCTTTCCACCGCCTCAAGCTCCTCCATGCCTCAGCGGCATCTCAGCAACGCCAGCACGATCAGCTTCAGCGCGCGTAGCCCCGCCGCGCAAGCCGCCGCGCAGCCGTTCTACAGCTCCGGCACGGGCAACCCCGAGGCCAGATTATACGACTCCCGCGAGAATCGGACAAAAACGTGGCGTACCCCCGAACCCGCAACTTGAAGCTTGCAAAACGCTAACACGCTCACAGTGCTGTAACTGCCATGTACAAAGACTCCCCTCGTCACTCTGCCCCCGTCATCCTTCGATCCTACGACTCGCGACGCGAACCGCCCCCCGACTTTGACTGCAGGATCTGGCAGGCCGGCCGCGCCACGTGCGCCATCGGCCTCGCCTTCAAGCCCATCTCCATCGGGCAGTCGAGCTTCCACGACGACGGTGTAGGCACATTCAACCCCGCGCCCGAAGCCCTTGACGAGGCTGTCGTCAACGAGTGGCCTGGCCGCGAAGTCGGCCTCTTCGTCAGCGTTGGCACTGGGAGGCGGCCCCGCGGCAGTGACGGCAACCAGCAGGTTTGGTACGAGGGCTTCCTCGGGGAGTTCGCCGAAGCGCGGCGGCGCCTCATCGCCAAAATTGAAGGGTGCGAGAAGATCCACGAGTTCATGCTCCGCGAGCACCTCGCCCGCCGCGGGGTCAACCCGGAGAACTACTTCCGCCTTAACGTTGAGATTGGCGTCGGCGAGTTCGGTATGAACGAGTGGCACCGACTGGGTGACATCAGCACCAGTACGAAGCGCTACATGGCGCGCGACGAGGAGCAGCGCATGGTCCAGGGCATCTCGGCGCGCCTCGCCAAGGTGCACCGCGCGCGACAGCGCCTCGAGCGCCAGGCCAACACAATCCCCGAGGTCGTCAGGCAGCAGCCCTCGCCCAGCGTTGACATGCCCTTTGCCGTCGAGCTGCCTGGCGACATGCCCACGGCATTCCCACCGTCACCCCGAAGCGGCCTCTCACGGGCGTCATTTGACTCGGGCCGTCCGGATAGCCTCACCATCGGCAACCAACCACCACCATGGGGTGGCTCGTCATCACCGCCCCCGCGGCCTTCGTATGACTACGCGCGCCCCGGCGGCGCGGCGCCTTACCCACCCGGAACGACATCGCCGCCGCCTCCTCCGTCGCGCGGCAGCAGCAAGAGGATGGGCAACGGCACACCGAACCACCAAGAGCAACACGACCGGCTCCTCGGCTCGGCGCCTACGCCGACGCAGCTCAGGCACGCGGCGGGTGGCGGCGACAAAATTGCCATCATGAGCCCCGACGAGCACGCGCGCCCGCTACCACCACCACCACAGTCAGCGCCACCATCCACGCGCATCGAGCCCCCGCCGTTGCCGCCCAAGACGCCGCTCCCAGGACACAGGGTCGTCAGCAGCAGCAACGGGGGAGGAGGTCACGCCGCGCTGCCGTACCCGATAGACGATGAGGAGGAGGAGGCACCCCCGCCCCCGGTTAACATGGCGCGAAAGCCAGAGTACCGGGGATGAAGAGGCGAAGCGCTCATGTAATGAAATGGTTTTTTATTCTTCGTTTTTGTACATATGTGTGAGCTGGAGCCGCGTGGCAGACTGGAAAAGGAGAGTCACGAGGCGTGAAAATACCCCCCTGCACTGGTTGGTGTTGGTTACATTGCATTGAGAAGACGGTTCTTCTTTTTTTGTCGATTTTGGTATGCTTCAATGGGAGCATTGGGAGTGCTTGCATAGATGCCGACAGAGGCAGTCTTCGGATCTTTTGGTGTAACTAATGAATGATGAAACTTTTTTCACCAACACGAGCTTATAGGGCAGCATTTTTACGGAATCAAATTCGCTCGGAGCACACCCGCTGCTGGGATGTCATCTCTATTCATGTCGTTGCTGGGCGGCGCGTAGATCGACACCATCTGCAACTTAGTTCTACAGTGCTGTGACAAAAGTTGCACCTCGTTTCGCCTAATTGTGCCCTCGACGCCATATGCTCCCCATCAGGAGTCTTACGCTCACCACCAGGAGTCAACTTAACACGACTCTTGGAAACAAGCCGTCATCTGCCGGCCCTGCGATCTTGACACCGCCAAATTCGACTTGTGGGATGCTGTGGAATGTCACCGACTGGATCACGCCCGCCCATATGTGACCGGGGCCATGAGTCGCTTGTCGGTTTAGGGCCATCGAGCAATTACACTGATTCATACACTTCTCTCTATTGCCGTAAGATCCGTTTTCAAAAGTATGGGGGGAAGGGGGGGCAGCGGGGATTGGCTTTCGATACTCGCCAACTTCCCTGCCTATGCGCGGCTAAAACAGCTTGAGGGGGAGGGATGTCGCGTGTCGGCCAGCAAACGTCAGGATCTCCGCTGACTTTGGTGTTCTCGGAGTGAAGGGCAATCTTTCCATTTTGCCTCATCTAGTCAGTCGTTGATATCAAGATGGACTTTCGTCCAAACAAGTCCGAAATTCCCAGGCATGTCGCGTGCCGCCCCTCTTTCGGTACCCGATGATGGATCGAAAGGACCTTTTCTTCGGTATTCCTCTCATATTTTTGCCCCTCCTCCTCGCTGGCAGCGCGGGGGAGCGCGCGCAGGCCGCGGCCTTTTATTTTTCTGCTCGTCTGTTCGGGATGGGGATGCATGTAGATGGGGGCAGGTTGGGTCGGATGCCTGGCAGTTGCAGCCTGACATCTTCTCGACTTATTCTCCAACGAATCCGCTCCAAGTCGGCAGCTTGCGGCCATCAGAAAGTGAGGGGGCCCAACCGAATACTGAAGTGTCATAGAAAGACTGCGTCAGTAACTTAAACAGCAATCCTGGAACTGTGGCTTTTTCGCTTTACGCGATCCCTCCACGATGTCCCGCTGATCCTCAAACTTTCTGAGTGAGCGACATTGTTTGTTCGACTACACTCATACATGAAACCCGATCTCGAGGAAAAAGGTCACGAGAGCCTTTTTGGGTCAGATGGTCAAGAAATGCCGCCTGCTTCATCTTTCATCTTGGGGGATCGGCGGCGCCCGCGAGTTCTTTCAAGCGGGTGCCAGTTCGTAGGGGGGGTGGCAAGCAACTAGGGGAGACGTATAAATTTAGAGTAGTGCCGGGATGCACGCCGTTAGAACCTTGTCCATGTCTCTGTTTTTTGTGTAAAAAAAGAGAAGAGCCCCCTTTTCGAGACTTTCGATTTTCCTTCCCTGGTTGTTCTCGACAGGAACGGATTTGGTGACCGACAACACCAACACCAACTCCTTTCCCCCACTACAAGGTAAGTACGTTCGTAACCCTCGGTCTCTGAAAAAAAAAAGGGGGGGGCTCGATTTGCGGCCATAGCCGACAACTAGCTGATTTCCATTACCACGACTTTCCAGCATTGCGAGTATTTTCGTGATTGTAATAACTCACTGCAACGCTCATTTCCCGTTCTCGCACTCCCACCAATCCTAAGTGGGCATGTCCATGCTTTGACCGCTGGTTCCGATTCTGTTTCGTTTTGCGCCAACATGTCATTTTCTGCCGGTCATCATGTGACAGGACAGAAATGCGAAAGTGGCCTGTCAAACTCACGATCCTTGACCAACCCAAATCGTTGTCGTTTGTGTGTGTGTGTGTGTGTGTTGAACCCTGTCCTGGCATGCGGCTGGCCGGCTCTCGCGCCAAGAACTGATGGCGCAGCTGGCGAGCGAGACATAACCTCATCTAAAATTCCCATCACTTATAGCAAACTACCAAAGATCCCCTACCTTGTTGCGCAAACAAACAAAAAACAAGCAACTCAATCCAGGAAAAAAAAGGGAAAAAAAGATTCCAGTTTAACCCGCATTCCGGTAACTGTTATCGGCGTCGGGCCACGGAGTCATCAGAGTGATCGGCGACCCTCATCCACTGCGACGACAAACGTGAATGCCTACTCCGTACTGACAGCAAAGGAGAAAAAGTACAGAAAAACTCTTCAGCTTCCAGAATGGGAAGCACATGCCGTACCAGTAGTTAGGGCCACCACCCCAGAAAAAAGCCCAGTGCAGTGACATTGTGCACCCTTGCTGCATATGCACATCCCTCCCCCCTGCTTCTTTGTTGTCAGTGTCGGAATGGCCGACGACACTTGCGCTTCTCAGTGGAGATGGAGGCACTTATACAAACATAAAAAATGCTTCTTCCTTCCTCAACAAGCTCTCGGTCGAACTCGTGCATCCCGCGCCGCTCGGGGCACCTCGAGACGGGATTCAAACTGCCGGCATCGGGGATTTTGACGTTCCTGGCAGTTGGCGTGCCCATCGTCTGATCTTCCAACTCCCAACTGAGAGGATCGACAGGGAAGGGCCGAGTCCACTACCTGCCCCTCGAGCCAAATACGCTGCCGAGTGCTCCGTAGACAGAGCGGCCGGCAAGCCGCGAATATGGCGTTGTTGCGGGCTAGATCTGGCCATCCAAATACATTGTGCGCACAAAACACCGCGAGGGCTTCGAGTGCCTCGAGTTCCTCGGCTCCTGCAAGCCACCCTCGACGGGCCTGGTTCCAATTCGAGACATGTCTCCTGCAAGGGCCGGGGTGCATGTCTCGACAACGGAAGAAAGACTCTTCGTCATAAACTTAACTCGGAGATGGCCCTGAAACGGCGACTTGTCGTGATTGCGGAGTTTGCAGGAGCTTATATTAAAAAAAGAAGAAGAAAAGGCTTCATACACAGGGTATGGTTTCAGAGAGGATGTTCGAAGGCCCCCCTTCTTCGACGAGGTTTCTTCACTGAGCTCAAAAGTGCCTTCAATGGTGCGTTTGTCACTCCATACCCCGTACCGATACAGAATTACTGTGCTTGGGATATCTTTGGTGTTTGCTGAAAAGCTTAGGGCAAGTGCTATGATGCGCATATTGAATGAGCGAGCCGTAATGTAGAATTGGTCTTTCTTTGCCACAGCTCTGCAGCTGCTTTTCTTTCTCAATATCACTCGTGTCTTGAATCAGTCGCCTGACGATATGGATTCTCACGCACGTGCCAAAGTGTGGAGTGCTATATACTTGTGGCATATTCCACGGCTCATTGTGTTTCTAACGTCGACCGTTAGGATGCATGGTCATTGATTGGGACAGTGCTCGGGGCTCGTCTTCGCAATGTGAGCCATTTACCCAGTCAAACAGATAGATAATGGCAGTTCATCAGACATGACAAAGGTAGCGTATTGCGCCGTGCTATGTACAGGGTTCTGTTGCGCCCAACCATGACGACTCTGAAGGGTCTTGACCTGACGGGGGCTGAGCTCAAGTGCCGGTGAGCCCGTCATCGACGCAAACTTCCGTTGTTGCCTTGTCTGCTTGATCGATTCCTACACGACGGGTTGTATCAGCTGGAGCCAAGTGCTGACGGGGGGGGCCACCTGAGACCGGTCAGCCTTGTCCAAGTCCGGATATTGAACGCAGCCTGAATACGGTCCATACGTCATGTATCAAGTATCGAAATGCTGTGTGTCCTGTTTTCTCAAGGTGACTGAAGAGAATGTCTGGCTTTTGCATGGAGTAACAGCAAAGAATTGCAGTCTCATGACGATTTGTCGCCTGGCCGGGCAACCGAGGTTGCCAGTCGGCCCACATCGGTTTTTCTGCTGACGACTCTTCACTCACCAATGCCGCAGGATTGCACTTTCATGCCATCTCTCAGCCGTAGTCGGACTGGTTTCCTCAAGGTTTCGCGGGTTTGATGTATCGTCGCTAGTTGGACGGGTTGTAGAAGCCGCGGGGTCACGGATCTGCGGCGTCGACGCCCCAATGAGGCGCACCGCTTACATACGTGGGGTCAGCTTGCCAGTTGGGTGGAAGCTGGTTCCTCGTGGCATCTGACGAGGCTCAGCGCCAGCGCCATCGCCATCGCCAAATATAGCAGAGAAGTCGTGAGTTGCAGGGGGCCATTTGATCTCTTTGATAAGATCAGCGCGTGTGTAAGGCTGATGGGTTGAAAATACGATTCAGGCAAGAAGTGAGCTGTGTTTGGGGCAAAGAAGCTGATCCGCAACTCAGCAGAGCGTTTGCTGCCGGCCAGGAACGGCGACATACCGACCCTCAGCCGCAAATCCAGGCCATCGAAAGACAACGAGTATGCTCCGAGATAACGGACGCGCCGAGATACTGTTGCATTAACCAGCCCAAGGGTCGCGCCCAGAGAGGCTAAAGGCCGGGGCCAGTCCAACAAGTGCCATAACATCCACATCGGCATCCACACCACGGTGAGCACGGTGGTGAGGGCAGACGGCAACCGGTCACAACTCAAATCATCTCATCTGCCGAACAAGTCGGGCTTTCCAAGAGCTGGCAGAGGCCCGGTTTCGCTGTCAACTCCGCCAAATGTTGACCGTAGCAGGCCAGAGTCCTACGCCGTCGGCTGCCAAGCGGTTGGCACAACGCAATGTTAATAAAACGATCAATCGGCAGCACCAGTCCTTGCCATGGACAACGATGTGACTGGTAACGGTGGTGGGATCGTAATAAGCTGGGCCGCGGGCGAGCTGATGAAAGACAGGCGGCTGTTGCGTCGTCTCGTTTCTTTAGCGGCAGCCGTTCGATCCTGGTGCGATGCGCAAGGGCATCCATCTTTGGTTGAGCGGGGGATCTGAAGGGGGGGGGTTACGGCTTCAGGTTGCACAGGTGGAAGCACGATTGGAAAAGGAATGAGATGAGGGTTTTGGGAGAGCCCGATGAAGGTGGTTCAGGCTTCCTGATTGCTTGCGCATGACGCAAACCCAAGCCAAGGGATTCTCCTCTGTGCAGACCAGCCACACTCGGGGAGAGCAGGAGCTGCCTGCAGTCTGGCAGATGCCAGCTCTGGGGTGTGCGTGATGAGTGTGTGCACGGAACTTGGCGCTGTACAAAGCTGACAGCGAAAACGACGCGGTACTAATGATTGCGCTGGGGGTCTCCGATAAAACGGTTCACTGGTGCGTTGCTGGTGACTTTTAGCGAGTGTGTGAGAAAATCCAGGAACCGGCTAAGTTGTTCAATTCTTGGTTTCTAGCAAAGTGGCAAGAGAGTCTAATAAAGTGTGGCAGGCACAGACAACTTGGCAGCAGGAGCCCCAACAGGAGCCTCCAACGCCAACAGGCTCACGCCGCCGGGACGCTATGATGCTTATTAGGGAAGGGGCAGGCAAGAACAATACACTAATTGGCTAGCTGACATGGCTAATGCCGATTGTCTCATCAACTGGCCAGGCTTGTTGGTCCAAGTACTTCACAGACAAGTTGGATTCGAGTCACGAAGGGCAACTCGCTAAACTTGTTACTTGGTTAGAGACTTTACAACCAGGGAGCATTGGAACCGCAAGGTACGGAGCGTCAAGGAGTGTGGTGCTGAGTTGGTTGTTCAATGCTACCGCGCTCAAATTCCGAATACTTGGAAAGGCAGTATATTAATGCCGCGTCATTATTGACCAGGAGCGCAGGAGCATGACGCCCGCAGAAAAGTATGGTTGTTTAGCCTTGCTAGCCCGGCTGGTGAGAGTTCCCCCGCCCGTGTCTTGAACCGACCGGTCACCAGTCAAGTCGGCCTCTCCCCGCTTCTTCTCGAGACTTGGGGTAGCATTTTGTATGGGGGCCGCCTTGGTCTTTTTCTCCTTGCGCATGTATGGATACTTCGTACTTGCCTCTCTATAGAGTTGGTGTACGGTAAACTCCGCAAGGTACGGTACCATGTTGGATGACACCACCGGACAGGGACGGGGACTTCTTTGGTGTGTGGTGGTGGTGGTGGTGGCGCGCGCGCTCCCCCGGGACACTGGTTACTAGCTAGGTAGCCTGCAGATGATAATCACTCGCTTGCAGACTCCGCTTAGCAGGGGTGGAGAGCAAACCTGTACGTGACGGGTCTCGTTGTGCGAGATGCCCTCGGAACAGTGCATCGCGAGAGAGTTCTCGGGCAGGGGCCAGTAGATTGCATAGGTAACGGGCAGGGACGGGCATTGTCCGGAGCGGAGGCCGGGAGAAGCTGGGGGCTTGTTAATTCTGATGAATTGCGCCCAGGGCTAGTCATGATTATTTTTATCGTTATTATTATTCATGAAGACTTTCGTGGGCGGCCCATGCCATATCTGCTGTTGACCGAGAAGTGCTTCTAGCGACCGCATGCTGCGTCGTCTACGCGAGGTCCAATTGTCGTTGGATATCCGCCCACTGCTACTAGGCAAGCTACATGCATACAGTTGGCACCGAACGACGAGGACGACGATGGACAAAGTCAATCAAGACAAACTCCGGGATTGCCACAAAACCAGCGTTCTTTTAGTAGCCTCCTGCCGTCTTTGCTTCCTCCCCTTTGACTAATAATTAGAGATATACCACGCCACCGTTCCCACCTTGTCTTGTTCCATCGGCGCCATCCAGCAAATCCCAGCATCCACCACCCACCATCCCGGGCCGCTAAACAGGTGTAGCGCTGGGCCTCTGCACCAAACACAAGGCCATATCCACTGAAACTTCACCCCAAAAAGAGACGGGAGCCGCTAAAAACCACCAAACCATCCGGCCCCCCCTCCCCTCCTCTCCATGCCATACAATTCATGCCGCCTCTCCTTCATGTGTCTTCGGCTGCTTGTCTTTTCTTTTTCCAATACCCAATCCATCCGAATTGAGGTGTATCTGTCTTGAGCGGGTTTTCTTTCGTCTTTCTATTTCTCTCTCTTACCGCTACCACGACCCCCAGCTGCTCAGCTTCAATAGATCCGGCCACTCAAGTAACCGAAATACGGCGGGTTCAGGGCCAGTGAAGCGCCCACCAAGCCGTCGACTACCGCCGCCACCTCCGCCAAGAGCTCCTTCCTTGAACCAAAGATCCTGCCACCCGCTCCTACAAACAGCCACCCATCTGCCTATCTTCACCAAAGGTGTCTTCTCCTACCAGCCGCAGACCTTGGATACTACCGGAATCTCTTCACTCGAGCTATCCCGGGCTCCTTGCCATTTGTCGCCAGACAGTACCTCTTAGCCGCGCTGCGGACTGGTCGTTTCAGCACTCCAGCCTCTTACCTGAGCAACAACCGCGCTACTCTTCCGGCCGGCCCTCACACCATCTATCGCTCGGCCTCGGACTCGGTGCACCTCCCATACGAACCCGTTACCAGCGCCCTCTCTTTCTTCCTCGGGCCTCGTGCCCCATTTAGACTTCTTGCGTACGGAATCTATCGCAATGCCTGTCAATCCCCAAGCTCAGGGATCTCAGTCCCAGCGTGGCCAGGGAAAGGCTAGATATGCCACGTCTTGTACCGAGTGCCGCCGCCGAAAGCAAAAGGTAAGCTGTCTAACTGGAGCCTTGCTCATATCGCCCCCTCGTCGGTGACGGCCGTCGCACTCAGGCGCAATGTCTATATTGTCTACACTCCCGCGTGCCGTGTACAGGTGTATGGGCGTACCCGGATGCGCAGGCTGTTAAATAGAACACGGACAGGCGAGATCATGGCCACTTACTTGGCAACCTAACTACGGATCTCTTCACGTTGCTAATGGCGCCCGTACTGACCTTGAACAGTGCTCTCAAGGCCAACCTTGCACGAATTGCTTGCGCAGGTTTCCCCAAACAACATGTGAATATACAACCACCACCACGAGAAGGTAGGTCGACGTCGTGTATACCATGCCGTAAATCGTGTGCTTACCTTCACATTGCCAGATCATCTAGTCAGGGAGGGATCCGGCCCACCGATGTCAAGGTTGTTGTTGAGGGCCCAGCCTATTCTCATCTCGATGTCAGCGAGTTACAGGATGCCATTCTACAGTTGGAACGGGAGACCCGCGAACAAATTGAGAAGAACGGCCCCCAAAGCTTCTCTGTCAAGTTTCCGAGACGACAGAACTCGGCTCGTGCTCTGAAAAGTTCGGATGCCAACGAAAACGACGACGAAAGCACCATCCATGCCAGAAGCAACAGTGGAGGTGGTGGCAAGGAGCAACCATTCAAAATCATTGTCAAGGACGAGACGGGACTCTTGCAACCTCAGAATATGCGAACACTGCTCAAGACTATCCTCCAAGTCCGCGTCAACTTTGCCACCAAGATTGTCAAGGACGAATACACATTGGACTCGAGGGCACTGCTGCGCATGGCTGAGCGCGCCACGAGGCCACCGCTACAAGTCAGCAGCTATGAAGACCACCTCCATAACTTGCCCATGACCCTCAACAAGTTAAACATTGAACTGGTTCGAATTTGTGCGTCCCTCGCGGAATCCTTCCAACACGTGCGGTACTGACTGTGCATAGATTTGCAACTACTTTGTCGATTCAAAGCAGTGGTAGACGGCGCCCCGGACCCAACGAATCGCTTCATGAAGCATTGGGTTCCCCTCTCCATTAAGTCTCCGCTTAATCTTCAAATCATCCTCTACACATCAGCTTGCTTCTTGAATGAGACTGGCCAGGTACCGAAAATGGTTGTGTGGGCACACAAAAGTGCTGTACACAAGCTCATCAACGAGCATATTGCCAAAGTCGGCAAGAATCTCAGCGACGAAGTCATCATGGGCACCGCGCAGATGGTTCTTGACTCGTGGTATTGGGGAACGACTGAGGAGATGCAGGCTCACATGCTCGGCCTGAAATCGATGATTAAGATTCGGGGAGGCTTTCAAACCCTAGGGATGCAAGGGTTCCTTGCCAAGACAGTCATCACGTAAGAGAAGACGAAGCAAACAATACGCGCACCACTAACACATGGCTAGTGATGACATCACCATCGCTCTTGCTCACGAAATCCCGACATCCATGTTCGATAAGGAAGGTTTCGAGTTTAAGGATGAATTCATGGTGCCTTATCAGGTATCCTTCAACTCACCGTTCATGTCGGACTGGCCTCCGTTCTCCAGCCCAGCATCCACACTCGACCTACACCCGAATGCGAACCAGATTCTTGATGACATGCGAAACCTTCTCAAGCTTGTCTTGGAGCTCCCTGAACAGCAAACTGCGGAGCAGCTTCAACAGGTGGCCGAACTGGCGGCATGGACATATCAGCGCATTTCGATGCTTCCGGAGAATGTACCGAAGAGGGGCGATCAGCAGCAGCAGAAACAGGAAGACTTGCAAATGCGTCAGCAGAGAACTCAGCAGATACCACAACCGCATAATCAGCAGCCAGCATTGACAGACGCCGATCCAAATGCCGACAGAGCATCCACTGGCACGAGTGCACGATGGGACGGGTCATCGCCTGAGAATACATATGCCAGCAGCGTTTTTGACGGTAGCACACCGAAGGATGAGAACGCTGTGACACCAGAAACGTCGCCCGCCAGAAGCGGAAGTGACCAATATACAACTCCCCAGCGGCCGGACCTCATGTACCGGGTCATCCGCAACGTGGCACTTATCTACTGCCGCGCCATTTTGGCACGCGTGCCGACTAGCCACGTTTGCGACCCGAACGAATTTCTACAGATTTGGATCAATATTTGGGAGGTACCGCTGGCGCAATGGAAGACAGTTCTTGGCGTATATCACTGGATTACGATTGGACTGATTCCCAGTGGACATGACACACCACCCGCGCGATTTTCCAAGATGCTTATGGTTGTAGCCCTCTTGTCAATTGGGTTGGACAACTGGCATATTTGCATGGAGATTTCTCGTGCTGCCTTGAAACTGCAGCAGTGGCTGCGAGAAGGTCACCCTAGCGCACCTTCTGGTATTATGGGCGGTGAAGCCGGAGTGCTTAAATTTGGCTTTCCGATAAAAGAAGATCTGCCGACAATCGCCAAGTACGATGGCAATCATTTCCTGGAAGGTATCGAAGAAGACATGGACGACGCCGACGAGCTTGTTTAATATCGCGATTGCCCACATTTTGAATATTTTGTTCATATTTTTCTTTCACCGATATGTATTCTCTACTTGGCGGAAACGGGGCAAAGATACCACGATGACGAACTGGGCGCTGGATACCGGCGATGTTTTGGGTTGTTTTCATCGGGGCTTTGGAAAAGCCAGGCGTCTAGCAGCTGGGATAGGTAGGGTCAAAGTGCGTCGAATCTATTTACAGGCTTGAACAATGATGTCTGATGACTGCTACGCTTATACAATTATCAACAATATTTAACGATTTTATTTTGGCCTCGATAATTCAATCCCACCACGAAAGCACTTGCTTTGTGAGCTTGATTTGCCAGGTTGATAGCGATAGGCACGCGGCGATAATGTGCGTGATGCCCCGTTGCGTAGGCGATGCTGGTGGAGCAGAGCTTCTAACGGCTTGGATCTTTTTAGCCATTCAGTGAATGGCGACGCAATATGTGGCGTAGGCAGGCGGGAGGTGAATGGCCAGGCCAATGCATGGGGTTGGGCTGGGGGATGGGATGATGTGGTGCTCATGCAAGGCCACGCTGGCGACATGCGATGGAGGGGAGGCCGGGGGGCGGCCGGGTGGGATGAGAAGGACTGGGCAAGTGATGATGGAAGTCCAGAAAGTGAGAGAAGATGGCAGCCAGGAATTGCGGGTTCGAGATGTTCGAAAGCATCATACTCAAGTATGCTGCCATGGTCATTGCTGGAAATGGCCCTCATCAACAGCTTCCCTCTAACTGTTCAAGTTGGCAGTTAGCTTGGCTTTGGGTGAGAACCGGCGGGGATAGTGCAGCTTAGCTGCATGCACTTCCACGTAGGATGGATGCTCAGCACTGCAGGGGTTTCATTATGCGCCGTGATGTGTACTTTGTTTGCTTTGGTGAGGGAGGTTGTGATAGATAACACGGGGGCATTGCTCTGCCATTATCATTTTATCTGGTTTTTCAGTCCCTCCCGTCGAAGTCAAGTACATGCCCAGCATTTTTTCGGTTTGCTTCGTTCAAGTTACTCTAACAACGCGAGGTCTTTTCGATTTACGTCCCGTGGCAGGGGAGAGAATCCAACGAACAAAGCGAATATAGCCCGTGTGAAGATGGCCGGGGTCATGTCCGTGAAGCGCGGCCGGCTTCGGCGTCGCCATGACGGGACGAACACGCCGACCCCGCGCGTCCGAGCCAGAATCGCGCGCTTCTTCGTCGATGGCCTTGGTGTCGTCTTCGTCAGGGCGGATCGGCCGGTCGATCACCGCGAGAGGGCGCTGCGTGAGGAAGGGCGACGCCGGCGTGACTGCACGCGGCTTTGCATTGAGCAACTGTATCGGTTTGAAGAATCGTGATGGCGTGTCGACGGTTTGGGCTGGCAGGTGGGCGGAAGCATGTACAGACGAAGGGGGGCATGGAAATAAGGGGAACTGGACGGTGTTAAAGGGAAACGATGAAGGCAGGCGGGATTACAAGAGGACGTGACGGTGGGAAGGGAAGTAGCATTGCTAGGCTGTCAAGCGAGTTTACGCATGTCATATCGATGCGAAGATGGTTGTACGAGTCTCTGCACGTACCATACCTGATACGTATACAGATAGCTGTTTCATCATTTGCAAGTACGCCGTTTGTCGAAAAGCTGGTCGCAAGGTGGGGGATCACGGATAGCCTCCCCGCATTTGTCGTGAACTACCCCCAACAACGAAAACTTGGCCGTCCGGACAAATCGCCGCGTCCTTTTCCATCCTACAACTCTTTTCTTGCGTCCCAATCATCGCCGCAACCATGGCCCCGATCGGAGTCGCCATCATCGGCAGCGGCATCTTTGTCAAGGAGCAGCACATTGTAAGCCCCTCCCCCTCTTCGCTTGCCCCCCCCCACCACCGGGACTTTGCATCCAGCCACGATACTAACCAAGTCATTTCCAACAAAAAAAGCCCGCCGTTCTTCACTGCGAGCTTCTTTCCCTCAAGGCCATATTCTCGCGCTCCTTCGCGTCCGCACAGGCCGCGGCCGCGCTCCTCCCCGCCACGGCCCACGCACCGGAGCTATACGCCGAAGACGCCGCCGCTGAAGGCCGGACCCTCACGGACCTGCTCGCCCGCGACGACGTCGCCGGCGTCGTCGTCGCGCTGCCCATCCCCGCACAGCCGGCCGTCGTCCGCGCCGCCCTGGCCGCCGGCAAGCACGTGCTGGCCGAGAAGCCACTGGCGCCCGACGTGGCGTCCGCGCGGGCCCTGATGGGGTTTGCGGCGAGCGACGCGGTCCGCGGTGCCACGCTCTCGGTCGCGGAGAACCAGCGCTTCTTCCCGCGCTTCATGTACGCGCTGGAGCAGCTGGCCGGGGCGGACCTGGGCCGGGTGACGCACTTTGCGGTGCGGGTCAGCGACATGGTCGGCGAGGACGGCAAGTACTACAAGACGGCGTGGCGCAAGACGCCGGCGTTCCAGGGCGGATTCCTGCTCGACGGCGGCGTGCACTTTGCGGCCGGCGCGCGCATGCTTCTCTTGCGATCGACGGACGCGACGGGGGACGCCGGCGCCGACGTGGACGCGGAGGCGGAGGCGCGGCCGGCTCGGGTCAGCGCGCGCACGGCGCTGGTCCGGCCGCACCACGCGCCGGTGGACAGCGTCGCGGCGCTGGTGACGACGCACGGGGGCGCGACGGGCACGTACCAGCACTCGGTGGGCTCGACCATCTCCGCGTACGAGTTCGACGTGGCGTACGAGCGGGGCAGCGTGAGGATTTGCGACGGCGAGGTCACGGTCGCGGTTGGCGGGCGGGAGCCGGTGAGGAGGACGTTTGAGAGGGCGAGCGGCGTGCCGGAGGAGGTGGCGGCATGGGCGGCGGGGATTCGTGACGGCAAGCCGCACCCGGCGCAGTCTGCGCGCGAGGCGCTGGCCGACTTGGAGTTTATCGAGAAGATGCTGCAAAGTGCGGAGCAGGACGGCAAGTGGCTCGACTACGAGTTTCAGTAGGCGCGTTGGGAGTATCTAGGATAGGGTAGGACCACGCCGAAACAAGGGAACTGCGATAGATGGGTTATGAGGGTTTGCAATTGTAGGTGTTTCTGATTTAATACGACTCGTTCTGTCAGCTCAGCTGTCGAGCCAACATCTCTCTCAAGCCAACAGCCACAACTGCGTTCGTCATGTTACCCTGCAGTGTCTAGTCGGCCAAACCACTTGCCATTGCTCCCACCAAGGTCCAGTTAGCATCACAAAACTATGTTATAAGCGGTCATGCACTGTTGTATGCAGAGCCGATTCATCTTCACGATACATCATTGTGTGGTTGTTCTTCAATTTGCAGAGTCATTCGCAGAACAAGCCAGGCACGAGCGATAAATCCTTTCGAATGCGATTGTAAAATCGACTTCAGTGTGAGCATCACTTTCCGAAGAAGTATCACCGCAATGAGATCGTCATTGAGTCTAGTCGTATGTAGGGTGAGTCACTCCCTCACCAGTATTGACCTAGCCTCAGCCGCATTTGAGTCACTATCCATCTCCGCGGTGCCTGCATTTCATCTCCAATTATCACCACACGAAGTGAACGAATTTTGAGCCGATCGTTCGCAAACATTATCACCCTGGAAATGAGCGTCGTCATCCGCAGGGCCACGCACGCCGACGCCGCCGACGTGGCACGCATCCACGTCCAGTCATGGCAGGAGACTTACCACGGCCTCATGCCGCAGCCTTTCCTCGACGCCCTCGACATCACCCAGCGAGCTGCGCGCTGGAAGACGCACCTCCAAGACCCGAGCGCCTTCCCGGTGTTCGTGGCCCTCGTCGACGGCGAGCCGTGCGGCATCGCCGGGGCCGGGGCGCCGCCGCAGCAGGCCGCCCCGTACGACGCGGAGATCCACCTCCTCTACGTGCTCGGCGCGGCGCAGGGTAAGGGGCTCGGCCGGGCGCTGATGCGGGCGGCAGCGGCGTCGCTTGCGGCGGGCGGCCTGAAGCGGCCGATGCTTTGGGTGGCCGCCGCGAACGACGGCTCGCGCGGGTTCTACGCGCACATGGGGGGCAAGGAGTTTGCGCGCAAGACCGAGGCGGTGGCCGGGTCCGCCCTAGAGCAGGTCGGATACGGATGGGAGGACATGTCCGCTATTTGCCCCGTGACGAGACCTTCTTTTCCCGGCGGAGAGGGTAACTAGATGGGGCGGGCGACAGAAAGGAAGGAAGGACCTTGCTGCTATAGACAGGGTAGTTTACAAGTGCAGACGCTGAGATACGAAAATGAGAAAATGGTGGCAAATTTGAACCCACAGGGCATCTATTTCCTTCTACTCCTCCGTATGTACCAGCATGTTGCATCGAAGTCGTTTGGGAGGGCCGTGTGTGTCAACTTGGCTTGGCATATCTTGACATCTTCACGTCATCTACCGGCATATGCATGTGCCTGGCAAGTCTACCCTCTCTTCTTGGAACGGCCCTGGGCCCTGCCCTGCCTGACCGTTACGGTTGGGCTTGGCATTCCCCCAATGGTGCGTGCGCCTCACCTGACAGTGATGCACAGCTCGGGGGTATTAAGTAGGGCACGGCATTAAGTATTTTCTGGGCCTCGAAGACGTCTTTTAGAGTCGCAGACTGGGTAGGTGGACTCGCTGCGGAGACGGCGGGTGGACAGATACAGGGCCATATGGCATGATGTCTACCTCTTTCTTCATGGAGTGACGACGCTTGGGTATAAGACGAGAACCATCATGGCAACTGGTTACCCCTCCCTCCCCCCTGGGCCTCCTCGGAACAACAGATTATTTACGACGCTACGAGGAGATGCTACCTTTCTCCCTACGGTGAATGGGGGGGGGGAATCGGCACCCGGGCTCGGCAGGGCTGACCGGGCTCGGGTGGCACCCCGTGGCACAGGCGACGGCCGTTCACCGTATCAACGGCAGATTTGATCGTGGCTTCTGAAGGACGGACGGGCTTGGCTGACAGATGTGCTGCCAAAACGCTTTGAGACAAGGAGGAAAATCAACGAAACAGCTGATCCTGATCCTGTCATCGACAGCGACAGCCGGATACCACACTTCCCCCCTTTTGGTTCCACAGGAGCTTCATGGCCCCCTTGCTGTTGTCATAATTGAGTATTTCTCCGCCGGAAGCAGCGGTGATGCCTTTTATGGCCACCCAAACGCGGCACTGTTCTTTTGGGCTTTTTTTTTTTGATATGCCAGTCGTTAGTGACCGGAGATGAGGAAAATCGACCAGGCCATCTGCCAACGCGAAACTTGATTTTTAAGCATGTTCGATGCGGAGCAGTTGGGCAGGAGGCCCGGTAATAAACCCCCCTTAATACGTGATGCAGCCGTTGTCATCCCACGCTGGGGTGTGGACGGAGGGTAGGCGGAACTAACGCGGAAATCGGACGTTTACGATCGACGCTTTTCTGGCTATTCATAGGTCCGTGTTTACACCCAAACGAGGGGGCTTGGTTCGGTGAGAAGGCTTGGGCACGGGGTTGCAGGCAACGAGAAACATCGACAGTTTGCTGCGCAGTGAGTTGGACGCTTAATCTACGTGAAACGAAAGTCTAAAAGAGCCTTCGCTTATGCTGCAAATCGTCAGGCGCAGCAACACACGCACACATTCATACACATACCACGCCATTTCATATACATGTGGCGGCGCTTACCAGCGGGCGCGTCCATGCGCCCCTTGCCAGTCGGGCAACTTGTGCGACGCAGAGGTTCATTCATTCTCACGGCCTCACGATGCCCCAGAAGTTTTTCCTTCTCCATCAAATTGTCTTTTTTTGCTCCATCAAGCTTGTCCGCGACTCAAGTCGCGATGGAGTTACTTCATGCCCACTTCACCAACCACCCCCTCTGGGCTTTCGCTTGGGTTTGCTTTGTTGTTGCTCCGCCTCCGCGGTGGGACGGTGAACGCGGCCGGGTGCACACGCGGCCCAACGGGGCAGTGACAGGAAGAAGAACGAAAAAGGAAGGACAGAAGGATCGAAATCGTACAAAAGAGGAGCCCGCAGGCAAAATGAAGATAAGCTATGAAGAGTCATGACAGCGGGAGATGAGCACGATGCCAAGATCTGCAAAGGTGGGAGCCCGATGTGATGTTCAATTGTTGAGCAATGCAGAATTGCAACACGGTAAGGGACCCGATATCCCCCTGACTCTTCCAGACACTTTTTTTGGATGCCATCATCATAATCACGGCTTGGGGATTGGTCGCGTGCGCGGCAAACGGCAAACGTCCTGACCGAAGGAAGCCCCGAAGGCCGACGGGTCGACTAGTTAGTTAGTTGCAATGCTACACGCGAGACCAGATGAACTGGCAACCTCCGGGACGGCCGGTCTGGGAAATTGAAACTGGCAATATCCGTGACAGAAATTAGTTAAACGAAGAAAGAGAAAATTGTATCAGGGCTGTCCGAGCAGCCCGAGCAGTTGGATGTGAGACACCTCAAAATGGGCAGTTGCCGCAAAACATCGGGTATACCGTTATGGATACCCGTCGCCTGCGTACCACGGTATTTTTACTGCGTCTGATCCGACGGATCTCTACCTCTACGTCGCCCGGCTTGAGACGTCAAGAAAAGTGCTCATGGTCAAAGCAAATGTAAAAACTTGGCAATTTCCTACATTGGGCACTCAAACCACCACTATATTCTGCTGCCACTTTTTTTTTTTACCCTCTCATGTCTTCGTTTTCCAAACTTTCAGTTGTCCCACTAGGTTGATGCGTGGCCGCCGCGAGCCCCGGTCGTCTGGACCTTGGCGCGATCTGCCCTTGCCACGTGGAATGGAGCAGCAAGGAGAAAGACAGGGGGGGGGGCGTTGACTGAAGAAGAGAGAGGAGGGGCAGACACTGGCAGGGAGGGGGGGCAATGCAGGGGAGATCCCTGTCTAGAAGAAATGGAAGACCTTTCGAACATTCTAAAACCCCTTCCCAAGTTGCAAGCGGACAAGTTCCATGCAGGCTGGAAGCTCAATGGGCGCACCCCCCCCTCCCTCCACTTCTGTCTTGCCGGGGACACTTGCCGTACCAGTAAGTACCCCAAGACATCAGCGATGTATCTTTTGCGGTCGGATGTTGCCCTTGTGATCTATCTGTACTTGCAGCCGCGCCAACCAAACTGTGTAGATATTAGGCGTTCCTACGCTGGAAATTTGTGGAAATCACGGCAAGCCGCCGGAATCAGCCCAGAAGCCGAAAATCCTCTTTTTCGATAAGTAATAAGTCGCCGTCCAAGACCAGTCGTTGCGACGGGCGGATGGGTGGTGGGTTGCGACCTGCTTGTGTCGTCTCTGTACATGCGGTCAATGTTTGGCACGTACCCGCTGCCTCCGTCGGCCAGTTTATGCTGGTGGGTTGTCCCTTCTCCCCCCTCTCGGTGTTCCTTTTCGTGCGCTTGCCTACCAATCTGTACTTTCACCAACTATCAAGATTGTTCCTGGGGCGGGATGAGCAGTCCAGCCCACAATGCGCATGTTTCGCTGCCTTGCCGGGCCTGCAGATTGGATCGCAATAGGGCCGCAGTAGGACCAGCGCCAATCAGTGCCCGAATCAAAGGCCGACAGGGTTGCTGGTGTGGGATATCGTTATGGAGAGGTCGAAAAAAACAGGTACAAGGAGACCCCCGTACCAGAAAAAAAATCCCCATCTGATGATCCCAAGGAGAGGAACTCAAAAGAGCGTCAGCCTTTCGGCCGTACTTGTTGCTTGTTTTTCTTTTTTTTTTGCCCTGCCTCTTGTTCGTTCCATGTACATGGGAGGGGTCGCGGACAAGGAACAAGCAGCCACTTGCAGGATCTCGGCGCCGCTAAAACCTTCTGGTCAATATTGACAAGGCTGACGAGCCTTGAAGAAGGGACTGGACTGGGCCACCGTTGGAAATTGGCTCTGGCGCGTCATCACTTTCTTGTGGTGGCTTGTTGTTGGGGTGGACTTGGGGAGACTCGAGGGCTGGACCGGCAGCTGGTTGGCCGGCAACTTCAACCCTTCCTTTGTTTTCAGCTTCTAGGCGATCTGGCTGGTGATTATTTTAAGCATTCCCCTCATCCAATAATACATGCGACATGGCCGAGGTCTTGGTTGATGCCGCGCGCGCGCGCTGTCACCAAAAATAACCAAAAGCTAGTTACACCAGACTGGAACGGCGGGGAAGAAGGGGGAGAAGGGAGCCAAGCATTTCGACTACTAAATTGAAGCCAGCGTCTCAACGTAAAACAAGGTATAATGAGCAGCTGCCAAAACACGCAGGGGAGAGATGGGGAGGGGGGGGCTGCCAGAGGCAAGCCACCTTTTTTTTAGTTAGTGCGCAGGCAGCAGGCTTCTTCTCATGGAATTCGCCGGCCAAGGTTCTCTGTTTAGTGTAGTTCTGCTTGGATTTATTTTAGCCGCGCAAAGCGTTGTTTTGAGCCCGTGCTTGCGACGAACGAATCCGCCCATGGAAGGCCAGAATGGAGGGGAGGCTGAAATTACTGGCCAGCGGAGGTCACCGCCTTCTCTCTTTGCCAACCAAGAGGCATTTTTGATAGCTAATGGGCCGGGCGAGAAAAAAAAAACCAAAGCTTGTTTGGGTAAAGGGCCATTCGATGTCCCATCGCGATAATACGAAGCGTTCCGATGGCAAGGCTATACCGTTTTCGCCCACCCTACACACTACATTGTGGCCTGTGTTGCAACGCCCTTCACACCATCTTCTCAGCTCTTTGGTCCCCGAAGTGTGGTTGTAATCGATCTTTGCCTTGCCTTTCGATGCCTTCTTCACGTCGTCTCCAAGGTAGTATTCTCGGCAACTCAATCGTCATGTGAGTTGAGGAGTCGATTGGCAAGATGAGAGAAGAAGGAACAAGGCCGAGAACACGCCTTGACGTCCACAGCCTGCTCCCCGGCTTGCCCAGTAACCAACTGCCAGTGTCCCTCCGTTTCGCTGGCGTCCGTTTTCCCCAAGCACGCCATACGTTCTAGCTCATTTCTGGAGTGCCGTCAGACCGTTGGGCTGCAGCCAACTTTTCACTAAACTTATAGTTGATAGGCTTCGCACGCCCTCCTTCCTCTCGGGGACCACTCATACACTACAGCACAGTTACATACAGTAGTTGCCGTAACAAATCTCTCTATCTCGCTCTCACTTGCACATATCGACGCACCACCATGTAATGTATTGTCATGATGGTGCAGCCCAACT